TTACCTTTTTTGTCTTGTAAAGAAAGTTCTTGCTATTTTTTGTTCTGTAAAGAAAGTTCTTACCTTTTTTGTCTTGTAAAGAAAGTTCTTGCCATTTTTTGTTTTGTAAAGAAATTTCTTGCCATTTTTTGTTCTGTAAAGAAAGTTATTGCCATTTTTTGTTTTGTAAGAAAAGCTCTTGCCATTTTTTGTCTTGTAAAGAAAGTTTTAGTCATGTATAATTAATTCCACAGTCCTTGACCCAGTTTTGTCAATCTTCAGGCCGCGGGTGACAACTTTTACGACAGATCTTACAACTATGCCGTTTTCTGTTTTGTAAAGAAAGTTTTTGCTATTTCTTGTTAAAAAAATCGTGCCAACTTTTTTCGTGGTACGAAAGTTTCTGCTATTTTTATTAGAGTATTTCTTTTTTTAAAGTTTTTGGTAAACTGCAGCCTGCGAGTGACTTCTTATACGATGGATGACAAAACCTTTCAATTTTTTTGTTTTGTAACGAAAGTTCTTCCTATATTATGTTTTGTAAAGAAAATTCTTGCTATTTTGGTTACTTTGAGCGCTCTTAAATTGTTTTTTAGTTTCTGCAAGCTGCGGGTGACATATTATACGATAGCTTTCAAAATCTGTCTTTTTCTTTTCGAAAAGAAAGTTTTTGCTGAAAACTACAAAAAAAAACAAATAATGACACATTTTAATAGCAGTCGTACACCTTTCTTACATTTTTTACCCTTCCCCCCTCTCCTCCTCTTTCCTCTCGCCAACTTTACGTTGCTCCTTACTTTCCCTCTTTCTCTACCAATTCCTCCTCCCTGTTTCCCCCCTAACCTTCCCTAACCCGGCCTTTAAAAAAGTACAGTACGACTGTGCAATATGTTGTTGAACACTTTGCACTAATCCAACGAAAACCGTTTCCAAGTGACACTTTGCGATTAATTACGTTTCCGGTGGCTGAAATTGTTTGCACGTCTGACCTCGAAATGTCATCGGATGTTTATAGCGAAACGAACAATTGGGATTAGGGTAATCAACGTTCTTTGCAATTTAATCGGGCCAGCTTTATCATGAAGACATGTCGGTATCAGTTAATATACCACGCAAGTTTGTATTAATAGTTTACTATGTAAACATGTTAATATGTGGGGTACCGTAGTAGTTACTCTAAGTGAAAAAAATTTTGAAAAGTTGCAAAAAATTTTTTTACAAAACAAAAAATGGCTAGAACTTTCTTTACAAATCAAAAAATGACAAGAACTTTCCTTACAAAACAAAAAATGGCAAGAACTTTCTTTACAAAACAAAAAATGGCAAGAACTTTCTTTACAAAACAAAAAATGGCAAGAACTTTCTTTACAAAACAAAAAATGACTAGAACTTTCTTTACAGTACCATAATCTCAAAATTTTTTACTACAGCATACTGTAGACTACAAAACACAGTACAAATCTAATATTTTTGAAAACTGTGAAGCCAAACAATATTATATCACATTCTTTGTTGTACAGTTTCTTACTATGCATCGTACACATAATTTTATATCACATACAGACTAAACATCATTTATTGTATATTATGTATACTAAGAATGTGGCAATGATGACATATCATTCAACAGAAAGTAAAAAGGAAAAGGATTAAGACTAAAATAAGTGTGCTACACCTACGCCTGTGTTAATGGCGTAATCAGTAAAAAGAAAAAAATGTTATTGTTTTTAAAGAAAGTTCTTGCCATTTTTTGTCTTGTAAAGAAAGTTCTTGCCATTTTTCGTTTTGTAAAGAAAGTTCTTGCTATTTTATGTTTTTTAAAGAAAGTTCTTGTCAAAGTTTTATTGTAAAGAAAGTTCTTGCTATTTTATATTTTGTAAAGAAAGTTCTTGTCTTTTTGGGTCTGGAAAGAAAGTTCTTGCCATTTTTTCGTTTTGTAAAGAAAGTTCTTGCTATTTTATGTTTTTTAAAGAAAGTTCTTGTCAAAGTTTTATTGTAAAGAAAGTTCTTGCTATTTTATATTTTGTAAAAAAAGTTCTTGTCTTTTTGGGTCTGGAAAGAAAGTTCTTGCCATTTTTCGTTTTGTAAAGAAAGTTCTTGCTATTTTATGTTTTTTAAAGAAAGTTCTTGTCAAAGTTTTATTGTAAAGAAAGTTCTTGCCATTTTTCGTTTTGTAAAGAAAGTTCTTGCCATTTTTCGTTTCGTAAAAAAAGTTCTTGCCATTTTTTACATATTTTGGCGCCTCTGAGCAGCATTTGGCAAGCTGCAGGCTGCGAATGCCAAGTTATACAACGGATACATATATAATGTCATTTTCCGTTTTGTAAAGAAAGTTATTGCTAGTTTTTGTTTTTGAAAGGAAGTTCTCGTCATTTTTGAAATTTTTTAACAAACTCCTTCCCCCTAATATTAAAAAGTAATGCAGTTTTGTAAAAAGCAAAACAAAGATCCCTGTAATCCCTTGAACAGTCTACTATAACATTAACTTCCGCTTCTTACTGCGGTCTTGTAATCTTTACAACATACGCAAAGCTCTGGGTTCAATTTATTTTTTTATTAATTTGTAGGACTTCAGAAGTAGCTTAAATTTTAAAAAATTCAACGAATTTTGCGTGTGTTGTCTGTAACATATAATAAGAGATTAAAGGTAAACATAAACTACATTTACAAAGTAAAAATTCAGCACTAGTCTTAGCCCTAGCTTTGCATTATCCTACCCTAACTTGCATTGCCTTGGGCCTTGCCTTGGGCCTTGATTTGGGCCTTGCCTTGGGCCTTGCCTTGGGCCTTGCCTTGGGCCTTGCCTTGGGCCTTGCCTTGGGCCTTGTTGCCTTGGGCCTTGCCTTGGGCCTTGCCTTGGGCCTTGCCTTGGGCCTTGCCTTGGGCCTTGCTTTGGGCCTTGCCTTGGGCCTTGTCTTGCCTTGCCTTAAGCTAACCTAACCTAACCTACAGTACTCTGTCCTGCTCTGCTGTGCTCTACCGTACCGTACCGTACCCTACCCTACCCTACCCAAAAAGTAACAAGTACAGTAACCAAACTAAAAGCTCAAAAATCAAATGTTACAGTACTACACACTAATAAGCACTAAGGTAAAAACTTGTTTACATTCAAATGTTATGTCAAATGTTTTACATAGAAAAGGAAATCCCGCGGACTAATCAGCTGAATATTGTTTATGTCAATTAAGTTAATCTCCGGATTAATTAAGGGTCAGGGTGAAGAACAGAGAAACGTTACAGTACTGAGGACGTTGTAAACAAAAAATTTTAATTAAAATTTTAAAATTTATAAAAATTGTCATAAATTTAATTTTAAAGAAAGCTCTTTCAATTTTATGTTTTGTAAAGAAAGTTCTTGCCATTTTTTTGCTTCGTAAAGAAAGTACTTGCCATTTTTTGTTTTGTAAAGAAAGTTCTTGCCATTTCTTTTCTTGTAAAGAAAGCTAATGCCATTTTCTATTTTGAAAAGAAAATTCTTGCCATTTTTTGTCTTGTAAAGAAATTTTCAGCAATTTCCCTTTGATACTAACAAGCTTCACATTCTGTAGGTTGCGGGTGACATATTATACGATAAAAAGCATTTTGTAGCGTAACTGAAATTTTTGTCAAACAATAATGAAAAAGGTGGTAATTATAAACAAAATAAACGTAATTTTAAACTAAAAGTTTAAAACTTTAACATTTTTGCCAATATATATTATTATAGTAAACTATAATATGATACCTCAAAGAGCAGACCAATTAGTTATTTGCCACTCATAAATTATATCTTCAAACTTCAATTACTCATTTATATGTTTAGACATGGATCTACGTATTTTTTTATGAATTTTAATTATTTTTTTTCATTTTCGGCTCTCAGCTTGTTTTTATGGCCAGGAACATAAATAGTTGAGATTTGAATCTTTAAATTCCCGCCAAATTTGAAATTTTTAAAAACACGCTTTACAATATAAAAAATTTTTAAAATGACAAAGTAGGCTTTTATGACTTTCGTATTAGCATTTTTAACCAAATTTTTGTTTTCGAAAAAAATGAATTTTTGAATTTCCGCTAATTTTGGCATTCTGTTTAATGTTGGCGTAAAGTTGAAATTTTTGCCATTATTTTAAAACTTAGTGATTTAAAATGTTTTTTAGGCTTTTTAATACTTAAAAAACGCTTTTATTACAAAAATTTAAAAAACTGTCAAAATGTTTTTTTTCCAAAAATTATATCCAAACATAAAACACAAACATTAATACGTACTGCGACTAATCTGAGGCTTGTATACACCAAAGTAACCCTACAATTAGTGTTATTTCGAAGGTAGGCGACTTAAGCCGGTTCCATTAAAACAAAGAAAACGGGGCTAAAATTGGAAACTTTGGCATTTTCTAATCTCTTAAGTAGTATACTAAAACATGACAAATGCTAGGGCTAAATATTGTTAAGCCAGTGGATCCGAGGGTTTGGAAATGGTTTTAGATGCTTCGAACGGTTTCATGGATAATATTATTAGAAAACTATTAAAGATATTACAGAAAAAGCAAAAAAATTAATTTAAATTGATAAGCAGTAATTTAAAATGCTATATTTGGCCGTTCTCAATAACAATTTTGTCAAAAAACCCAAGTATCTCAACACCCAATAAGTCCCGTGACACTTCGCTCCGTTTTTCGATAACTCTTGGCTTTTCGCTAATTTGCGTGGCGATCATTTTGCCATTTTTTTGGAAAACATAAATATTCATATTTCACGATTCGCTGACTCAAATTAGTTTTATAAACTGTTTACATATTCGAATTGACATCAAATTTTATTAAACTCGACTACAAATCATATTACACTGGGTGATGGTGCACGAATGAGGCTGTTTCTGTTGCTGTTTGGATCTACCCGAAGTTTAAATTGCTTTTAAAAGTTGGCTACAGGTTTTTTGACTGTTTTTGGTATATAATTTGATTGTATATTGATTTTGCTACGAGTTTCGACGAGTAATAATGGAAGGGTTTGGATTTTTCTCCTTGTTGTGTTTGACAATGTTTTTTGGAAGTTACTTCATTGGATTCTTACCTCTATTGGGCAACCTTGGTGAGGTAAGATGTGTTTAATGTTAATCTTGAAATTTAGGATTGTAAGTTGCATTAGAAAGCATTAATTTTTGACGTTTAGAGCAAAATAAGGATGGTTAGTGTGTTTGGAGCTGGGCTTTTGATTGGTACAGCGTTCGTCGTTGTAATACCTGAAGGAATTGATGCTGTTCAGCGACATGTTGGTAAGTTACATCTTTTCATAAGATTTCAGCTTTCTATTTTGTTTTTTCAGTAAGTTATAACTTATATTGTTTTAGAGACACCACACGAAAGTCTAGATCAAGTTCTCGCCAAAGAAACGAATGCAAACTCAGTGCCGTTGGACAAACCAACATTAGAGAAGTCTAAACCGTGAGTTTTTAATATTTCTTGTTAATTTATTGTTTAGGCCACCACCAGACACATTAAAAACGGGCAAAGAAGAACATCATGATCACCATGAGGAAAATGGGAAAGTTATAGGATTTGTGATATTACTTGGATTTCTTTTTATGTTAATAGTTGATCAAGTATCTAAGACTTCTTGTGGCGGTGGTAGGAGGAAGTTATCGACTACTATCGGCCTTTGTGTACATGCTTTAGGTAAGTGACGCTAAATATTTGCGTTTTCCCAATTTTTTTTGCTTTTTTAGCTATAACTTTCTGAATCTTTTATAAAATGTTATATTTTTAGCTGATGGAGTGCTAATGGGAAGCGCGTCATCAACATCAAATAACGAAGTCCAGATGGTCGTATTCTTTGCCCTCATAATACACAAAGGACCGGCTGCGTTTGCCTTGACCAGTTTGTTGATGTTGGAAAAGTTGGAACGACCGAGGATAAAACGACATTTGATGATATTCTCGTTATCCGCACCTCTAGGAGCATATATGACGTATTTCTTTTTGGCCGCAGTAAAAGAAGGAGCTAACTACAGCAGTAACTTGAGTGGGATGTTCATGTTGTTCTCGGCTGGGACATTTTTATATGTAGCTGCTGCTCATGTTCTTCCTGAGCTGGTAAGTGGGTTTGATTAGTTAGATGTTGGTTTTAAGGTATTAAAAAAGGTAGAAGTTTGAATGAATGGTCAGGTTTTGGTGGTTTTTAGGTATCAACATCATATTTTTAAAAAAATTCGGCTTAAAAACGTGGTATATTGCTCATAAAGCGAAAGTAAAACATTGTAAACAGATTATAATATGTTTTTATGATAATTTTGAATTATTTCAAAACAGTTTTTACATAAATTATTTTCAGGAGAGCTCGGAAAACCACCATTCATCCAGTGGCCATCAACTTTTGAGCACAGGTCCTCAGGGTATCTCCATTAAGGAGCTAATAGTCATTCTAATTGGAGCCTTCGCTCCTTGTATATTATTCACACATCACAAACATTAAATTAAGTTTTACATACTGATAAAGAGAAATGTATAGGCTTTGTACAATGTTTTCATCTGTTATAGTTTTGGGTACCGAAACATTGTGGGTTTTTATCTTTTGTAGTTTTAGGTATCAAAATAATGTGTTTTTTGTTTGGTTTACTGTATTTTCTGGTTAGTTTTGGTGTTTCGTATTAGTTTTTGATTGTTCAGCTATGAAAACGGAAATTTTGAGTGTTTGTTTTACCGTTTTTGGCCTTTTTTGATGTTGTATTTGCTACAGCTGCAACAAAAAAAGTTTAGGTATCTTTTTAAATTAATATTATCTAAATATAAAAAACAACAAAACTATTATGGATTTCCTTGCAAAGCACGTCGAGCTTGGAAGTTTGTACTTTAACTTACTCATCAGACTGCAAAAGCCTCATTAATAGTTTGCTCAAAGATGAACAAGTGACTTTCGGCGTGTCAAACTGAGCTTTTAACGACCGTTGCAGACCAGCTAGAACAACTATGCCTTGGACTACTGGAAAGTGGTACATCTGGAAGTGCAAATGTAACTTTAGAGACATATGATGACAAAAGACATACATATAAAAGTACATTTGGGCAGTACTGAGCGATAATAGCTAAACCTATATCTCTTTATTTGGGGTTAAACTTTAACATACTTTTTCAAAGGTCTTTATAAGCTAGATACATTGGCAATTCGACTGGAATGTCTCATCTGAAGTTGGTCTTTCTGTAGTAGATCTTGAACTGAGCCCGCTCTAAAAGATGTACCATTTTATCTGGATTTTGAACATTAGCATAAAGCTTATCAAACACGATTTGCTTGGTGACATTCGGTTTTGTTTTTTTTAGAATTTCATTTTTAAAATTAGGTCGAACGAAAAAATTACCATTTTTCTCATTTTCTTTATTGCCATTTTGACTGCGGTCGACTTTGAAATAAGTCAATGTCTCGGCATAAGACTATGGCACGTTCAATGGTCAAAGAGATAGAGGTACCTCAGGATCGGAAGTGCCAGAGGTAGGTTGTTTGTTTTTAAAATATGGTTTTATTAATTTTTTTAAAATTTTTCAAATTTTCAAAATTTTTTTTAAAATTTAACTATGTTAAATTGAACTTTTAGCCGCAAACTCCGTGAACTTGTCTCTCTAACTTCGATTGACCCGACTGTAAAGATCATTGATAACACGAATGTGATCGACAACAAGCAGATCATGTTCGACAAGTTCTATGCTAATGTTCAACATACAGACGAAATGGCACATCTCTTGGAGCGGGCTCAGTTCAAGATCTACTACAGAAAGACAAACTTCAGATGGGACATTCCAGCCGAGCTGCCAATGTATCTGGCTTATAAGGACCAGAATGAGAAGGTATGTCGAGCTTATCTATATCCTTGCCTCTACTGCTCAATCTTACTCTAATATACTTCTATATTAATGTCTTCTACCATCACATGTATCTATAAACTTGCGTTTCTACTTTCAGATGTACCACTTCCCGATAGTCCAGGGAACAGTTGGTCTAGCTGGTCTACAATGGTCGCTAAAAATTCCGTTTAACATGCCCAAGGTTACTTGCTCATCGTTGAGCAAGCTGTTACAACACTATGAAAATTACTCGTTTGTGGTACTTGGTACTGGCTTTACTGAGGCTTTTCCGGTCTGGCAACTCAAGGAACGACCTTCTAAATCGACCGAAACCAGTGGATTTGTCTATCAGTAATTGTCGAAGAGCAATATGATCTAAACAAAATAATTTTGAAATTAAGTAATTTATGGCTTTTTAAATAAATCTTTTTTGAAGATTTTATTGGCTTTGTATGGTACTAATCACATTTGCCGTGGACACTAACTTTCGTATAAACACCATTCGCAGTCTGCAAAACTCCGGGCGCAGCGCTTTGATTCCACGTAAATTATTTTTCGCCGATTTTTCTCGGATTTCTTTGATCGTTTTCCTCTCTTTTATCCTCTTGTTTGACCACCAAAATGACTGACTACTATAACAACAGCAGCAATTTTAATCAGCAAGGTGATAATCAATGGTTTACGGATCCGAACGCGGGCTGGGCTCAATCAGACTTCAGCCAAGGCTATAACACAGCTGGTGGTAAGTGGAATATCTGCGTTTTCAGGCTGAAATACATTTTCTTTTTGATTGAAATTTTTATGTTGTTATCTCTAAACGTTGTTAAATAGTATTTTAATATTATAGATCAATCATACGACCCATACGCGCAGAATCAAGCTCAATACAGTCAGCAACAGCAGCAGAACTACTATGGTAACATGTTCATTCCGTCGGCGCCGGCCGAGACCTCGAAACCTGGCGAAGAGGACTTTGAAAACGAGCCACCATTGCTAGAAGAGTTGGGAGTGAATTTCGACCACATTCGGCAGAAAACCTTTGCTGTGTTGAATCCAGTTGGCTACGCCTCGCCGGATGTGATTGCTGATCAAGATCTGGCTGGTCCACTTGTTTTTTGCCTTTTGTTTGGTGCTTCTTTGCTGTTAAATGGACGAGTAAGTATTTTTTATATTTTGTTTTATTTTTAGACTATAAAAGTGACAGTAACATGAAGAAAACAGGTATTGAGAGCTACATAAATATCTGCTTTTTTGGAGATTTAAGCTAAAACGTAGTGGCTATACGTTTTTGCTAAGGATAACACAGTTGCTTGAATATAGCGAACAGTTATAAATACTTCTTTTACTAAATGCTCAGCATATAATGAAAAATACATAGTATTATGCTATACATGGTTGATATAAGCTAAAATAACATTTTTAGGTATATTTTGGCTACATCTATGGAATTGGTATGCTAGGATGTTTGGGTATGTACGGACTACTGAATTTGTTGTCTGAGGAACGTGCAATCTCATTTACATGCACAGCGTCAGTACTGGGATACTGTTTGTTGCCCATGTCATTACTAGCTATCTTGGCTACTGTGTTTTCATTCGCTGTAAGTTTTAATGGTATTTTTGGGTTTTAAACTGATATTGGTGCTACTGTTTTTGTTTTTATTGTAATGTTTGGTATTTTAGTTTACTCTTAGTGGTTTTTCTTAATTTTGTTACCTAAAAAGTTAAAATTTTTGGTTTTCCTTATATTAAAATGAATTTTTACAGCACGTTTGAGTTTATGTAATCTTAAGGTCTAGGTGCAAAGTTCATACAAGGTCTTTTACACATTTTTATACGTAAAATTGCAGGGGTACATCGGATATGCATGTGCATTGGCCGTGATCGCATGGTGCTCTTTATCATCGGCGAAGTTGTTCTCGATAACACTCAATATGGAAGGACAGAAGCTCTTGGTAGCTTATCCTTGTAGCTTGCTGTACGCCATCTTTGCCCTTCTAGCCATATTTTGATAGAATAAATTATTGAATTTTGATTTTTTATAGTTTTTGTAAATTTCGTGCTATTTGAAACAGGGACGTCGTTTGGGGGGGAGGGGGTGGTTTGGGGTGACTCCCCCCCCTCAGAGCCGATCCGAAAAAAAATCCACAGGTAGGTCCTGTACGTGAAAAAAACGAAAAAAAAATTTTTTTTGGGTCTTCACCCCCCAGAGGAAAACCGTAGCGACGTCCCTGATTTGGAAATAAGTTATTGAAAATGGAGACATATAATGAGGGATCTCCCCTAGGGTGTAGAAGGCGTCTTCCTTTAAGTATACCTGGACTTGTTTTAAAATTTTTACTTGATTTGAACTTTACTTTGATAGATTTTGTTTTGTAAAGAAAGTTCTTGCCATTTTATTAAGACAATTCGATACTTTTTATAAAAAAGTTTATTCGTCTAACAACTACACAGTTGAATATTAATGTAACCATTACATTTTTCAAACAATTCTGCATCTTCTAGTTCCGAAAATTTGCTTTGAATGGGGCACAGTATTATTTGAACATTCTAAAACAAGTTAAAATTTGGTATAGATAGTTTTTGGGTTATAAAATACAGTGCAATTTTTTTATTTTGAGCAATATTTAATGCCTTTAAATCTGTTCATAAAACTCTTTCGAACTATTCTTTTATTTATTCGTTTATTTTTGGCACTTGAGTTTTATAAAAGTTCAGTTTGGATGTTTGCTGATAAACAATTTTCAGTGATTAAACAGTTTAAACACGTGTGTTTTGATTGTTTTTGTTTGTTATTATATACGTTTTTCTTCAGCTGAATTAGTTAGGTTATAGTGTTGGCAATAATTAATTTCAAAAATGACGAGAACTTTCTATACAAAACAAAAGATGGCAAGAATTTTCTTTACAAAACAAAATTTGCAAAAACTTTCTTTACAAAACAAAAAGTGACTAAAACTTTCCCTACAAAGCAAAAAATTACAAGAACTTTCTTTACAAAACGAAAAACGGCAAGAACTTTCTTTACATAGCAAAATATGGCAAAAACTTCCTTTACAAAGCAAAAAATAGCAAGAACATTCTTTACAATTTAAAACTGGCATAACAACTATAAAATAAGTAAAGATCACGTTGATGCCTTTATAATTGCTTTGTTGTGCTCTTTTCTCATCAATAGCTATTCAGTTAATGATTCTTGGAAATGAAACTATTAAATTGTAAAAAAGCTGCAAATTTCATTGAAACTGGTACAAGAATATGAAGAAAACGTATAGCTTGATCACTTATGCATTTATTTTATTTTTGCCAATCATTGCCTTATTATAACTTTCACAGAGGTTTACTGTAGCTCGGGGGGGGAGGGGCAGGGCGATCATAATTTTCAATTATCAGCCAATTTTGAAAATTAAAAAGGAAAAAAATGACCAAAAGTGTAACAGTTCAAAGAGCCCTATAAATTGGGTTATAGTTTAATAAGAAATGGCAGTTTAATTGCTAAACTTTGAGGAAGTAAGTACCAAGCACTATAAACAAAATATAAAAAATAGTCATGTTAAGATAGACTAGAATAAGAAATGGGCTAGTACAAAAAGATAGAGTTAAAAATGGTTTAGGTAAGGCTAGGATAAGGTTCAAATCAAGTGTCGTGAAGTGTTTGAAGCACGTTTTGTTGTAGGCTATAGGCTACAGTATGAAGCCGAGTAACAGGTAAAACAAGTAGTAGAGAAAGAGGGGTAGGTTTAGAGTAAGGAAGTATAGTAAGAAGTAAGGCATTGGTTTTAACAAAGGTAAGGCAACGTTAGTGTAAGATGTAGTAAGTGGTAGGAACGCGACAGAAAGAAGTACAGAGAAGGCAAGGTGAAGGATAGAGTAAGCGGCAGAGTAAGGAGTAGGGTGAGATGAGGTAAGGTTTAGAGCAAGGATTAGGACAAAGGGTAGAGTAAGAGGTAGTATAAGAGGTAAGGTTAAGTGTAAGATAACTTAGGGTAAGAGGCATGGAAAGTGGCATAATATTGAGATTTCGTACTGATCTCTGCTTTACCTTTAACAAACTTACTAAAAAAACTTTCTAAATTAACAGTTAAATGTAACATTAACTATGTGGTAATGAAAAAAGCTTGTTTACAGTAAAACAACTGATCTTTATTCTGTTTTTTAAAGATAGTTAAGGTCAACTGATTGAAACATTAGTCACGTTTTAACATTGCGTTTGCAATGGTTTCTCAAGTTTTACAGATTTTTACAATTGTCATCATTATATTATATAAGGTTGTTCAAATTGTTTTGAGCTATTCCTCATAGCAAATTTTTGGAGTTAAAGGGCACAAAATTTTTTGAACAAACTCACTTTTTTCTTTATTTTGCAACTAACTTTAGGTTCGAAAATGAATGTTAGGCTTAGAAACGAAAATTAAACTTATAAATGAAATTTTTTGGCTTAAAAGTGAAGTTTTAAGTTTAAAATAAAATTTTAGGCTTAAAATGAAGATTTTAAACTTAAAAATGAAAAAATAGCACATATCAATTTCTACTCTATTTTAATATATTTAAATCAATAAAACTATATTATCGTTAAGCTTTTCAACTGACCACCTAAATTTGCATTTGTTTATTACACTTTTTGTTCACTTTGTCGTCGATGAAAAAGTGAAGAAGGCTTTCCAACGACTATAAAATGACTATAAAACCCGTTGAAAGGCGAGTGGAATTCGATTACTCTACTGGATTTGTGAATCATTGTTATTCGAGCTGTCAGCTGATGAGACGAGGTGGTGACATTCATCAAGGCTGTTATATTGTTAGTGTCGTTTGTCATTATTACTATCATATTTTGATTATAAATATGATCGCTTTTACTGTTTCATAGGGTAGAGGGAAGGGAAAGGGGCAGGTTAAGGAGTAGGATAAGGGGTAGGGTAAGAGGTACAGCCAGGAGCAGGGTAAAGGGTAAAGAAAAGAGTAGAAAAGGGGTAGAGTAAGGTGTATGGTACAGGATAGGGCAAGGGGTAAGATAAGAGGTATGGTAAAAATAAAGGTTGGGGTTTTTCCTTTTTTTGAAATTTTTACCTATAACACTGAGGCTGCTGTTTTACCGTACTACAGCTATGTATTTCATTTTTAAGCCTAGAGGTTTATTTTTATGCCTAAAATTTGATTGGTAAGCCTAACTTTCAGTTTTAAGATTCAATTTTGCCTGTAAGCCTTCATTTTATTTTTAAGCCTAAAATTCATTTTTACGTGTAACCTTTCATCTGTAAGCCTAAAATTTATTTTTAAACCTGAAATTTTATTTTTAAGCTTAAGTTTCATATTTATGCCTAGCTTTCAGTTTAACAACAAAAACATTTACTTATAATACTAATATATATAACAATATTATGTAACATTCAATAGACAATATGTAGTATTCTATTCTTGACTACATTAGTCAAATTACATGTATAAATAGACTATTTTTTATATATTCATATACCTAATTGTCTTGTTTTCTAAACAAAACCATCAAATATTGTGGTTTCTATCTAAAAACACGGCCATTGTGACAATTTCGCGACGTCAACATACGTGATTGTCTCATTTGACTATTCACTTACCTATAGTATTTTACAAAACTTTGACGTCATTTTTAATAGTTTCAGAAGGCGGTGCATCTATTTTAAGGTGGTTGAAGAACAACATTTAATTTTGACTACCTACTACATTTACAACAATATATTAAGACTTTTTTATTAAGTCATACCTTGATTATACTTAACCCAACGTTAACTACAAATATTTTAAAATATACTACACTATGTCTTCTACAACTTACAACACAATATTTTTACTATTTGTGTTAATGGTAACCCTAAAAATGGCATATTCCATGCCCTACCACCCAGACACTGAAGATGACGATTACAAGAGCTGGATGGGGTTGATCACGGAACGATTGACTGATCTGAAGTTTGGATCACGTAGATATACTCAATAGTGTCATATTTTATGTATATTTATATTATTTTATGTAGCTTTGAGTTATCTGTACATACCCGATATTACACTTGATCTCTGGATAAATATTTGTCATAACTTTTTAAAATAGACATGGATTTGACCGAAATTTTATGTAATAACTAACTATATCAGATAACATCACTGTGCAAAAAATTGAGCATATCAAACCGTTTTGAAATTTCAAATTTTTGAATTTCGCGCCATTTTTGGCATTCTGTTTTTTCTACATTTTTGGAATTTTATAACCTTCTAGACGTTCCAAAAGCCATAAAAATTCAAAATTCCGTAATATTTTCTATAAAAGTCATTTTAAAAACAAAAATCAAGCTCAATATTTCATTTAACTATCTAAAACAACAAAAATTTTCATTAACAAACATTTTTTCAACAAAAAATTAAAAGTCAAAATCCAGTTTGCGGACGGCGCAGAATTCAGCTACAGTGTCATTGGTGACGGTTTTGCGACGTTCTTGGAAGACGGCGATAGCTTCGGTGATAACTTGAGCGGCCTTTGCTTTCAGCTCACCTGTCAACATTGCGCCTGAGGTGTAGTTCTGAAATGGTCAAAAATGTTACAAAAAAGACTATTTCTACCTGTAATGTCAAAAAATTGTCAAAATACTACCTAAACTAGCTTGAAAAAATCAAAAAATCCCAATAAAGGACTAAATATTACCTAAAATTAGAATTTTTCTTCTAAAAACCATTTTAAAACCAAAATTTTCATATTAAAATTTAAAAAAATACCTTTCTAATCTCTTCTAGCTCCGCGTCGTCTTCCAAAAAGTATTTCAAGAACTGGAATGAAGTGTCCACCTCACAGTTACCTCCATATTGTCTATGTTCCTCTATCGTGTCACGGCCACCACTGAACGCGTACTTGTTGATCTATAATATGTAAAATACATTATTTTATAGTACTTTTCATATTTTGTTAATAAAATTCATATGTGATTAATAAAACTGCAAAAAATCATCTAATATTACCCAAAATCCTCAAAAACGCACCTTATTTTTGATTTGTTTAGGTGTATCACTCAAGAAAATGCAGGAATTCGTGTCAGAAGCTGCCATTTTCGATTGTGCTCCTTGGAGAGCTGGTAAGAACGATGAGTATATCATGGCTGGCTTTGGGAACTTCAGCCTTGGCGCTACATCACGGCACATTCTAAAGTATGGGTCCTGAAATTGTCGACTTTAAACGTTGTGTTTTATACTGAAACGTAAAAAAAAACTAAACTTTTTAAATTTACAAAGTATTTTTCAGGCTTCCAAGACTCATATCAACATTATATCTTACCTATAGTTAACGAAAAAGCCCAATAAAATTTCAAAATATGCTAAAAAACACCAATTTTTAGCAAAATTTCCCCTCTACTACAATATAAATCGTTGTATCTTCAACCAACCTGATCAATAGCACATGGAATTAAAGCAGGAATGTCCTTTTTCTTATTGAACACATGTGGAAATGATGTTGAAAAGCAAGGGGCGGCTTCAATTGCTGGAAAAGCCGCCTTCCCCATCGAATCTTCTCCACAGAAACCAAAGATGGCTCGGCTTTGATTGTTCGTCACGGTTTTCCATATTTTCAAAATGTTTTCGTAAAACGCTGGACTGAAAAAAGTTTATCAATACCTGAGGCGTCTTTATATTCAAATATTTAACCATACAGAACGTATTTTACAACATATACATCGAGTCTTATAAAAATTGACGTCTATGATAATATAATGCATGTAACAAATAAAAATTAAACTTTTACTGTATCCTTTTACGTCCAAAAACAATCACTTACCACATATACTCCGTATCCATAAAGATAAACGTCTTTTTCGGATCAAAACCAACCGAAATTATGTCTTTTATATTCTCCTTGGCACACTTCCTGGCTTCGTCCAAAGTCATGTCCTTCCACAAAAACTTTTCATCTTCTGTTATCTAAAACATTACTTCTTAATGTAAAGTACGTCGATTATCATCGAAGAAAACTTTAAAATACAATTTATTACAAAACATATTATCAATGACATCTACTATAACTTATGTTTATACTATTTTATTACCTGAATAACAAGTGGAACATTGAAGGCTTCCTGTAGATACTTAGTGAAGATGAATGGAATCAAATGGCCAAGATGAAGACTTCCTGAGCTTGGTCCTCTACCAGTATACAAGAAAAACGGCTTTCCTTTCTCAACACGGTCCAAAATCAGCGATAGATCCCTGAAAAAGCCATCTAAATGTAAATTCAAGTTTACAAAACAATATAATTTGTAAATATAGTAAATAAAAAAACCTAAACTAACCGTTGAGCAAAGAAAAGACCTCTCCTCAACATAACATGAGGCGGTTTTCCAGTGATCTTCTCGATTCTGTCCAGCAGATCTTGGCCAATTGGTCTGCAGCCGAATTTTTCTAAAATTACCAAATTTTACATCGTAAACTCTTTAAAAAATGATTAAAAATATTATAAAAATCTAGACGGAAATTGTCGATTTGCATTATACACGTATTTTACCATCACCAACCTAAAATTTAAAAAACTAAACATAAAACAACATACCAATCAATTTCATGTAGTCAATGCCCTTTTCAGAGCTTGCTTGAACATCCCATGGCGTGACTAGATCCTCAGCTTTCTCGTGTTTACCGTCTTCAGCAGCAGCTTCAATGTTCACTCGTTCAACTTGTTCTACAAGCTCGTCCGTCATTTTTAACCTAAAATAATATGAAAAATTTAATAAAAACTATTTAAAAACATATTCAAAAAAATAGTCTACAAACTCGCAAAACATTCCACAGTTCAAGGTTAATGTGTAACTACGCGTACAACATGTACAATAGCTTTTTATTCAAGAAACACATAAAAAGTAGCCACCCAGCCATATGTATAAGCCAAAAACCTAAATATAACAAAAAATGAAACTATTAAAAGTACAGAACACAGTATGTAAGACAAAATAAATAACCATGATGTGTAAATGCATGAATTGCATCAAAAAATGTCCCAAATTTTACTTTTAAAAAAGTTATTTGACACTTCGTTAAAAGACGCAATGCCAATTGATTTTGGAATTCGTGGAGAATATTTTTCGGGAAATTAGCGGAAAAGACGTGTAACAATCATAATTAATGGCACTTTTCTGGTTCTAGACCTAGTTTTTTTGTTTTATTAATATTTTCACTAATTTTTAAGTTATTTTATATTTTTTGCGCATTTGATAGATATGTCAAGTTTAGTTACAAAAGCACAAAGAATTAAATTTAATTCTCTAAATTAAGTATAGCTATGGAACCTCCAAACAATCCTGGGTACAATAATTATGGCTACACACCGCCACCACCACAATATGGCCAAGGAATGCCTCCACAACAGCAGCCTTCAGATCCTTATGGCCAGCCACCGCCGAACTTTTCTCAATTTCCTGACCAATTCTCGGCCGCTTTCAATAATCCGATTGTTCAGAGCTACGCTGAAGGAGTAAGTTATTGTTTGTTATATTGGTTTTTAGGTAGAGCTTGTTGAACTACTAGTTATAGCCATTTTGCGATGTTATACTCGATAACAAAAGGGCATAATAGATTTTTGACTATAACTTGTTGGAAAAGACAGCTAGAGACTTGAAATTTTAGAGATTTATACCTTATTTAATTTGTTGTTTATATTTTTAAACAATTTTAAAAAGTATTGTTAAATTTCAGTACAAGAAGCAGATATACGAACAATATGTCGCCACATCAGCTCAGACATTGAAGTACTACTTTGCGGTCGACACGAATTATGTTGTAAAGAAGATTGCTTTGATTATGTGCCCGTTTTTGCATAAAGTAAGTCAATGTATAAATTTTTGATTAAACTTTTAGGACTGGAGTTCTCATCCCGGAGCTAATGGTGAACAAGCGCCTCCAAAGTATAATATTAATGCTCCTGATCTATATATTCCTGTTATGAGCTTTCTAACTTATGTTTTGGTAGCTGGATTTGTTTTTGGAACTCAGGATAGGTATGTTATTTGGAGTTTGTTATCTAAAATAGGTATTTTTAAAAAAGAAACGTGTTTTATTGTAGGTTTGAACCGGAGAAGCTTGGTTTATTGACAACGAACGCCTTGTTTTACTTAATATTGGAAAACTTGGCCATATTTGTGACAAAGTTTGTTCTCAACTTGTCACACACTTTAAACTTTGGCATTGTCTTAGCTACAGTTGTTACAAATATGTCGCGTAAGTTTGCTGGGTCTAACATAATATTTTTGGTTTTGTGGGCCATTATGAGGTCTAAATGGATGTTTTTGATTAAAAAGGATGTAAAAAGGTTTTGACTATTTATATTTAGGTAAAATGTTTTGAATTTTTGTTAGTTTAGGTAATAAATTTGATTTTATCGTTATTAAACAAATTTCAGCATGGTCTTCTGTTTACTGGCATTTTTGGTTGGTGGAAAGTCATTATACTATTGTGCATTGGCTTACAGTATTGTGGCTACAGTATTCTTCTTAGTAAGTATATTTTTGTTTGTGCTTTTTTGTTTTAAGGTAACAATATTACAAAAATTATATTAACTATGATGATAACAAAATTCAGCTCCGATCAATGAAAATCTATCTATTAGACATGGCAAATCGTGGTGGAGATCAAAAGAAACGAAAACTATACTTATTACTGTCAATTACTCTAGTACAAGGTTTGATTATCTGGCTACTTACGAGCAGTGTAACATCGTACATGCCTGGCAACTACAATATTGCCAAGATGGCGTTGGACAAGATGGGAATCAAGAAGAATGAGGTTCCAATGACTCACGACGGTGAAGTGGACTATGAAGCATTGTTAAAGATGGAATAGATGAAGTAGTCTTCATATAGTCATTTGTTAGGATGTTTAAATAATTCTGTGCCTTAACCCTTAAAATTTGATTTGAAAGAGGGCCTAAAATTATTTGAACAACCTAATGTAATGATGACATTAGTAAAAATCCACAATATACTCCTATGTTGTAATGTTTTGTTAATTTATTACCTTTTCTTTACATATAAAGTGCCTTAATATAACAGTAACACGTATGTGATCATGTTATATACATAGTAAATTATTTTTTACGTTTAATAAAGTCGTTGAATTATGTTTTGAAAGGGTTTGGTAAGGTTTCTATCCAATATTTTTGATTAATAAGGGGTTTTTGTGAGGGTTTTTGATGTTTTTGCTTAAAATTTGATTGAAAATACTGTAGTAGAAAGTCTATCAAAGTCTTTATGATTATGTTTAGGACATTTAGGTTCATCTTTAGACATTTTCGACTTGTTTTAGGTTAGGGGTGAGAAACGGGCCGGCCTTGAGCTAAAATTGAAACGGGCCGGGCTTGAAAATTGGGCCCGGGCCCGAAAAAAAATTTTTTAAATTTTTAAAAATTTTTTATTTTAATCCCCGTTGATGTTTTTTGATTTTATTGGGTACCATGATACATAAATGATCTAAAAGAACAATGCAAAGCCATATTTCCGTTTATTTTTTAAGTTTTAAAATTTTTAAAACGGGCCCGGCCCTTTTCTCACCCCTATTTTAGGTCTTGGACTTTAAGCCTTAAACAATTTATCGAAAAATTAGTTTTTATGCCAAATTTTTTAAACTAATCAATAGTTTATAATTTAGAGATCAAAAAATGCCGGACCAACCCCTACTGGTACTGTATGGTACCGAAACTGGGACCGCGATGGATTTGGGTGAGGCTTTGTGGAGAGAATGCAAGAAACGAGGAGTGTCAGTCCGGCTAATGCCCTTTGATGAATATAATCTCAATGTTGGTAATTTTTATACCTTTTCATGTTTTTAAATGTCTTACTTTTGTTTTTTGAGAGTTTTTAAAGTGTTTTGTAAAGTGGTGGGGAAGTTATTGAAAAAAGTAACGAAGTGCCACAAAATTTATCGGATTTTGGAAAATTAGCTAATATGTTAGCAAATAGATTAAAATCTGCAAAACAATGTCAGAATAAGATTATTTAAACTTAAAATAGTTTTCTCAACGCAAATTATTCTAGGATCTACCATCCGAACCCCTAGTAATATTCATCGTATCCACCAGCGGCAATGGTGAATTACCATCGACAATGCGTGAAAACTGGCGACGATTACTGAATAAACAAATACCAACAGACTGGCTAGATGAAACCGAATTCATTTGTTTCGGGTTGGGCGATTCAAGCTATCAAAAATTCAATTTTGCCGCCAAAAAGCTATTTCGAAGGCTATTGCAATTGTCAGCAACTTTATTGTCAGAGCTTTATTTGGCCGATGATCAACATGAATTAGGCCCTTATGGATTGTTCAACGAGTTTTTGGAGAAATTCTGGGCAATTCTGAAAGAAAAACGGTCGATTTTTAAGGTAAAAAGGGTGAAATAGTGGCTTTTCATGGTGTATATGACAGTTTTTTGGTTTTACCTCTCTGGGTTTCGATTATTTTGGACTGGTTTTTGAATTTCATGATATTAAACAAAATTTTCGTTATAATAAATATAGTTTTAGTGCAATATTTTAATTGTAAAATCAGTATTTTAGACTTTCCATCAACAACCAGACCCTCATTTCCCTTACAAATTCGAAATCGGACCGCCAGAAGCGATTGAAAGCCACAGTAGCGAGTTTGTTGAAGTACAATGCTTGAAAAATGAACGGGTAACATCAGAAGACCATTTTCAAGAAACCAGATTAATCTCCTTCTCCACAGACGTTCCTCAAGAACATCACGATCGACTACAATATGAACCGGGCGATGTTCTTATGATCCAACCCAACAATCTTCCAGAAAGTATAACCCTAACCAAAACGGCATTACATTTAACTGAAGATGTCCTAAGTCGACCGTTTAGTATCATACCAACCGAAGATACTATCAAACTACCACCAGTATGGCTAATACCACAACCTACCACCCTAAATCATGTGTTGAACAACTACTTTGACCTTCAAATGATCCCAAAACAATCGTTTTTCAAAACTCTGGCCAGCTTCTCCCAAAATGAAATGGAAAAAGAGCGTCTGGAGGAACTGTACGATCCTCAGAACCTGGATGAATATCTGGATTATGCTCAACGACCAAGACGAACAATAGCAGAAACTTTGAGGGATTTCGTCGCAACTTCAGCAACTTTCTTTGAAAATCTGGAATTCGAAAAGGCGGTGCAAAGACTATTCGAATTGTTTGTACCAATAAGACCAAGAGCTTTCAGCATAGCATCAAGTCCAACGGCTCACAAAGGAATGATTCAGGTTATTGTAGCAAAGGTGGGTAACTTTGAAAAGGTGTTACTGTAGGTTATGATAGAGGTAAAGAATGAAATTTAAGTATAAAATGCAGGAAAATGAATGGAAGTTATGGTAGTTGCAAGCAAAACCCTTAAAAGTTTTGTTAGATTAGTTAAAAATTCAAAAAAATGGCTAAAAACGCCTAAAAATCTTAAATTTTGGACATGGATAACATAATTTAATCACAAATTTATGAAAATAAACAAAAAATTTTAGAAAACCTATTTTAATTGTGTCAAAACAAATATCGTTTGATTTTTAAAAGTTTAAAAATAATCGGAAAACACATCTAAAAGTTATGTATAAAAATTTATATTATCCATGGTACAAATCGGGGATGGAGCCAGTTTAAATGTCAGTTTGGCAAAACTGTGTAACCGTTTATCTAAAATACTAAAACAAAAAGATGTAGAATTAAATTCCGACCATTTTGAATACAAATTTACAAAGTTTTAAACCATTTTCGGTGCAGAACAAACAATAAACGAGCACGTTTCCCGCGAAAAACACCCAAGTGCTCCGCTCCGGCGCGAGCAAACCAATGGCTATGCGAACAAAAAGGGAAGGCCTCCGTGGGGGTATAGCTCAGTGGCAGAGCAATCGACTGCAGATCGATAGGTCCCTGGTTCAAATCCGGGTGCCCCCTAAAGGCTTTTTTGCACTTTTGAGCGGCCGGTGTGGTACAATGTGATGTTTTAAGGTTGTGTGTGACTTGGTATTAGGTTTTAGGTAATTTTAAGGGTATTTTCAAAAGATTTTTAGTGTTAAAAATGACATTTTTGAGGCAAATATTGGTTTTTAGGCAAAAAATGGCGTAAAAGTTGTGAAATTAGGCCTATAGTTAATCTTTTAGGTGTCCTACCGGTCGATTGTGATGAAAGAACATAGAAAAGGATTGTGCAGCACATTTTTGGCTCAAATTCATCCCGGTGATAAGGTAAAATACGATGTTAATAACCGTTGTTTGTATATTGTATAGTCTTCACAAACAGTGTGATAAAATCAAAACAATTGTAAAGAAAGTTTTTGTTTTAGGTCTACGTGATGATAAGAAAAGGCACATTTAAATTTCAAAACCTGTACAGTAACCCGAACCTCAAGGCGATCTGTGTGGGACCAGGAACTGGCATAGCACCGTTTCGGTCATTTTGTGCTGAAGTTGAACAAAAATCGACCAGTGATTTGGAAAACATGATGAATATGGAAGAAACAGTTACTGGGAATTCTGAAAATGCAAAAAAGTTAGGTCAAAAAGGTCGAAAATCAACTGATACAGAGGAAAATTTGAAGAAATCGGCGGATGAATCGCTGAAAACGGTCGAAAAATGTGTCGTATTCTTTGGATGTCGTAACGAAAACAAGGATTTTTACTTCAAAGAGGATTGGGGCACCATGAGGACCACTACCATGGTACCAGCTTTTTCTAGGCCAGAGGAAAAGGACCAGAAAGCTTATGTTCAAGATAAAATAAGGGCTTTTGGAGAGGAGATTTGGAACGTTTTGAGAGATAACGGTAGGGTTTTTAGCCAAATTTTAGAAAATACGACATAATTTTGACCTTCGTTTGTAAACATAATAATTTCAGGCAGTATTTTCGTAGCCGGCAGAGCCAAAGAAATGCCAGATGAAGTGATAAAAGCCATTAAAGATGTCATAGTCAACGTTGGTCATATCGAAAATCCCGATGAATTCATGAATCAGATGGAAAAACAAGGGCGGATTCAGTTTGAAACTTGGGATTAGGCTTGTTATACAAGCTTTAAACTAGGTTTCTTGAGAAAAAATATTGACCGGTTGAATGTTTTTTTTAAAGTTATCAACCGGTCTACACCTCGAATTTTTTTTGTCATTTGAGGTTGTATTGCCTTACAGGCTTATTTAAAAGCCTAAAATTTGGTTTTTCGTCAAAAATTTTTCGACCGGTCGATTTTTAAAACTTAAAATTTTTTGAAATATGTGCCATATGCTTTGTTATTGTTGATTTTGTACAATAAATGTTATTTTACATTGAATTTTGATCACTTTCACATGAGTTTTGGTTATCAACCAATATTATCTATACTTGATGTTATTCGTCATATTTCGATGTTTCAACTGCTTTACATTATTTTTTTTGGTTAAAAATATATTTTGAAGATGTTAGGCTACCTAAAATTAGTAAAATGGATTTTAGTTTGCCTAGTTTAAACCTAAAATGACCATTTTCAGATGATTTCCCTATCAGAACCCCTACTACAAGATGTTATCGCGGTTTTAGAATGTGTTACCTCAGTAATACTACTGTTTATGGCTCTTGGATTTGTTGATTTTGGAATCTGGAACAAGCTTCTTTTTCGCTTTTCAGCGTTACAAAAGAAGATCAATCAGAAATCGGCCGAATTGAAGCAGGAAAGAGAGATGTTGGCCAAGATCCCCATGATGAAAGAGTTCGCCGCCTACGCCAAAAAAAAGAGAATTGTCGACAAATTGGAGGATGAACTCAAGGAATTGAGTAGGTCGATTTTATGGCATGGTAGAGTTGCTTTTTGGATGTCTTAAAGGGGTGAAAAGGGTGGTTATTGGAAATGTGGACGAAATGTCACAAATCATTTTTAGGAAATTTTTCAGCTTTAAACTGGATTGGAATTATATTATAAACAGTTTTTAAATCAATTTTTGACAGGATAACAATTTTTATTTTTCCAATAATTTTTGTGACATTTCGTCAAACTTTTCAAAACCAGTCTCAAAATTGCAATTTCAGTGAAATCCCGATTCCAAAACAAAATGACCGGTGCCCTAGTGTGGAATCTAGGTGGAAGATCAATTTTACTTTTCCTAGCCATTTATTTGGCTAAACTATCGGCCGATTTGGTCATAACGACAATTCCGGCCAATGCTCTAACGCCTTTCAACTACTTCTTGGCCTACCCGAACTCGACTCAAAATGAGGGTAAGGGTACTGTAGGGAAGGGTGGGGTTGTATGTTTGGGTTGTAAAGAAAGTTCTTTCCGTTTTTTACCTTGTAAAGAAAGTTCTTGCCATTTCAATTAAAAATATTATTTTAGTGACCCCAGTATCATTGTTCTCCTTCCTAATTCATCTCAGCGTGGCTTCCAAAGTGGCGTATCTTCGTATTACCAAACCGAAACGTATAGCTTCGTAATTATAATTGGTTATTAATAATTATTTTATATCAATATTATACATAAAAGGTCATAAATAGCTTTAAATCGCTTAAATTTGATGGTTTTTTCATTTTTAAACTATTTTTTGCCGTTTTTTGAAGCGTAAGAAGTATAAAACCTTTCTCATAGTTTAGAAAACTTATTTGTTACCTAAAATATTAATCTACCGCCAAAAAACATTAAATTATACTGCTCGTTATTAACATTATTCAAACAATCTATATAATACAACAAAAACCATGAAATCTAGTCTATAACACAATAAAAAGCCATGAAATAAGTTATACTACACTCTCCTTGCCCTCCAATCAATGCAATTCACATCAAACTCCTCGTCATCATCACTGTCCTCCTCTTCTTCATCTTCACCATCCTCTTCTATCTCATTTGCCAATCTTTCTTTGGCTTCGGCCATTAAAACTTCCTTTTGTTTCTCGAGCTCATTCATTTTCTTCCACATGTCAATATGTTCGTCTATCATATCAATATCTCGTCGTACGGCATCGGCTTCCTGCAAAAAATTATTTTACTTTAGCCACCTTTAGATTGATATTAACATCCTTTGCTTTTTTGATCATAACTTTATATTTAAAGCAGCTTTAGGCCTAAAAATAAAAAAAAAGTTGTAAAAACGTACATCTTCAACTTCAGCAGCTTCTGTTTCTTTTCGGTCAATTTGCTTCACTTCTGTCATGAATTTGTCAAACTCTTCATCTAGGTTCTTGGACTGTTTCTCTTCGTCAGTTCGATTCTCAAAGAAATCAGATGGCAATCCGTTTGTAGGTTCTGCTTCAGCTTCTTCTGGCTCTACTTCCATTGCTGCCAAACTTGGAGCATGTATTTCTTCCGTTTTTGCTGAAAAATTACCATTGTATATTGTTTTAGACCTCAGAAGAAGGTGGTGTTCAATTTTTGATCAAACCAGCCCTTTTTCTTGAATAAAACCAGCAAACTGCAACCCATAAACTCCTAAAAACATAAACCAACAAGAAGTACTTACATCGCTTAGCAGAAACACTTGGACCTTCACCATCACTATCGCTTTCGGCTTCCCTCTTTAAAGCTTGTCTTTGTGCTTCCTCCTTCCTTTTGGCTTCTTCTATCTTCTGCTGCTTCTCCTGCACTTGCTTCAAAGCTATCAACCGTTTCTTGTGGTCCTTACTGACTTTATGAGCTTTTTCCAGCTTTCTCTTTACTTTAATGTGGCATATTTGACATATATACGTATCGTCTGACATTAAACCTAAAAATATACAAAAAAAAGAGTTAAATATTATAAGAACACAACTAAAACGTAATAACGGTCAATAACTAGAAAGAATATCGAAATAAAGCTAAAAAATAAAAAATAATTTATGTGAAACGAAAAGCCAAAAATCTTTTGCAGCGTTCGTTTTCGTGTCAGGACCAATTACATATAATAATGTTAATATATTTTTCTCTGTAAAATGTTAAAATAATGAAAGATTAATGTTAAAATTAAATTTATTGTTGAAAAATTCTTCCAAGTTGTTAAAAATGTGCTCAGGATCATCTTCGTCTAACGCATCAACCTTCTTTCCGCCTTCTACAGCTCAGGGAATGACGGAGTTTGATAAATCTAAATTTGAGTAGGTTAAACTTTTTCAAACTAGCTAAGTTTAGTGTCTTGATAGTATAATTTACCTTTTTTAGAAAACAGATACGTTTGCCAATTCTACGGGTCCCGGAAAAACAAATTGGACGAATTTTAGGCTTAAAGCCTCTTCAGAAAGCCTTTATCAAAAGTGGTATGACCTTTAAAGTAAGTTAACATTCTTTATCTAAATCTTTATTTTCGAGGGTAGCTGATGGAGATGTAGCCGGTGAGAAGTTGTGTTTGTTGGATCCGGACAAGCTGGACGAAGAAACAACTGAATCTATATTATCTATGGCATCGAAAGCTTTATCGACGGATGTTCAGCTTGAATACAAGGAATTTTTGATGAAATACGAAGACTGGGATGTGAAACGTTGTTTAAAAGCTATTTTACCGGACGGACTTGATTTCAGTTCACACACACAGACCGGGCATATATTACACTTGAACTTGAGGGAAGAGCTGCTGCCTTACAAATTTGTGATTGCCAAAATTTTGATGGATAAGATACCATATGCCAAGTGAGTTACGAGCAATCTTTAAATATATTTTTTAAGGTAAAATACGTTTTTACCCTATTAATTTTTAAATTTAGGACAATCGTAAACAAAACAGACAAGATAAGTGCTGAATTTCGATTTTTCGAACTAGAACTGCTGGCAGGTGAACCAAATTTTGAGGCTACAGTTACAGAGCACTCTTACAAGTACAAACTGGACTTTAGCAAGGTAACGATTTATGCTTTTGTTGGTTTTAGGTGAATTCTTGAAAAAAAGATGGTTTGGTCTACTACAATATCGGATTAGCTCTTATCTCAAGTGAACTTTTTTCGGTTATGGAATTATGCTATTCTATTTATTGGCAAGACAATTTAGAAGGTTTTGGCTATTAATTCATGCAAGTATATGGTCTATAACATACATAAATGATGTGATATTAACCATAACCTTGTATTTCAGGTATTTTGGAATTCTCGCCTTCTAAACGAACACAATCGAATTGTAACTGAAATAAGGAATTCCAAATCAAAAACCGTACTATTTGACGTGTTTGCCGGAGTGGGACCATTCGCAGTACCAGCCGCATTCAGTCCAAATACTCAAAAAGTCTATGCGAATGACCTGAATCCAGTTTCAATTCAATATTTGAATGAAAATTTGAAGTTGAACAAGGTAAACAAGGACAAAATCAAGGTTTTCAATTTGGATGGAGCTGAGTTCATCAAGAATGAGGTACCCAAAGTTGTGTTGGAGGAATTAGAGAGTGTAGAGAATGGAGAGACGGAAAAGAAGCTGGAGTTTCATGCTGTTATGAATCTTCCTGCTATGGCCATAACGTTTTTGCCGCATTTTGTTGGGACTTTAAGGGAGATTTGCGATAAAAAGTGAGTTTTTATATCGTTTTAGGTATCGAATGAGGTTTTATATTATTTTAGGTAAAAGAGTGAGATTTTTTTTATTTTTAGGTAACAAAGTGAGAGGTGGATAATTTTTTCATTTTCAGATTCAGTACCTTTGATTTCTACTGTCATGTGCATTGTTTCGCCAAAGCCACTGAAGATCAACCTCCAGAATGGTTCAAAAACCGCGCGATTGAGATGGTATACGAGCAATTACCACAAGATGAAATCGAAATATTGAATTCTCATTTTGTTAGGAACGTAGCAGGACGTAAAGACATGTATTGTGTGTCATTAAAATTGTCAAAAGAAGTGTTAAAAGGCGTGAAACACGAAGAAATCAAGGATAATATTGAGGATGATGGGAACGATTACGAGACAGAGGCAAAGAAGGCTAGAATTGGAGAATAGATATGAGTTTTAAATGACTGAGGTTTCAGAAGACCTTTTTGTAGTTAATATAACAATTTGAAAGTTTTTGATTGATTGGTTCAAAAGTTATCGGACTTTTTGCACGGTGCAGTCTTTTTATTAGAAATTCTTAAAAATTTGCACGTGACAGATTTTTCGAGAACTTTTGAAGTCAAAACTTGTTTTAATATTGTTGCCTATGCTCTGTTTGTTACTTTAGGTACAATATATTTTAGTTTAATCTTGTTTTATATTGTTATTTTTAAGTTTTGTTGTGATTGTTGTTAAGTTTTGTTATTTTCTGTAAGTTTTCAAAAGTCTATGCCAGTTTTGATGATACCTAATGGTAAAATTAATTAACATAGCCATGAACTTTTTTAAAATTATGTTTATATTGTTATAGAATAAGAGTATTTGAAAATATTTTGTGATATGAAGGAGATATACGTGTTACACTCAAGTACATACCAATATTTTTGAGATTTTGAAGGATTTTTTAGTTAAAACCATAAATTCTTGCTGTTTTTGATGTGGATACGACTACTTCGGGTCAGACAGGTGCCTACCACATCGACAGCTTCATTATGTACGGGTTATACGAGGTTGTTGGAAAGAACGGCGGTTCAAAATGGCAGAAGAACGTTGTATAAAAAGAGGCAATTTCTTGCCTGGGAACCTATTTCTTCGGAAGACATATGGGAGGCTATGCAAATACGACGAACTTTCGCCAAATTTGCTGTTAATAAGTGGGTTTTTTGGATTTTTTAAAGTTTTGAAATTTGAGGACTTTTTCACAAAAAAGTGAAAGTTAAGGTAGATCTTTAAAATTGCTACTAATTGTTTGATTTTTAAGTCACTATGTCTTCGTAGGCATTATTTTAGGTATTTTATAGGGACTCTTTTTAAAAATGAAATTTCAGGACCTTTTCACAAAATTTTCTAAAATCAACTAAAAATTCGGAATTTCAAGGAAATTTTAAAAAATTTTGTAACAGTATACTTTTAGCTACTCATTTGATCGAGTAGCGGCCTTCGGACCCGACCTAGCATGCTTAGAATGGCTAATGAATGCTGGAGCAACAGCAGTCAAAATGCACGATGGAACGACGATAACTAGTCAGAAACAGATGAGAGAATACCTCAAAAGCTTTAATTTGGACACGACGAAATTGGTAGGCTTTTCTGAATATAGCCAAATGGAATCTTGTTTTGAATTGGATTTTAGGCTTAAAAATGAAATTTAGGCTTAAAAATGAATTTTAGGCTTAAAAATGGGTTTTAGGCTTAAAATGAATTCGTGGGCTTAAAAATGAACTTTAGGTTTCAAAATGAATTTTTAGGCTTAAAAATGAAACGTTAGGCTTAAAAATGGATTTTAGGCTTTAAAATGAATTTTTAGGCTTATATAAATCTCTTATAAACCTAAACTTGCAGACCCCACTACACCCAAACATAAAACCTTTAACCCTGGATGAATTAAAACGGTTTCTACATCGGCCGCAATTCTACTCTCAACGATGGCATTCGGCTCCAGAAGCCTACATTGAAGAAGTCGACGCCACTGACTCAGCCATCGTCGATCCCGGATTCCAATACTTTCTCGAATTGAAATCGACCAAAAAGTTGATAATGAACTTTTGCGATTACTTTTACAACGATGCGATACGAATATTGTGCGCGGGACGGCTACGACACACACTGGAAGAGATCGAAATTTGCTTTAATGGTCATATTGATGAAACTGCCTTCAGTCAAATTGCTAGGCTGAAAGGTGGGTGGTTTGAAACCTGAAATTTTTTTGGTCTGTTTTTTTGCCCTGGTTGTATTTAATTTTGACTTTTTAGGCCTGAAACGAGCCCACTTCTACATGAACCCCTGGATCAAAAGCGAACAACGAGTCCGAGCCATTCTCAAGCAATCTCTACCACGACTTGAGCTTACCTACCCTGAGATGGGCTTTATTGGATTAGGGAAGACACCAAAGCAAGAAAATCAGAAGGCCAAGGAAGCTACTTAGGTTTAGGCTTATGGAAGCTTTTTAGGAGTTTAGGCTTATGGAAGCTTTTTAAGAGTTTAGGCTTATGGAAGCTTTTTAAGAGTTTAGGCTTATGGAAAGTGCATACAATTTTAGGAGACCTTCATAAGTTTAGGCTTATTGAAGCTTCTTAAGCGTTTAGGCTTTCAATTTTAAAAGTTAGAAGCTTTAGGCTTATGCTTTTAAAGAAAAGAAAGTTTAGGCCTATTTTATAATATGTGAAATTCTTAACAAAACGTTAGACCTACGATAATATCAATAGGTAAATGTGTAAAAATCCTCATTTCCAACGAAGAAAGGTACTATTAGGCATTGTAATTTTGTTTTCATTGTTTTTTGTTATCAAAATAAATAGAAAAATGAAAAAAAAAAGTTGGAAAAAGTGGTTTATGGTAGAAGGAAGTATGGTAACTTCGAAATTTTTGCGAATTTTAAAATTTTGCTTTATGGGCTTAATGACAAAGTTAACAAGCTATAATGACACCGACTACCAAGTTTTTAGCTGTAATTTGAAAAGAGATACGATACAAAATGGCAATATTAAATATTTTTTTGCTAAAAGTAGGATACGGTAAAACTACTGTAACTTTAAAGTTTTTGTGAATTTTAAAATTTTACTTTATGGGCTTGATGAAAAAATGAATAAGCTACAACGTCTTGGCTTTCTAGGTGCATTTTGGAAAGAGTATGCTTAAAAATGTCATAACGTTTCAAAATTTTAGAAAAAAATATGGTGCAGTAGAATTATTGTAACATTGATATTTTAAAATTAGTCAAAATTTTGTTTTTGGGGTTAGATAAAGTGTTAACTAAGCTACAATGGCACAAATTTTCATCCCAGGGGCGTCGCTAGGGGGGTGGAGGGGGTGGATCCATCCCCCCCCAGAGCCGATCCGAAAAAAAAATGCACAGGTACCTGTACACGAAAAATCGAAAAAATGTTTTTTTTGAAAAATCGGTCCACAGGTAAGCTACTTGTAAAAAAAAATTTTTTTGGGTCTTTAACCCCCCCCCAAAAAAAATCCGTAGCGACGCCCTTGCTTCTAGCAGTATTTCGGAAAGCGGTATGATTAAAAACGACAGACAATCCTTTTCGATTTTTTTTCAAAAATTTTTAATTTTTTAAAAATTTGAATAAAAGCGCAAATTGGTTGAAATGTTGTAACAACCGGTCGATGGACCATTTGATTTTGTATTGCGGTCGAAAATCGGCGGTGTCCGGCGTAGAGAAATGCCAACACAAAAAAAAGAAATCAAGACGAATCTGGCGAAGAGAGTCAAGACAGGGAACACGGCGCTGGAAGTGGAAGTGACGCAGCCAGATGAGGACAATAACGAGAACGAAAAGTTTGGCTATGGTCAGGTGGTGGAGGTAGGTTTGCTTTTATTGGGGTTTTTAGGGTTTTTTGGCTGTTTTTTAGGTTTTAATGGCGTTTTTTGGCCATTTTTTGTGGCTTTTGGGCCATTTTTGGGATATTTGGTGCATTTTAGGTCGTTTTTATGGGTCTTTTGCCATTCTTTTTTTACTACAACACTAAAACCCACTATATTATTGCAGGTAAAGCTGTTCGAATTGAACAAAACTCGCGAGTATATGATCTGTGAAGCTGTAGGTGAAGGTGGTTACTCATCAGTCCATTTGGCCAATGATTTGTCGAGTGAAGACGTGTTTGTGGCTGTGAAATGCATTGACTTGACCAGTCCCAAAGTCCAACGCCTTGGGAAACAAACCGAATTCGAAGTGGAAATCCTACAGAAGCTACAGCACTCGGACTACGTCGTGCAGTTACTGGCGGTGTCGGTTCTTTTAAAGCTTCTTTTTGCCTTGTAAAGAAAGTTCTTGCCATTTTTCGTTTTGTAAAGAAAGTTTTTGCCATTTTATGCTTTTTAAAGAAAGTTCTTGCCCTTTTTTCAAAACTTAAAATTTCAGAAAGACCATCCCAAACCAGGTGATATACATCTTCATGGAGCTGGGCAGTGACACTTTGTCCAAGATTTTCTACGACAAACGACAAGAAAAGACCTCGGTTACCACGCCCTTTGTCGTAAGTTATTGGACTCAAATTCTCAAAGCTGTCGCATATATCCACAAGAATGATGTTCTACATTGTGATATAAAGGTAGGCGTAGTATTTTAGAATTATTAGAACTTGTTGAGAGCCATTTGTCTCTAGGCCTAAATTTAATTTTTAAGCCAAAAAACTCTTTTCTAAGCCTAAAGTTTCACTGTTAAGCCTAAGAATCAATTTAAAGCCTAAAATTCATTTTTAAGCCTAAAACTTATTTTTTAAGCCTAAAAGTCATTTTTAAACATAAAAATTTGTATCTATGCCTATATTAAATTTTTAAGCCTAAAACTAATTTCTAAGCCTAAAATTTTATTTTTAAGCCTAAAACCCGTTTTTAAGCTTAAACTTCATTTTTAAGCCTAAAACCCATTTTTAAGCTTAACCTTACTCTCAAATTCAAAAATTTTAAATCTTCAGTTGGACAACTTTGTCACAGTGGACGGTCCGTCGATTCGCATAAAACTGATTGATTTTGGCTGTGCCACCCGACTGTCACCACTAACGGACGCGGTAATTCGTCGCAAAACCCTTGGCACCATTCGATATATGGCCCCGGAATACCTCAAATATCGACTGGTCAGTAAGGAGTCGGACGTATGGGCACTGGGCGTGGTGCTTTATTTCATGTTCATGGGGGTGACTCCATTTAAAGGGACTCGAAGCGAGGCCAGAATGGCCATTATTAACAAAGAAGCCGAAGTCAGCGATGTCCCAGATGCCGCAGCGTTGGCTACACTTCAGGTAGGGCCATTTTTTGGTACATGAAAGTCAGTTTTTGTCATATTTGGCTTTGTAAAGAAAGTTTTTGCCATTTTTTGTTTTGTAAAGAAAGCTATTGCCATTTTGCGTTTTGTAAAAAATTTTTTTGCCATTTTCAGGCCATCTTCCAACACGACCGCGAGCTGCGACCGAGCTGCAATAAACTGTTGAGGAAGTCTTTTGTTTCCGGCACAAGCACTACGAACTCCCAAGGATCGTCGACCGACAAGGATTCAACCTCCGCCAACGACGCTTCCAGCAGCAAATAAACTGTCATTTTGAATTTTTTCGATTTTTTTTAATTTAAAAATTTTTTCGATTATTTACAACTTTTTTTGATGTGTAGCTAGGTGCATGAAACTTTATGTGGGTTATTGTAGCCTGTAAATTATGTCATCTAACCCTCAAAACAAAATTTTAAAATTCACGAACATTTAAAAGTTACAGTAATTCTACCATATCGTAATTTTCCAAACCCATTCGAAATAAATTCCTTCCCTTGATTTTATAACAAATTTTAATGAAAAAATCAACAAACAACAATGAAAAACGAGTACTTAGTTAGTAACAATAACAATGTAAGGCATTTTGAGCCAAAACAGTGTGAAGGCATTGCTAAAATCGCCAAAACTATATGAAAAATGGTAAAAATTGGCCGTTTTTTGATATTTTAGACCATTTTCAGCACTTTTCTATAAACTTCTTGACCACAAACATGAAAGAACAGTCTGTCCACAAGACATTTTTTATAGTTTTTAGAAAGAATAGCTATTCCACAAGATATTCTACCCTTCTAACAATTTTTAAGCCATTTCTCAAGACTTTTCGACCACTTTCGCTCTAAAACTTTCTTCTTTTGGGTTTGAATCCCTTTTTGGCCGGTTTCTTCTCAAAGATTTTTCGCTTTCGGTTGAATTTCCGTTCTTTGGCTTCGGCTCTCTCCTGGAAGTCTTCCATTGCATCCACGGCTTGTTCAGCATCCTGTAAATACGACAACGAATCACCAACGTTGAAGGCTTTGGCCATGGCATCATCCCGCTCATCATCATCTGAATCCTCGTTGAATCCGCGTTTCTTCATCTTCTTCAGATTTTTCTTCTTGAATTCTTGGTCATCGTCTGATTCTGAATCTTCATCGCCGTCGACGCTACCATCGGCTTCTGAATCCTCATCGTCTGAGTAGTCAAAGTCGGCTTCCGAAGCGTCTTCATCTTCAGAATCGGCAGACTTCTTACCGTGACTTGATTTCTTTTTACCAGAATCCTCTTCTCTATCAAGTTCTAAATCATCTTCACCATCAACATCAGAGGCATCTTCATCAAAGTCATCGTCAGAGCCAGCTTCAACTCCATCTCCGGCTTCCGAATCATCGTCAGAATCCTGAATCTCATCCAAAGCATCACGATTTTTGCGTTGTTGTTTCCTCCGTGCTTTGGCTTCTTTGTCGGTCAATTCGCGGCCAAAAGCTTGGCCAAAATCAATGTCAAAGATGTCGTTTTTCTCTCCGGGTTCGAATCTTTCTAGGATTCCTTCAAATTCTTCTGAATTCACCGACGCTACATCGTCAAACTCGTCTTCGGATTCGTCGTCCTTCTTCTCTGGCTTTAGAGTCTTTCTGTTCAGTTTTATCGTTGCGAATCGGTGAAGGAATTTCTCGTCTTGAGGGATTTCGCGTTCTTGCATGTTCGCGTACTCCTGAAATTGAAAAAGTTAGGTTGGAATGTGGTGAGAATAGGGTGGGACCAAGTTAAAGCTATTTGTAAGACTGGATAGAATGAGATAGGTTAAAGCTAGGGCGAAAACAAGTGCAAAAAAAACTAAAATCGATCACAAAACCCTTACTTTAGAAGCAATATTCATTCTCTTAATGCCACTTGGTACATATCCTCTGTACTTCCCGTCTTCGGCCGTCTTGATCTTCGGATTCTTGAAAGCAAATCGATCCAAGAACCTGATCAAGGTGAAGTCGATCAATGCGTTTCCTTTATATTGCACTTTCAGACCATCCATGATACGTTGAGCAAACACCGCCACAGACGGGTGATAGTGTTGTGAGAGGGCATATAGTTCGGTATCGACCGTTTTGTCGGCGTGGGCAAAGAGAGGGTTTCTGGCGAATGGATCATAATCAATGTGTGCCATTCTTTTTTGTACGTCTTTTGACACCAAATCACGGTACACCCATCCTTTCTTCGGTTTTTTGGGTAGATCTGGCTTTTCTTCTTCTTTTACTTCTTTATCATCTTCTTCTATTTCTTTATTTTCTTCTTCTATTTCTTCATTATCTACCTCTATTTCATTCATCTTTGCTTTACGACCTTCCCCAAGCCCATTAATCTTGTTCTTATTGAAGATTCCAGGAACTTTTTGACCTTTCTTTAAGATTCCATTAACTTTCCCAACTCCATTTTGAATTTTTCCATTTACTTTTGGACCATCGCCAAATCCATTAACTTTTGGAGTAGATTTTGACTTTTTATCTTCTAGTGGAACATCAAAATATTGTTCTTCTTCTTCATCGCTTTCAGCATCGGCTTCTTTTTTCAATGCCAATCCGGATTCCGCCTTTGGAATTGAACGCTATAATTGAAAGATAGTCATTATTAGTTCATTTGTTGGCTTGTAAAGAAAGTTTTTGCCATTTTTCTACCTTGCCAAATGCATTTTTTAAAAATTTTTAAATCATTTTTTCAAATTTAAAAAGTGGAAGTTTGGTGGAAGACTTTCAGTGCAAATTACTCCACTCAACTTCCATTCTTAAAAAGTGTCAAAAACGTGTTTTTAGGTCATTTTAAGACATTTTGGATGTGGAATTTTGGTGGAAGATTTTCAGTGCAAATTACACTACAAATCTTCCACTCAACTTCCATTAACCAAACTGGTCATTTTTTGTAAAAGAAATTCTCGCCAAACGGTCAAAAACGTTGAAAAATGTCATAAACTCACATCCGAATGCTTGACGAGTTGAATAAGTTGAGGCCGGTCATTCAGCAGCGAGTTGTATAACAATAAGACAGCGGCCGCAAAGGCTGGTGTGTTGATTAATGCCAACTGTAGTAGGCGTTTTATGAACGCTCTGACCCGATCTTCCACTGGATCTGCTTTCAGGACTTTGTGGATGAGGTCAAAGAACTGAACATCAGCTTTTGAGGATCGTACTGTTAACATTCGTTGATAGAAGGCCGAGTAAAAGCGATCGGAGAGGCCGGCACTAAAAATGATTTTTTTTTTATTTTTGCCTTAAAAATCAGCTAAAAATTCATTTTTTTCAAATTTCCAAAAACCCACTTAAAGCTCATGGCCTGGAACAGCAGCCTCAGTGCACTCAGAGCCGTTGACAATTTCTTGGCCGTGTGTACCACCTTGTACAAGTCGTCGAACTGTTCAGTCAATTCGGCCGCTTGATCTTTAGCGAATGGGAACGATCGATTCGCGCCTCGTATGACATTAGTGAGCATTTTGTGATTCACTGCCTTTTTGAGGATTAAAATTCGAAACATTGAAAAGTAAATCTTCAGAAGCTTCACTGCCACTTCACTATCACCATCTCGTAGAGGGATGATAGTCAATGTGTGAATGGCGTAGAATTGGGTTCGTTCTGGAATGTTCTTCCTAAAAATGGTGATGATTAGCTTAAGCTTTCGGCAAAAAAAGCTAGAAGTGTGGGAAGAAACCGATTTTAGAAATAAAATTTAAGTGGAAGATTTGTAATGTAATTTGCACGGAAAATCTTCCACTCAACTTCCACTTTCAAAATGTCTTAAAATTGCCTAAAAACAAGTTTTCGATACTTTTTAAAAGTGAAAGTTGAGTGGAAGATTTTCAATGTAATTTGCACTGAAAATCTTCCACCGAACTTCCACTTGTAAAACTCTTCAAAATTGCCTAAAAATAGCATAAAACAGCTTTAAAATGCCATAAAATGATCTAAAAATACCAAAAACCTACCTGAAAACCAGCCGTTCCAGCTGTCCGATGACCACTTGTCTCATATTTGGATGTTTCTCGACCAAATGTTTGATTTGTTCTGTCGCTGTAACGGCCACTTTCTTCTTTGGATGACCGATTTTTTCGACCAGTGAATTCAGTAGAACATCTTCTTGTTCTGGTCGTTCTGTGAGTAAGTCTGCTATGATGACAACGGCTTTTTCGGCCACGCCTTCGATCTGGTTTGAGGTTAAATTCTGAAGAAAAAGCTCAAAATTTTTAAAAAATCACAAAGTTTTGAAATTCAAATAAAAAAAAACATTTTTGATCCCAAAAGCTTACCTGTACTCCGTGTACCACGCTGGCATACAACTTTTTGAGTTGACTTTCAAATTGCCACAATATCAGTCGTTTATTGGCTGAATCCACATTACCTCCTGATAACTCATCCAACAGATCCAGAGGCCTCTAAAATACAAAAAATATATAGTTTTAAAGATTTCATACTTAAAAATATATAAATCAAATTTCGTTACCTAAATAAGATTAAAAAGTTAAAAACTTACTCTGTCCAATGGCACCAACTTTCTGTCTGCTGGGAGTAGATTTTTGATAAATATTTCGCGAAAACTCTCTGAAAAAGACAAAAATAAGGTCATAAAGAGTAAAACACGACATGAAATCAAATAAAACATCTCAGACTTAAATAAGTTTTTTAATAACCACCCCCAAAAAAAATTTAAAAAAAATTACCCCGCCCAAAATCAAAATTTTCAAAAATCCGCTTCTAAATCAGCTTTTAAAACACTAAAAACACCCCCAAAGCAAAAATTTTCAAAATTACCCCACCCGGTGCACCCCCTTTTAGATCTTTTTTAAAATTCAAAATCCACCCCAAAAACCAATATTTCGAATAAAAACCTACTCATAACAGCCACCAAACTCCTGGTCTGTTTCTTCGTGAAGAAGTTGACCAGAGTTTCAAGATGTTTGATCGAATGGACTGGATCTTGAATGATTTTGAGTTGAATTGCACTCAACTTGTCAGACATGGTTCCTTGCTCCACAATCTTGTCCAGAAACATGTCTTCTGAGGTTAGGGCACGCTTGTTGGCTAAAATAAACTTTTTGATGACATTTTTATTTTTTAATTAAAAAAGTTGAAAAAACCTCCATTTTCATACCTAAAATCTCAAAAAACCTCTAATTTATTACCTAAAATTCAATATAAAATCTATTCTAGAGCCTCAACTTCGAAAATGTCCATTTTCAGACCTAAAATCTCACAAAGCCTCCAATTTATTACCTGAAAAACCAAAAACTATTCAAAAATCCTTACTTTTAGCATGAGTTTCGATCTCCTTGTTAAGCAACTTCTCAGCCCTCTTGACCTGATTCAAATAGACCTCACTCATGTGATCCATTGGCTTCTCTAAAGTCTCATTGAACCCGTGGTCAAACCATCGTTCATCTACATCTAATTTGACCAAAACCTTTCTACTAAAGCCTTCCGAATCCGTCTGTTCCTTCTTTTTTCGCTCTCCACCATAACTTGTGTCCAGCTGCTTGAAGGTCTTGACGGCCTTGCCATTTTCGTTAAAACGCTTGTGTTTACCCATACCTATAACAATTTTTAGAAAAAATAAAGAGAAAATGTCACAACTATCACAAGCATGGTCTAAAACAATATGAAACTCAAAAATCAGACAAAAAATTCAAATATCAACTGGTGTACCGACCAGTAATAACCACCTCCAAGCCAAACCTAATACACGCAAAACTTTATTCTTCACCGAGATCATCTTACTTTAAATCTGGTTCACCACAATACTTAAAAGTTACTTTAGATCCGTTTCGAAAGCTTTTAAATAGATAAAATTTGTAAATATAATAAATAACTGAGCAACCGGTCGATAATAAGGCGTTTACAATGGGTTCCTGGTAAAGTAATCCACCGCGAATTCGAATTGTTCTTCGCACACGTTCAGGAGGACGTTGAGTTTGGACTGAAAATAAAAATTTTTAAATTTAAAATTTTTAAAAATTTAAAACTCCAACAACTTTTCGACCAAAGCAAGCCTTTCTCAAAGAAACTCTTACCAATGGCTGATCATAATTCGGAGAGACGCCTTGTTGATGTTGAGCCAATGACAATCCAGCCAAGGCGTAGCAAGAGTGATATGGATCAGGACACTTTCCTGGCTTGTCTCTGAAGCCGCCTGAAAAACATTGGCAAGCAAACAGAATATATTCCTCTAGGCCTTTTGGATTGAAAGCAACAAAGTCGGCCGGTTGAGGATTTAGGTAGGTTTGGGCGATGATAGCTGATGCTCCAACCCAGTAACTGTAACATGTGTCAACCAGCTTGCAGGTACGGCCCTGAAATTTGATTTTAAATACATAATGCTCATTTTTTTGATATTAACCTCCTTTTGATTTTAACCGGTACAAACCTAAAAATCAATATAAAAAAGTCGATAACATACCGAAAAACCACCTTCAAATGGCAGTTGCTTGAAGGCACAGAATCTCAAAAGACCTTCTGCATCGATCAGATGACCTTTTTCCAACAAAACCAAGGCAGCTGCTCCACATAGAGTATATCCACCATGAGCCTCACAGTCCGGAGCTCCCGCAAATCCACCTTCGTAGGTCTGGCATCTGAAATAGCTTGTTGTAGTCAACGATTTTTTGCAAAAATAGAATTTTTCATCCAAAAATCATATAAAAGTTGATACTTTAAGCTAAAAATTCACGTTTTTTCAGCCAAAAAACCGTATTTTAGGCACAAAACTAATCTTTTAAAAATCACAAATTTACGAAAAGATAAGACTTACCTCGTCAACCAACCAGCAACGCCCTCAAACAGCGGCTCATTCATAATTCCACAAACATAACAACAAGCTATCATGCAGTAAACAGCTCTAACATCAATCTCGCCTGTCTCGTGCAGCATAAAACTTCCATCAGGCAACTTCATAGTCCAGTAAAAGTCAATCAACTTCTTCCTGAAATTGAAAACATAGCAAAAATTAGTAAAATTTTAGCTAAAAAAACAAAAACTTCATTAACTAAGCCATCCACACCTTATCTCGTCCAAAAATGCCATTATTAATCAAAACGCTACTTAAAATAACATTTTTCGAAAAGAAATATAGAAGATGCTATTGTTAACCGATTATTACCTGTCAATAACAGCTAACGCTTCTTCCGTGCCAATAGTGACCAACGACATAACAGCAGCGTAAGTTGTGGCCATGTGAGAATAATTTCCTGGAGCTCCGCCAAAACCACCTTCTGGATTCTGGCATGATTTCAAAAACACAATAAACCTATAAAAAACACATTAATAGTCCGAACATTTAAAATTCTACAAAAAAATAAGTCAAAGACAAAATTTTTATATTACTCATAAACGTGTTGATGTAAAGCCAAGTTTATAGACGTTTTTAATATAAAACTTACTGTTTTTCTTCTTCTTTAGTGAGTTTATAACCCAGCAATTTTAGACCATGCAAACACCAAAAGCAAAACCATGTTCTGCTTGATTCTTGACCCTAAAAACTTTAAGGATAACATCAGCCAGTGTCACAATGAAACTTTCAAATTACATGTGTAAAACAGTCAAAACCCCAGCACATCATATTGCACAAGTATCCCAAGATTCTCCTCTATCTTTTCATGTATAATTCATATAAACTTACAGCGTAACCATTTGGCAATAAGGCGATATTCTCCTTGAACCACTTGATATGCGGCTCTTTGTTCAGATAAAACTCTTCTTTCGCGTGTTTGTCAAGAATGTCCGTGACCCGAGCTTCGTTAATCTTCTAAACACCAAAATCAACCAAAAAAGCCTCAACTTACTTGCGCAGTCGACGTGACTGTCTCGCTGTCCTGATCATCGCACGCAAAACGCGGATCCCCGATGTGATACCCAAGCTCGCTTTCATAATGAGGTTGATGTTGAGATTCTTTAGTTGCTTCCATACGTTCCATTTGAATTTTCAGAATTATTTAGGCACTTTTAGGTTTAGAAATTCATTAGAAACAATTATTTTTCTTCGAAAATATTTTCTATTTTCCCACAAGGGAGAAGACGAAGTGTCACTATTGATTAAAGCGCGTTCGGGGGAAATGTTGTTTTTGAAGGATTGTTACTGTTTTAGCCGTGGAAAAAAGGTAAGTAATATAAGAAAAGATATTAAATTACATGACTATTAAGGGATTAAATCATGTAAAATAAAAATGTCAAATAATTTTTAATTTTAACGCCTTTCTTAGGCTATTCAACTTTTTTTTCTTGTTTTACATTGAGGTCTGATTTGTTTTTTACTTGTTTTTTTCTGTTGTATGTTAAGATAGTGTTCCGTGTAGGTTGCAGAACAAGGTAAGCCTTTAAAAATATATATTTTTCCAGGATTTAAAGCTAATTTCTTTAAGTTAATCAACACTTCCGACTATTAAAGATGCCCTGATTTATTTATCAAAAATAGCTGCTGATTCTTTACTTTCTCTTGGCGGCACAAGTTCCGACGTTCAAAGATGGATAGGAAGATTCGTCAGTACGGATGCAGTTGGTCTTGGCGGTGATGGCAGCTGGACATTGGACACGTTCGAAGCTGACGTTTGGGTTGTCGGCACCTTCAAACCAGTCGAATCTGAATTCACAACCGGATTGCAAAGCAGTTGGCAATTCCGAGGTACAGTCGGCTTCCGAGCTGACACCACCGTATTGAGCTCCCCAGCCTTCAGATGGGGCTCCCCATTCAGCAGTACATCCGTTGTAGATACCAACTCCACCTCCGGGCATGGCCAAATCAAATTGGTTGGATCCGAGATCTCCACCAGTGTTGGTAGCTTGAACAACAAGAGTCTTTCCAGCAATAGCAGTGCTGGTGAAGGTCAAAGCGTAGCAAGAGCAGCACCAGTCGGATTCAGATTGGCCGGCAATGTTAACAGCGGCAAAACCATAGGCCAAAGTGTCGTTAATGGCCCATGGTTGTTGAGTTGAACAAGTGTAAGCACTGCCACCATCGCAAGCAGATTGAGTGTTACCATCGTCGTTCAAAGCAGTGTCAGTGACATCACACGATGTGACTGGAGCACTGACGGAAGCTTTTCCTGACCATCCACAGGAAACCTTACAACAATCCCTATAAAGGAATAGTTTTCTCAATAAAACTAACATTTTAAGGTTTTAAAGGGTTATAATGGTTATAAGGTTAGGGCCAAAGCTGCAGTAAGTTTGCAGAACTTACCAGTATCTGGTCGTGACACCAGTTTGGGTTTGAGCAGCTACAAGACCAACCAAGGCAATGAGGGCAAATGTCTTCATACTGAACGAGTCGAATGAATGATTAGTTTAGATAATTGTTACCTTTTATATTGTTTTTAGTGTTTGTTTAACCTCAATAGCTCAGATTAAAGTGGTTTTCAGATTTTCACATTTCCGTATTTAATATTTGCATAACAGTTATCTCTCCATTAAAGTCATATAAACTTGAAACTGTGAATGCTGTGCTATCTAACGGCACTGACTATTATTATACTATTTTCATTTGTCTGACTGTCAATTTTGGTTTGATATTGAGGATATGAAGTTAGAATTGTCAAGCTGTATATACAAATGAGGGTTCCATATTCAAAATTGAGATATGGCTTGAGGGTGTTGATTAGCTTTAGAGTTTCCTTGTTTGTCCAAAATAGTCACATTTAAAATGACTTAAATATTTTTTTATTGTGTTTAGTGAAAATAAATTTATACCACAACCCCCTTTGTATATACAGCTTGAAAATCCTAATGCCATACCCTTAATATCAAACGGAAATTGCGAGTTAGATAAATGAAAATAGTATTATAATATCTATGACCGTTCGATAGCAGAGCATTTTAATTTTCAAGTTTATATAACTAGTGGAGGGGTAACTGTTATACAAATATTAGATACGGAAATGTGAAAAGCTCAAAACCGTTTTAATATGAGCTAGTAATGTTAAACAAATAATAAAACGATATAAAAGATAATAGTTATCTCAAACCTATCATTCATTCGATTCGTTCAGTATGAAGACATTCGTCCTCATCGCCTTGGTTGGTCTGGTAGCTGCTCAAACCCAAACTGGTGTCACCACCAGATACTGGGATTGCTGTAAGGTATCTTGTGGATGGTCAGGAAAGGCCTCCGTCAGCGCTCCAGTAACTTCTTGTGATGTCACCGACACTGCCTTGAACGATGATGGTAACACCCAGTCTGCTTGCGATGGTGGCAGTGCTTACACTTGCTCAACTCAACAACCATGGGCCATTAATGACACTTTGGCCTATGGTTTTGCCGCTGTTAACATTGCCGGCCAATCTGAATCTGACTGGTGCTGCTCTTGCTACGCTTTGACCTTCACCAGCACTGCTATTGCTGGAAAGACTCTTGTTGTTCAAGCTACCAACACTGGTGGAGATCTCGGATCCAACCAATTTGATTTGGCCATGCCCGGAGGTGGAGTTGGTATCTACAACGGATGTACTGCTGAATGGGGAGCCCCATCTGAAGGCTGGGGAGCTCAATACGGTGGTGTCAGCTCGGAAGCCGACTGTACCTCGGAATTGCCAACTGCTTTGCAATCCGGTTGTGAATTCAGATTCGACTGGTTTGAAGGTGCCGACAACCCAAACGTCAGCTTCGAACGTGTCCAATGTCCAGCTGCCATCACCGCCAAGACCAACTGCATCCGTACTGACGAATCTTCCTATCCATCTTTGAACGTCGGAACTTGTGCCGCCAAGAGAAAGTAAAGAATCAGCAGCTATTTTTAATAAATAAATCAGGGCATCTTTAATTATCGGAAGTGTTGATTAACTTAATGAAAGTAGCCTTAAAACTTAAAAAGGTTAAAATTTATGGTCTTAAAAATTAATCATTGCACTAGAACAAGGCAGAAAGTTTTGAGGAACTAGGCTTACCAATTTTAGAATGACGAGAAGGTTGTCAGAAACTACATTATTAATGGTACATGTATAGCAAGATAAAAATTTTTATATTTTTTTTCGGTATTTTCAGCAAAAATTTTATAAAATTTACGACTAATAGAGGACAGGCCCTCGAAAAAACATTAAGTTAAACTGCCGTACTTGCAGTAAAATGTTGGGTCGTTTTAACCCACATCGAGTATGTTTTACATAAGATGTTATGGATAAACATTTATTGTTTTGGGGTCTTATTTTTTAAGATTTTATTAGAAAGTTTTGGAACTTTTGAAGTTAAACCATTTAATTTTTCAGAGTTCACTTACAGAGATTTGAAAATTCCCGATTAATCTTAGATGCCTGAATTTATTGTAAATCAATCAACGTAATAATTAAAGAACCTAGTATGTTGGGTAAGACGATTCGTCCGTACGAATGCAGTTAGTCTTAGCAGTAATGTCAGATGGACATTGGACACGTTCGAAGCTGACATTTGGGTTGTCGGCACCTTCGAACCAATCGAATCTGAATTCACAACCAGATTGCAAAGCGGTTGGCAATTCAGAGGTACAGTCGGCTTCGGAGCTGACACCACCATATTGAGCTCCCCAGCCTTCGGATGGAGCTCCCCATTCAGCAGTACATCCGTTGTAGATTCCGACACCACCTCCGGGCATTGCCAAGTCGAATTGGTTGGATCCGAGATCTCCACCAGTATTGGTAGCTTGAACGATCAAGGTCTTTCCAGCAATAGCAGTGCTGGTGAATGTCAAAGCGTAGCAAGAGCAGCACCAGTCAGCTTCAGTTTGTCCTTCAATGTTAACAGCGGCAAAACCGTAGGCCAAAGTATCATTAATTGCCCATGGTTGTTGAGTTGAGCAAGTGTAGGCACTGCCACCATCGCAAGCCGATTGGGTGTTACCATCATCGTTCAAGGCAGTGTCGGTGACATCACAAGAAGTTACTGGAGCGCTGACGGAGGCTTTTCCTGACCATCCACAGGAAACTTTACAGCAATCCCAGTATCTGGTGGTGACTCCAGTTTGAGTTTGAGCGGCTACAAGGCCAACCAAAGCGATGAGGGCGAATGTCTTCATACTGATTCAATCGAATTGATGATAATCTTTAAAACTTTGGACCTTATATATCAGATCAGTGTTTGCCTAATCCTATTAGCTCAAACCGAAAGTTCAAAAACATTTCCAAGTTTAAACCTTTTATGATTCTTTCTTCTATAGTGATGTCCATATTTTGCGTTATCTCTAAAGGTTGATTGAGTTCCTGATGTTTAGTCAGCTTTAAACTTGACGGATATTTTAGAATAATATATTTCCGTTGCTTCTGAAAGTCACATTGTATAAAGCACAGAATTCAAAATGGTAAGCTGATTATACAAATGAGCTGGGTTACAGTCTTCCTTTGATTATCACACTAATGTTAGCACAAAAATAATAAAATTTTTAAATTTATTGAAATCTTTTAGTTTTTGTAAACTTTAGTTCAATTTAGTCAAAATAAGTGTTTTATTTTACTGTTGGTATGAAACGTTAACAGTATTTTTGATAATAGGTTTATACAACTTTTATGGTTATTCATAATAACAACCTTTACTGAGCCTACAAAACTGATATTGGTAGTGCACATACTGCAAATCAAGATCATGAAAGTCATTTGTATAACCAGCTTCCAACCTTTAACTTGGTGCTCCGCTTTCTGTCACCTTATGGGTTACAATTCAAAACAAAATCTATTATTTTTAAACTTTTGAAAGCTGATTAAACATACAGGAATTTGAGCAGCCTAGAGGCATAAAGCAAAATGAATATGAAATGGCAGATTCATACGGAAACGGATTATGCTCACAAACCTTTTTGAACTTTGGGTTTGAATTAGTTGGATTAAACAAACACTGTCATGATATATAAAGCGATGGAATTGACAGCTTATCATTCATTCAATTGATTCAGTATGAAGACATTCGCCCTCATCGCTTTGGTTGGTCTTGTAGCCGCTCAAACCCAAACTGGTGTCACCACCAGATACTGGGATTGCTGTAAGGTTTCCTGTGGATGGTCAGGAAAAGCTTCCGTCAGCGCTCCAGTAACTTCTTGTGATGTCACTGACACTGCTTTGAACGATGATGGCAACACCCAATCTGCTTGCGACGGTGGCAGTGCTTACACTTGCTCAACTCAACAACCATGGGCCATTAATGACACTTTGGCCTACGGTTTCGCCGCTGTTAACATTGAAGGACAAACTGAAGCTGACTGGTGCTGCTCTTGCTACGCTTTGACCTTTACCAGCACTGCTATTGCTGGCAAGACCTTGATTGTTCAAGCTACCAATACTGGTGGTGACCTTGGATCCAACCAATTCGATTTGGCCATGCCCGGAGGTGGTGTCGGAATCTACAACGGATGTACTGCTGAGTGGGGAGCTCCATCCGAAGGCTGGGGAGCTCAATATGGTGGTGTCAGCTCCGAAGCCGACTGTACCTCGGAATTGCCAACTGCTTTGCAATCTGGTTGTGAATTCAGATTCGACTGGTTCGAAGGCGCCGACAACCCAAATGTCAGCTTCGAACGTGTTCAATGTCCATCTGACATTACTGCTAAGACCAACTGCATTCGTACTGACGAGTCGTCTTATCCAACATACTAGGTTCATTAATTATTACGTTTATTTATTTACAATAAATTCAGGCATCAAATATTGATTTGGATTTTTTATAACTTGCTAGGTAAGCTCGAAAAACAAGAGCTTTCTATTTAAATATTTTCATATTTACCCAAATTAATTACTGAAGAGGGCTAGTAAAGCTTTCAATCAGAGTTTTACCTTTTGGGTCCGGTCCGCACGGTCCGGATTTTTGAATTTATTTTTCCCGCCAAACTCATATCTCGAAAACTATAATAGATATCAAAAAACTAACAGCATCTAGAAGGGTCAGCACCATTCAAAATAGGGATGGTGGAAAAAGTTTTAGACCGATTCGACCGGTAGAAAAAAAGCGCGGGAAAACAAAATTCAAATTCCGGACTCCCGCATTGGGTCCGGTCCGGGAAGAACTCTACTTACAATGAAAGTGCCCAACCTGCTCTGCTCAGCATATAATTCCGAAATTCTGGAGCCACTGAAGGTTTTGTTGGCCTCTGACATCGTCTTCTTCAGTTTTCATTCAAAGATTTGAAACTATGGTAATATGTAGGTGTTATGTCCGCTGAGTACATATATGGCTGGGGACTTATACTTCAAATTTTTTTCTTCAAAAATATTTTTTTTCTCAGTGAAAATTATAAAATGGCGCAGAAAAATACAGAATCTTGCACCATTTGAAAAAAATATCGTTTGAAAGAGAGAGAGTCTTTCCTCTAGTGTCTCTCGTTTTATTGTGCTCTCTTTTTAAAACGGCGCAGAATTTTTTATTTTCCTGCGCCATTTTTTGGTTTTCACTGAGAAAAAAAAATATTTTTGAGAAAAAAAAATTTGAAGTATAAATCTCCAGCCATATATGATGGACAATAACATCATACACAAGGCCCTTCAGTTTTTCTTGGGTGTTATCTTTGCCACATGAGGCAGTTATTCCCATTTTCAACGCAAGATGTATAGAATCATACGTAAGGAGATTTGGGGGATGGAGAGATGATAAGGGTTCGGTGAAGAACATCAGAACAATCCATTGTAGCTGCTCCCAATTGGCTCCATCCAGGTAATCCTGTTTCTTGAGCTACCGAGTCGTGATGAGGTGCTTTTCAAGACTCCAGGCCGTAGTCGAAAGTCTGCGTAGGCTTTGCATCGGATTTGCCATAGTCCGCGAGGCATTGTTATCAGGGTTGGCAACAGGGCAGGGCATATGCCCTGTAACAGGGCATTTTTGAACTTTTTTTGGCGCGCTTTTTAAAATTTTTTTGGCTAGGCCTAAAAACGCAAAAATTTCTAGAGATGGGTTTTAAACACTGTTAATCCATTATACGTCGTTATTTTCTTGATAACTATTACAGTTTTCAAGACATGAGTTTGGCGGGAAAATGAAATTCAAAAAAATGCCCTGTTGAAATGCCCTGCCCTGTTGCCAACCCTGATTGTTATGTAATATATAGTTTGCCAAGGGTCAAGGGGTAAAAATGGAAAGTAATGGGGAAGGATGTCTTCTTGTCGGTCACTTCGTTGGACCGACAATTTTTCTTTGGTGGCTTATACTGATGAAAGATCTACCGTTTTAATCAATAGTTTGATTACGCGAATTTTGTGTTCATATCCTGTAATACTTCATGTAACACTTCATAGGCTGACAGTACTGACCAAATTTCTTGGTATCTCACAGTGTCAAAAACTTTCATAAAGCCATACATGTACTAAGTGTATCCTTGAAGTCGATCAATAGCAAGTGTAGCGGAATGTCCCATTCTCGACTTTTTTCAATGAGCACGTTGATTGACGTCAAGTGATCTCTGGTAGAAAACCTTTGCTTTTTTGCTATCCTTGTGAAAACTGCAAATATTTTTTTTCAAAACAAAACTTCAACAACAAAATATTTAAGAATTTTAAAATTTTTCCACAAGCAACGCATAAAGTTCCAAAAACTGTAACGAACTGTATGCTCAGCTTATGATTCCACGGTTTGTTCTTTACCTAATGTGACTATTGGGAAACAAGAAAAAGTAAACTATATTGAAAATATCCGTCGAAATGTTAAGCTGATTAAACATTAGTGATCCACACAGTTTTAGACATCAAGCAAAATTCATAAGCGATTACAGAAGTATATACATAAAAGGGGCTTGACCTTACAAAACGTTTTGAACCTTCAGGTTAAACAAATACGACTGGACAAACACTATGCTAATATAAAAAGTGACAATTTTAACTAATTATCATCATTCATTTGATTCAGTATGAAGACATTCGCTCTCATCGCTTTGGTTGGTCTTGTAGCCGCTCAAACCCAAACTGGCATCACCACCAGATACTGGGATTGCTGTAAGGTTTCCTGTGGATGGTCAGGAAAGGCTTCAGTCAGTGCTCCAGTAACTTCTTGTGATGTTTCTGATGCCCCATTGAACGACCAAGGTAACACTCAATCTGGCTGTGATGGTGGCAGTGCCTACACTTGCTCAACTCAACAACCATGGGCTGTCAATGACACTTTGGCCTATGGTTTCGCCGCTGTCAACATTGCTGGCCAATCTGAATCTGACTGGTGCTGCTCTTGCTACGCCTTGACCTTCACCAGCACTGCCATCTCTGGAAAGACCCTTGTTGTCCAAGCTACCAACACTGGTGGAGATCTCGGATCCAACCAATTTGACTTGGCCATGCCCGGAGGTGGTGTTGGAATCTTTAACGGATGTACCGCCCAATGGGGAGCTCCATCTGAAGGCTGGGGTGCTCAATATGGAGGTGTGAGTGCTGAAGCCGACTGTACTCAATTGCCATCTGCTCTTCAATCCGGTTGTGACTTCAGATTCGACTGGTTTGAGAACGCCGACAATCCAAATGTCAGCTTTGAACGTGTCCAATGCCCAACTGCCATCACCGCCAAGACCAGCTGTATTCGTACTGACGAATCTTCGTATCCAGCTCTCTCTTAAATTAACTTTTACAGTGTAATGTTTTGAAGATGATTTAGGCATGAAACACCAATGTCATTGAGGTTCAATTAATTTATTCCGCTGATGTTTATAAATCTTTGCATTATCAGTTGTTTGGATTATTTTGAGAGCAGAAAATGATATTGGAATTGAAGAATACGATATTAGATTTCAAATGGTCCTGGTATTTATTTACTATGGTGTTACCGTTTTAACTATAAGAAAAATGGTTAAAGGACCATTCAGGATAATCTAGCGATTGGTCATTCCGCAACAAATCAGGGATCCACTTGAGACCATTTACTTCAAAAATTATTTTTTATTCTTCCTTTTTCCAAATGTTTTTTGTTGAAATTTTTGTTAATTTTTAAATATTTTCAACAATTAGGACAAAAATTAGGCTTGTTTCTTGGAAAATACTTCAAGAAACAACCAATTTCAACAAAAAACATTTGGAAAAAGGAAAAATAAAAAAATAATTTTTTGAAGTAAATGGTCTCGAGTGGATCCCTGATTTGTTGCGGAATGACCAATCGTTAGATTATCCTGAATGGTCCTTTAATTTTCTTATGGCTGTGAGTGATAACCCTCCAAATGGCTTGTCGAAAAGCGACGATGATAATCAGAGTTGATATAGCATTGAAGACTGGAATCCAAGCAAGGAATAGTAAGCTGATACCCAGCAATAGATCCAGGTTCCAGTTCAAAAGTGAAGGTAGTATTATGAATAGTGCTGGTGTAATTGAAATGAATAAAATGATAATAGCCTAAAGGGGAAATTCATTGATTAAAAATGAATTTTAAAGCTTTTTTATTAAATTTAGTCTAAAAATAGTAGAAAGGAAGCCTAATTCATCGTGAGGTTTAGTGGGATATTCACCATTAATAGGGAAGTCCCAAGCGTGGGGGTAGTTGGAGGAAGGACGATTATTTAGCTCCATATTGTAAAGTATTATAAAGTTATAAAATGGGAAATAGTTATGTTAAAAAAAGGAACAGCTATGACTAATAGTGGCACAGATATAATAAAAAATGGCACAGCTATGATGAGAAATGTCACGTATATCATGAATAATGACACACCACTTTAAAGCTATAATAAGCTTGAAAACAAAAAAATAATGACTTACTACGACAACTTACTACGTTGAAACGACAATTATAATAATAAAAAATTTTGTTCTTAATCCGCTAAACGTAATGTCAATAACTTGTTCCAAATACTAACTTACTAACGCTTCGTTTACCGAATTAAACGTACTATTCCACCGTATTCTTAAACAGTATTTCCGTGTTAGTCCAACTGTAGTGTACGCCATAGGTTATGTTTAAATTGCATGTTTTGTCTAAAGAATGTAAGTCATTTTCAAATGTTTTGTATTAATGTAAGTTCATGGCGCACCTTGTATTATACTACTCTGCACTGCATTGTCTTATCTTGCATGTCTTTTAATTACTATGCCTCACTCTACCATACCCCGCCCAACCCAACCTACCCTTGTTTATCTTTTCCTTCCTTATTTTATGTTATCTTATCCCATACAATAATCAATTTCTAACCATATATCATTTTCCTACAACAACAACTTCATCATTCTCCTGCTGAAACAACAATGCCAGACTGTAGCTAACCCAGCCTTAACGTACCCAACTCTAAACCAGCCTTGCCATACCCAACCTTAGAGTATCTTACCCTACCCTGCCCTACACACCCATCGGAGCATTTTTTGACATTCGTCTACCACCTTGAGGCCGTCTTCATCGTCTGGCATGGGCTTCGCTTTGGTTAAGACAAGTAATTTTTACCAAACTTGACCTCAATAGCAACAAAAATAATATTATAGTAGATGAGTTGACCAACTGTTTTTAATAAATTTAAGGTTTTGAATAAATTTGTTTCGTTACCTATTATATATGTCTCTGATAAAATATAATCCACTAGATACATGCCTCAGATTTATTTGAACGTCACGATAATAAAAAATAATTTTTCAATAATCGAAAAGCAATGACAATATTATATTTACTGGACGGAAGACTCGTCCGAGCGGACGCAGTTGGTCTTGGCAATGATTTCGGCTGGGCACTTGACTCTCTTGAAGGTCATGGTTGGGTTGTCAGCGTTCTGGAACCAGTCGAATCTCCACTTGCAGCCGGGTTGCAGAGCCGATGGTAGTTGGGAGCAGTCGGATTCGGCACTAACTCCACCATATTGAGCTCCCCAGCCTTGAGATGGAGCTCCCCATTGGGCGGTGCATCCGTTGAAGATGCCCACACCTCCGCCAGGAATCATCAAGTCGAATTGGTTGTCTCCTAAGTCACCGCCAGTGTTGGTGGCTTGTACGACGAACTTTTTGCCAGAGACGGCGGTGCTGGTGAAGGTGAGTTCGTAGCAAGAGCAGCACCAGTCCGACTCGGACTGACCGGCAATGTTGACGGCGGCGAATCCGTAGGAGGTGGTGTCGTTGATGGCCCATGGTTGTTGGGTGGAGCAGACGTAAGCGCTGCCTCCGTCACAGCCAGATTGAGTGTTGCCATCGTCGTTCAAGGGCTTGTCGCTGACGTCGCATTCGGAGACTGGGCCTTGGCTGAGGGTGGCTTTGCCTGGCCATGAGCAGGAAGACTTGCAGCAATCCCTAAAGGTTGGCGGGTTACAGTAAAAGAAGCAACTTATTGAAGGTAAAATACGTTACTTTCAACCATATTATAATTAGTAAAGTAGTTTAAATTTTTATTACAAAGCCTTAAATAATCTACCAATCATATAACTTTAACTCACCAATATCTGGTAGTTTTACCAGTAGAGTCGGCAGCGGCCAAACCGACCAATGCAATGAGTACGAATGTCTTCATACTGAATCAACCGAATGAATGATGTCATTCTCCAAGGTTGGAAACATTTTTATACCAAGATTGTGTTTGTGGTATAGTACAAATAAACTGTGTATGTTCAACAGTATGTGTAATATCCCTCAACGAGTGCAGGCAATAAACAAAAAGCTGACTGTTTGTACAGCTTTAGGGTTCGAAGTTTGTGCTTTCGACAAATGTCGAAACGGGTTTGGTGAAAATGGTAGATGAAACACTGAAAAATGAAAATAAAGCATTAGAATGAAATATCACTGTAAACAAATAAAAATATTTTCAGAGACTGTAACTGGGTATAAACGATAACAATTTACAGTATTTGTTTACTTTAGGTTAAGAAACAAATATATGTTGCTCTAGTACGGTTGTGAAAGCCATTTCCAAGGTAGGATTATTAGTCTAAAAGGAAAAATACTAGAAAAAGTAAAATACGTGACTGTGGGTACAATAGGCAGTATATTTATGATCAGGTCTGTTAGCAAAACCATTAAAATAATAGAATTTTTTTGCGCTAGAAGCAAAAGTAAAGCCAAGGCTAAAACAAACAAAAAGGCTAAGACTCATTTCAGATTCAAGTTCAGACTAAGGCTATATTTAAGCCCAAGGCTAAGGTCAGAGTTTTCTCCAGACCGCTGTAAAGAATTTGAATTTTGTTTTTCCGCGCTTTTTTCAACCGGTCGCATCGGTCCAAAACTATTGTAAATTTTTTTGTTTCAAAAATATCTTCCTATAGCTACAGTTCAAGCAAGCAACGTCACGTGGAACATTCCGTTGGTTAAAAAATAACGTTTTCTCAATTTTTGACTATACAGCTGCTCAAACAATTCTTAAACATGACAGTGTAAAACAAACTATGGAAATGTGACTGTCGAAATTTTGAACCCGTTGTTACAGTAAAACAAACAATGTTTTGGTATAAAATAGTTGCCAAACCTGGAGTAAGACATCATCCATTCGGTTGATTCAGTATGAAGACATTCGTTCTCATTACATTGATCGGTTTGGCCGCCGCCGACTCTACTGGTAAAACTACCAGATATTGGTGAGTTAAAGTTATATGATTGGTAGATTATTTAAGGCTTTGTAATAAAAATTAAAACTAGTTTACTAATTATAATATGGTTGAAATTAACGTATTTTACCTTCAATAAGTTGCTTACTTTACTGTAACCCACCAACCTTTAGGGATTGCTGCAAGTCTTCCTGCTCATGGCCAGGCAAAGCCACCCTCAGCCAAGGCCCAGTCTCCGAATGCGACGTCAGCGACAAGCCCTTGAACGACGATGGCAACACTCAATCTGGCTGTGACGGAGGCAGCGCTTACGTCTGCTCCACCCAACAACCATGGGCCATCAACGACACCACCTCCTACGGATTCGCCGCCGTCAACATTGCCGGTCAGTCCGAGTCGGACTGGTGCTGCTCTTGCTACGAACTCACCTTCACCAGCACCGCCGTCTCTGGCAAAAAGTTCGTCGTACAAGCCACCAACACTGGCGGTGACTTAGGAGACAACCAATTCGACTTGATGATTCCTGGCGGAGGTGTGGGCATCTTCAACGGATGCACCGCCCAATGGGGAGCTCCATCTCAAGGCTGGGGAGCTCAATATGGTGGAGTTAGTGCCGAATCCGACTGCTCCCAACTACCATCGGCTCTGCAACCCGGCTGCAAGTGGAGATTCGACTGGTTCCAGAACGCTGACAACCCAACCATGACCTTCAAGAGAGTCAAGTGCCCAGCCGAGATCATTGCCAAGACCAACTGCGTCCGCTCGGACGAGTCTTCCGTCCAGTAAATATAATATTGTCATTGCTTTCTAAATTATTTTTTATTATTGTGACGTTCAAATAAATCTGAGGCATTAATCAAATGGATTATATTTTATCAGAGACGTATATAATAGGTAACGAAACAATATTATACAAAACCTTTAAATTTATTAAAAAAAGTTTCTTGACTCATCTACTATAATTTCATTTTTGTTATTATTAAGGCCAAGATTGGTAAAAATTACTTGTCTCAACCATTTTTATTAGCCATAGCACCATAATTTAAAAAACATAACAGTGACACGAGTATTTTACATAAAAAATTAATTTTTGACTTTTTAGAGAAAAAAACAAATTTTTGTTAGCCAAGACAGCGAAACCAATGCCAAACGATGAAGATGGCTTCAAGATTGAAGACAAATGCCTAAAAATGCTCAGATGATCCATTCTATTCTGTTCGAGTCCATGAAGTTGCTAAAGACTTCAAAAAAAGCAGTTCATGGACAAACCCAATGTTATCCATGCCAACGAGTCTACGAACCGCTGAATCAAAATGTTTGTGGAAGAATGGGCTTCTTTGAAGTAATAGGATCTTCCAGAAGCAAGGCTTGATGTGTTTTACAAATAAAAGGACAAGAATCGGTACGTTTTTAGTTTTTCTTTTGATTTTAGGAATTTTCGCGAAAATTGGCATGGATAATATAATCTGTCGTGCAACAGTTCGTTATTTATGAAATTCAACGGTACTTGTTTTAATTTACGTAAAAGGTAGTTTAAATTGTATGTCTAATTAGTTAAAATCTGTTTGACTAACAGCTGGTAAAAAATAAAGATTTCTTTTTCATTTTTCTCATGGATAATATAGTTTTAATCGCCAAACTTTTAGTTCTAAGACAAAAATTAATAAGTCTTTTTACTATTATGGAAAATATGAGTCAGTAAACCAGTATTGCATGCCTGAATTTATTCAAAAACAAATAATATTAATCTAGAGAGATGGGTAAGAAGATTCGTCAGTACGAATGCAGCTGGTCTTGTCAGTGATAGCAGTTGGACACTGGACACGTTGGAAGCTGACATTTGGGTTGTCGGCGTTCTCGAACCAGTCGAATCTGAAGTCACATCCGGGTTGGAGAGCAGATGGCAATTGAGTACAGTCGGCTTCAGCACTCACACCACCATATTGAGCTCCCCAGCCACCAGATGGAGCTCCCCATTGGGCGGTACATCCGTTGAAGATTCCAACACCACCTCCGGGCATGGCCAAATCAAATTGGTTGGATCCGAGATCTCCACCAGTGTTGGTAGCTTGGACAACAAGGGTCTTTCCGGAGATGGCAGTGCTGGTGAAGGTCAAGGCGTAGCAAGAGCAGCACCAGTCGGACTCAGATTGACCAGCAATGTTGACAGCGGCGAAACCGTAAGCCAAAGTGTCATTGACAGCCCATGGTTGTTGAGTTGAGCAAGTGTAGGCACTGCCACCATCACAGCCAGATTGAGTGTTACCTTGGTCGTTCAATGGAGCGTCAGAAACATCACAAGAAGTGACTGGAGCACTGACTGAGGCCTTTCCTGACCATCCACAGGAAACTTTACAGCAATCCCAGTATCTGGTGGTGACGCCAGTTTGGGTTTGAGCGGCGACGAGGCCAATTAAGGCGATGAGGGCGAATGTATTCATACTGAATCAGTTGAATGGATGATAATCTGTCAAATCTCTGTCCTTTTATACTATTATTACTGTTTGTTCAAGCCCTTTTTAAGGTTAAAAATTGAACCAAAAGGTCAAAATATTTTGTTAGGATAAGCCTTATGTGTCTATCTTTCTCTGGCTGTATCACCTTCCGCTTTGTCTTTTTTTCAATATTTTAGATTTAATATTCTGTAAGTTTAATCAGCTTTGAAGTTTGACGGATATTTTTAATATTATATTCTAGTTCCGACTGTTGCTTCAAAGTCACATCAAGGCAAAGCACAAACTGCGGAACGTTAAGCTGATTATACAAATGAGTTGGCTTACAGTCTTATCCTTTATCACGCTGTTTGTTGAAAGCGGTTTGAAGGTTTAAAATGGTGTTGAAATGGTTAATATGATTAGTTTCAAAAAGTAAAGACAGGGTTTGAGTAGGGTAGGTAAGAATACATAAGGGTTGGGCTGTACTATAAGGGAAGGGCTGTGTTGGGGTAGTGCGAGCGTAGAATAGGGTGTAAGGGTAGGGAAGAGAGAGTAGGGTACGTAAAAAAAAGTGTAACAAATACAAATTACAACTTGTTTATTACCCGTATATTAACTTATATTCAAAAAACATTTTAATGAACCAAATGCCTAGATTCACAATGACAAACCTCATCCAACGTCTTAACGCCACACTTTGTATCAGAAAATACAGTAAATCCTTTGTTCACTATTTCAAATCGACTGTTCAACATTATTTGAACTTCGATTTTAGAGCTTTTTGCATTACTATAAGTTACTGTAACGTCCGTTTTGGCTTTATATGACTTTTCAGGTGTTGTGTAGTCGAAAATGTCTCTTACTATTGGGTTACTGTGAGTTACTTTGCACTTTAGTTTGGATAACGTGTTTAGAATGTAGTTTGTTACTACTGGTCTGATCCTGCTCTAAAAATATTTTTTTTAAATAGACGAAAGCTAGGATACGGTAGACTACTGTAAACTTAAAATTTGGACAAGACAGGTAGGGTACTGTAACGTGAAGTAGGGCAGGGTAGATTAGTGAAGAGTAAGATAAGAAAGGGTAGTATAAGAAACATGTGGTAAGGCGGGGTAGATTGGGTAATAGGGTAGTGAAGGGTAAGTTAAAGTAAAGTAAGACAGAGTGTTAGAGTAGGGTATGGCAGCGTAGGGTAGGGTAGGGTAGGCTGGGTAGGGTAGGGTACAATATAGTACTTTACTGTAGAATGTACCGTTTCCTGGTAAACATCTTACTTTAAGCTCATCATCAATGACGTAACCATCTTGTACCAAACAATGACATTGATCATCCACTATTCCCATCTCTTCACAAGTTCTATTAATCCCTATCCTCTGAAGTAAGGTCACTTTACTATCACTTTCAAATCCTTCCTTATCAACAATACTATTCACAGTGTTATAAACATCATCTACTGTAACCAATGCGTTCTTGTTGGTACGGTAGATTGAGTACATTTCAGGATTCGAAGCAAAGTAAGAATCTGGTAGAGAAACTCCCAAAAATGGTTGTTCATTGCCATTTTCAATTGACTTTTGACCCAGTAGAACTAATATTGTGTTTTCAAATGCGCCGTTTAGGTAGGCCTTATCTAATACGTCAGCAAGTCGAAAATCGAAAGTACTAAGATCGGTTGTGTTGGTAAGGTCAAGGTTTGTGAAAGAAAAGGTTGGGATTGATGCGTATTTTGATAGAAATCTAAAATAATTTTAAAAGGTTTAGCAAAAACTTTGTTTACAATATACCTGAGAGGCTTTTTTTAGCCCGGCCAAGACTGTTCCCGGGTCGGGCTAAAAAATTTAAAGATGCTGAGCCGATACGGAATGAGGGTTAAGGATTGGATTAAAAAGTTGAGCCCGATCTCTTTACAGGCAGAATTAAAACAGCTGCACTTTTTAAAAATTTCAAATTATTAAAGATACATTACCTTTTGAACAAATCAAGATGCTTTTCGTAGTCTGGGTTCTCACAATTGCCAGTCTTGACTGGGGTTTCTGTCTTTGGAATCCTAAAAAGAAAAATGTCAATAGACTACTATTCAGTAGACTACTGTAGTTTGCGGAGATTTTTGCTTTTGAAGGGCTCCGTCAATATATATTTCCGTACCGTACCTTACCTAAAATACTCTACCTACCATACTCTACTCAACCTTATCTTACTTTACCCAACCATACCGCACTCTAACCTACAAAAATATATAGTAAACTGAGATTATTGATAGGTAAAAACGATAAACTTACATAAATTGATGGGAAAACTGTTTCAAAACGTTTTGTGATCCCTCTTCAATCATACTATTTAGTAGTGTTGGGGCTTTGCTATCTAAAATTGCGTGCACTACATAATAAATATGAAAGTATAAAATGAAGATAAAGCGGGATAGATTGGAGTAGATTAGGAAATTGTAGTGTAAGGCACGTTATGGTGGGGTAAGGTGGGATAGGGTAGGTTCATTTTGTGTAGTGTAGATAAAATAAGTTAAGGTTAGACAAGGTAAAGTAAAAGTTCGAAATGTTACCTTTTAGATTTTGCAATAAAGATTTAAATCCTTTAACAAGTTCAGTGACACTTATCGATGGTGTTGCCTATAAATAATAAAAAATTTTTACTTTGACATCGTATTCTGTCTTCCTGAAAAGGCCAGGTCGGCACACGTGTACTCAAAGGCCGTGTCCATCCAAGCCCTTAGGAGCCTAGCTTAGGTCCCGCGATAACAGATTTGAATTGCAAAAAGTGTAACCTAGGTTGAACCAAAAGTAGTGGGACACTTTTTAATTGAAAATAAATGAAAAGTGTCCCGCTACTTTTGGTTTAATTTAATATTTTACGCCTTAATAAAACTAAACTAATCAAAAACATAAAAAGTCAAAAAACCCACCATATGAAACCCATTGAACAAATGAGTATTAAACTTCTCAAGCACATCAACTGTTTGTGGCATTTTAAAGATAACGTCAAGTTTAGAGAGTCCATTCAAGTTCAATAAGGCGAAGGAGTAGTTTTTAGAGCCTTGATTAGAAAACCGAGAGTTTGAAACATTCGATACCTCATTAATTGATGGTAGTGACAAGAACTTTTCGGAGAACACTAAAAAATTCAGAAAGTTTTAGAAATTTGTAAATTTTGAATGATATAGTTTAACTCTTGCCTAACGATTTCTTCGGGGGGTTTAAAATTTATTCGTTATACGGAAGTTTTGTTATGATCGTTACCAGGACTAAAACGCCCGCCCAATTCTGATAGTTCGTTATACAAGGGTTCCATTGTGTTTATGAATCAAACAACTAGTATAAATAAACTTACTAGTAGCATTTTGTCGGTCATAACAATCAACTTGAATCAAGCTTTTTTGAATTTTTTGTCTTCCTTCGCGCAGTTGGTACTAAACATGTAATAAAAATAAAATTTTTTTAAAATTTAATTTTTTAAAATTTTCTACATTTACTGTATTAAGAGTCGCATTGTTAAGCCCCTTATTTTACCTTTTCAGTTTTGTTGTCGCTCAAGTCGCTGTAAAAACACCGAAATTCGGGCCGACCGTTTTTAATGTCAGCCGGCTGAACAAATAAATCACCATAATCAGATTGGCGCACCAAAGGCTCTCTACAGTTTAGGAATGAGCTAATTGAGGGTGGTGAGGCATCTGGAACAACACAAATATTATTATAAAAAGTTTTGAAAGTAAAAAAAAAACTATAAAAAAATTATCTTTAAGCCTAAAATTTTGTTTTAGGCCTAAAACTTCATTTATAAGCCTAAAAAATAACTTTATAGTCCAAAATGTATTTTTAAACCTAAAATTATTTAGTAAGCTTACAGCTCTATTTTTAAGCTTTACTATTTATTTCTAAGCCTAACATGTAAGATGGCATTTTTAAGTCTGAATTTTTTTAGGCTTAAAAATATGATTTTTAAGACCAAAGTTTAGTAGCAGGCCTCAAATATTATTTTTGTCTCTAAGTGCATTTTTAACCCTAAGATTTAATTTTCATGTCTGAAATTCGATTTTTAAGCCTAAAATTGATTTTTAATGCTGAAATTTAGTAGCAAGCCTAAAATATCATTTTTAAGTCTATAAGTGCATTTTTAAGCCTAAAATTTAATTTTTAATCTTAAAATTTATGTTTAAGCCTAAAATTATTTTTTAGTTTAAATTTAATTTTTCAAGCTTAAAATTACAGTATTAAGTCAAAAATATAATTGTTAAGCCTAAAAGCAATGTTTAAGCTTAAAATTTTATTTTCAACTTAACCTTCCATTTCTAAGCCTAAAATTCATTTTTCAACCTAAAACTTAAATTTTAACTTTTTTTCTGTTTAAATCTTCATTTTAAGCCTAATTTTCATTTTGAACCCTAAAATGACGTCTAAAACTAATTTTTTTTTCAATTTTTGAAATCTCACCATTCTTTTTAACGACCGGTATTTTGCACTCATACTCCAATGGATGTGAGTACTGGTACTCCAGCAAGGTAAAGTCGTAGTTCAGTCGTTTTCTAACATAACTTTTAAAGGTTGGTGGAACGTCCAAGTACTTTCTGACCTCTTTAATCGACGCCAATGGAAAACGATGTCTTGGGTCGGGGAAGAAGACGCCTACAATAATGTAGACGACCAAACAGAGGCCTATTGTGAAGGTGAACAAGATTCCCACCTAAAAATTGTCTGTTAAGATTACCAAAGCATAAAGTTCATTCCTAAGCCTAAAACTTATTTTTTAACCTAACTTCTTTATTTTTATTTTTAAGCTTAAAATTAAATTTTAAGCTGAAAGTTTCATTCCTAAGCCTAAAATTTATTTTTAAACTTAAATTTTCATTTTAAGCTCAAACTTTCATTTCTAAGCCTAAAATCCATGTTTAAGATTAAGATTCATTACTAAGCCTAAAATTTATTTTTAAACCTGAATTTTCATTTTAAGCTCAAACTTTCATTTCTAAGTTTAATATTTATGTTAAAACCTAAAAATTCATTACTAAGCCTAAAATTCATATTTAAACCTAAAATTTTAGTCTAAGCTCAAACGTTCATTTCTAAGCTTAATATTCATGTTAAAGTCTAAAAAGTCATTACTAAGCCTAAAATTCTTTTTTGAACCTAAAATCTATGATTAAACTTAAAAATTCATTTCTAAGTCTAAAGTTTATATTTAAGCCTAAAATTCATTTTTTAGTACCCCTTCCTTACCCTAGAAATCAAGAATCTCCTCAAATACTCAAAACACTGTCGACAATTGAGTTTCGATGCCATTTTGGTACGGATCATTTTGAAACAATCAAAACATCAATCCCTCAAACATTGAATTAGTATTCGGAAAGGCGGCTTCTGCCCTTCAAGCCTTATCAGATCTGCGACTCGAACTAATTGAGATGTCGCAAAGATGAGTCAAATCCTGTTTTTATTGACTTTATACTTGGCTGGAAAAGGGCGGGTGGGTGTTCAGAAGTTTTTTTTCGCTTAGGGGGGAGTGAGAGGTTAGGAAAGGGCGGAAGGAGAATATTTTTCATTATTGCAAAAAAAAATTAAATCAAAAGATATTAATGTTCAGAAATAGATTTTTCAAAAAAATTTTTTGATGTTCAAATGTTATGATAATCTTATTTTATTCAAAATTCAAGCAGCAAATATATCACATGTTGTTAGGTTTTTTGTTATTAAGTAAAGCACAAGGTGAAATATGTTAAAATTTTAAGTTATTTGTGCAATTTACAAAATAAATTCAAAAACATGTTTTCTTTCTTAAGTCTGTATAATTTTTCATAATTTAAAAACTTTGAAGCCAAGCTCAACAATAGTGAAGATTGCCTTGACAACTTTTGCCGAATAGGTAACCTCGGCAAATAGGTAACCTCACCAAATAGGTAACCAGGAGAATAAGTAATCAAAAAAAATAGGTAACCTCGGCAAATAGGTAACCTCACCAAATAGGTAACCTCACCAAATAGGTAACCAGGAGAATAAGTAACCAAAAAAATAGGTAACCTCGGAAAATAGGTAACCTCGGCAAATAGGTAACCTCACCAAATAGGTAACCTCGGCAAATAGGTAACCAGGGGAATAAGTAACCAAAAAAAAATAGGTAAACTCGGAAAATAGGTAACCTTGAATAATGGTGAATTATATAGCTGTACCAGTGCCAAACGTCATGTGAATGTTTCGGGTTGCCGCGGTTGCATGGCTGTTTGACAGCATATAAAAAGTGGCGCGTAACTCGATATTATCTAACATATTACAATATTACAAATTAAAATTTTATTTCACACAATACAACTACTATGATATTAACTTTCATAAACAAGGGCAGTATCACAAATTTTGCATCAGATCAATTTATTCATAATCGTTTCCTTTTTGCTCTGACTTCAATTCTTCTTTCTCTTCTTTTTTGCCTGACTTCAATTCTTCTTTCTCTTCTTTTTGGTCTGACTTCAACTCTTCTTTCTCTTTTTTTTGGTCTGCCTTCAACTCTACTTTCTCTTCTTTTTGGTCTGCCTTCAACTCTGCTTTCTTCACATCCTTTTTAGGCTTATCAAAAAAGGTGTCGTTAGGCTTCCTGACATCATTATACTCCTCAATCTCTTTCGTTGTCACTTCGTCTTCATCAGCCACCAATCGGTCAAGCCCTCTGTAGCCATGCCGTCTAATGCAGCCGGCTATACGTTCGTCGCGAACACAATCCCAGCCGCTAGCCACCGTCGCCTTCCAGCACTCGTCGAATCGTGCGTTGTAGAAACAGAACTCGAGACATTGATAGTGGTAATTGGGGTTCTCGTGGTCGCGGAAGCCGTGGCAGTATTCACAGATGCGGTTGAAGACAATGAAGGCGTTGGTGTGGTTAACGTAGATCTGGAAACAAAACTTTCTTTACAAACTAACAAACGGCAAGAATATTCTTTACAAAACACAAAATGCCAAGAACTTTCTTTACAAAGCACAAAATGGCAAGAACTTTCTTTACAAAACAAAAAATGGCAAAAACTTTCTTTACAAGTCAGAAAAATCTTAACTTACATCACATTTCTTATAATCATACGGTTCGTCACTCCAATATCTATGTTCGACATCTTGAGCCAAACTGTTCTTATGTGGCTTCAACGCTCCACCTTGCACAGCTACAAATAGTATCGAAAACAAAATCACCAACGACAACTTTAAACACATTTCCAACGACCGTTCGGTAATTCGCAAATTTTTAATTATGACAATTTTTTTAAAAAAATTGAAAAATGGTTTCAAAAGTTCAAAATTTAAAATTTTTTTATGAAAATCTAAATAAAAATTAAAAAAAAATTAAAATATACAAAAAAAGAGTTAGCTAAAGTTGGCAGGAAACCCAAATAATTTTAATTTTAAACTTAAAAGCGCAAGCTAAAATTTTTTATGGGTACTATAGGTAGTACAAAGAATTCATATAAAAATTTTGAGCTGATTCTGAGCGGGGCAGGTAGGATACTTCCCTTGAAGTCTACAAATATGAAGTTGCGTTTTTTTGATTACTTTAACAAACAAAGGCTAAATAAAAATAGTAAAAAATCAAAAATTTAAAATTATTTATTCCGACTTTGAAGTTTATTATTTTTTAAAAAATCAGAGCCGACAGCTCGCCAACTCCTCGTAATCAGCGGGTTATACTTATATATTGAGATAAACATATCAATACACTTGGCACGGTCAGTATAATGCTTATTACCGCGTAAACTCAAACTGCCAGTTTTTCGATATTTTCCGATCAAGTTAAAGATATCTGATGTTTTAATAGGACCAGCTTCAGGGTACAAGTGAGCTGCCAAGAAATTCATGGCTATGTCTTCACAATTGAACATTTTGTGGGTGTGGTCACCGATTCGTTGATCCATTGTGAATGTGTAGGCAAAGAGAAATTTCTGAAAAGTTTTGTTATTGATCAGTTGCTATTAGTAGCCTTAGCTCTAGTCTAGAGCCTAGAGCTTAGAGCCTAGAGCCTAGAGCCTAGAGCCTAGAGCCTAGAGCCTAGAGCCCAGAGCCCAGAGCCTAGAGCCTCGGTCCGGCCCAAATCTTCTACTTTGGCATGTTCGGGCCAGGCGGGTCCGGCAAAACACTGGCCTTACCCCAATTCTACCCTAACTTACTTTATGAAACATTGCACCACCAGTAAGCACCAAATTGTATTTGAAACGAAACTTTTGGCTTGGATTCTCATACGTACTCAAATTTGTTTCCAAATCACGACCAGCGTACCGTGAGAACATTCCGACCAGACTGTTGTGATTACTCTTCCACACATCAAAAGTCGTGTCAATGATGCCATCTCTCGATCCAAAATCATCATCAGCGCTTATTACTGCGTCAGTATTGATGAAATCAAATGGTAAAAATCGATTATTCAAGGAATTTACTTTCATTTGTACCACTACTATTGGTACATGTATTGTGGGTATTATGTTTGGTACCGGTCGAGAGATATCGTTCCATATTACTATCACTTTTTCGAGGTGATCAAGGTGATTATAGGTTTGCAGCGTGTAGGAGAGCTGTTTGTCTCGTTTGTAAGCAAGGATTATGACTGAAATTTTAGTTTTTAATAAAACTTTTTAATTTAAAAAAAATTAAATTTTATTTTTTTAATTTTTTAAAATAAAAAAAATTTGCAACGTTTTGGCAATTAACATACTTGTAAAGTTCTCTGGTTTACCCGTAGTATCATCAACGTCATACGTAGCGTTTGTATCAATTGTTCTGTTAAACCATTTCAAGGTGTACAAAGAGGCCTGAAGAGGAAATACAGTAAAAGTCTGGTATAACAAAACCCTCTTTAACGAAATTCATTCATAACAAATAACGTTTATATCACGATGCAGCTTGTTATACAGGAGTTCCACTGTATGTTATATAACTAGAGTTGAGCACTAAATAGAAAAAGGATCTGGAGTAAACCCGTTCAGGGATTTTCTTTCAGGGAAGAGCGAGAAGGCTTTATACAACGAAAAATAGCAAGAACTTTCTTTACAAAACAAAAAATAGCAAGAACTTTGTTTACAAAACTAAAAATGGAAAGATCTTTCTTTACAAACCATAAAATGGCAAGAACTTTCTTTACAAAACAAAAAATAGCAAGAACTTTCTTTCCAAAACATAAAATGGCAAGAACTTTCTTTACAAAACATAAAATTACAAGAACTTTCTTTACAAGACAAAAAATAGCAAGAACTTTGTTTACAAAACTAAAAATGGCAAGATCTTTCTTTACAAAACATAAAACAACAAGAACTTTCTTTACAAGACAAAAAATAGCAAGAACTTTCTTTCCAAAACATAAAATGGCAAGAACTTTCTTTACAAAACATAAATTTACAAGAACTTTCTTGACACATTTTTAACTTACAATATTCTTGTTGACTTCAGACTGTCTTAACAAATAACTAACATTATCAAACGAATAATCAATCCAAAATAAATACACAAACAATAACAGTGTTACAAAAACCACAAAAATGACAATTTTAATAGCACAATACGAAAAATTCATGTTGTGATTAGTATACAATTACAATCATTTTATCTTTTCTTCACGGTTCTGATTTGAAACGTAATGTTTATTTATGAAGATACGTTTTATATGTGAATTATGCAGGTGAGATTGTTGTTCACATGTAAAGGTAGACCAATTTTTGTATTTTAATTATTCTATGCTGATTATGTCAGTCTTGCCTTTCTGGGCTTTAAAAAATTCAGCCGGTTGATTGTAGAGCATTTTAAATTTTTTTTCTTGAAATGGACAAGAACGACCACTTATTTCTTTTGAAAAACGTGCTTAGCCTAGCTCAGGAATTACTCCATCTGAAGTGTGGAAGTCTAACTCGAATAAGTTGAGCAATATATAAGCGCTTGCAGAGATTGTAGCAAGTGATAAGACTCCAAAGTTGTTACAATGATCTCTACCTTCTTCACAATCATCTTCACTTTCATGCTTTTCCGAATGTTTTTTCGAACTTGACAAATGGAGAGTTTTGTCTGACGCACTAATCGATTATCGTGAGTATATTGTTCGACTGCCAATTCGAGTTCAATATGCATAATGGAAAAGCGCGAAAGTTTAGAAGCAACTCGGCTTTTTACGGCGAACGATAATCTTGGGGGTGAAGTTAATGAGGCTAAAGTTGATTTGACACCTGATGGCGTGCTGAATTCGTACGGTAAGGGATTGTGATATTATTGATGTAGGTTTGTGGTGTTAAGAGAAAAGTTTCGAAAATTAAAATTTAGGTTAGCCTTAGTAGTCTATTTGCCTTTTCTTAACTTTAGCTGAGTTACTGAGCTTGATCCTGAGCCTGAGCCTGAGCTTGAGCCTGAGCCTGAGCCTGAGCCTGAGCCTGAGCCTGAGCCTGAGCCTAAGCCTGAGCCTGAGCCTAAGCCTGAGCTTGATCCTGAGCCTAATCCTGAGCCTGAGCCTGAGCCTGAGCCTAAGCCTGAGCCTGAGCCTAAGCCTGAGCTTGATCCTGAGCCTAAGCCTGAGCCTGAGCCTGATCTTGAGCCTGAGCCTAACCCTGAGCCTGAGCCTGAGCCTGAGCCTGAGCCTGAGCCTGAGCCTGAGCCTGAGCTTGAGCCTGAGCCTGAGCCTGAGCCTGAGCATGAGCCTGAGCTTGAGTTTGAGCCTGAGCTTGAGCCTGAACCTGAGCCTGACAACTTATTTTTTAACATATCGTATTTTAGGTAACATAAATCCATATCAAGTATGGGTGTTTCTTGCAATGGCAATGTGTTGGTGCTATGTAGCACCACCGATATTGTTAATACCGTTTGCTATAGGAGATATGTGTGAAAACGCCACAGAGTGTACTATGACTCCTGGGAGTGTTATTGAAGAAGTAAGTTTGGTAAAGTGAGCAATAGCTTAATTCAATGTTTTTGGAAACTTACAGAAACTTTGTTTACAAACTGTAAAAACCGAAAAAACCTACAAACCTTCAGCTACAATTTATAAAAGTCAAATTTTTAAAATTTAGTTTTATCTTGTTGAAGACGATGGATATAAAGCGGAAATGGCGTTGACAATCTCAACTGCTGGTGACTTGTTAGGTTCTACCCTGATTTCTTATCTTTCTGATATGTGAGTTTGTGAAAGGTAGGGCTTGGGTTGAACTAGGGCTAGAGTATAACTAGAGTAAGGCCAGAACTAGATCAGAACTAGAGTAGGGCTAGAGCTAGGTCAGAACTAGGGTAGAATTAGAGCAGAGCTAGGGCTAGATCAGGACTAGAGCAAAGCTAAAGTAAAGTTAGAGTTGTTGCCCACTTCCACCTCGTAGAGTCGAGACCTGGATAGTTAATAACGGCCAGATGGCGTAAAAATGAAGATGGAGCATTTCGAATCACACGATTAAAAACCTTGGTATGGATAGTGTAGGGCTAGGGTAAATCTAAAACTGAGGTCAATTAAAAAAAGATATGATAGGGGTAAGTTATGTTTGGGTTAAGGTTGGTATAGGGCAAGAGGGCTAAGGTACGTTTAGCATTTTACAATCCCCCAAGAAAAAAAATTCGCAAAAAGTTAAACGTGGTCCCCCCCCAGTGTTTTGCCGGACCGGTTTGGATGAGAATTTTTTCGGTCCGGTCCAAAAAATTTTCGGTCCGGTACGGTCCGGTCCGGTCCGGACCAAAAAGGTCAGGTCCGGTCCGGAAAAATTTTTTTTTATTTTTTAAAAAGAGCTAGGAGCGCTAAAACTGCTTTCTTTACGTTTAAAAACTCTTAGAAATATGTTTTATTTGCAATTTTTAAAACAGTTTTATTAAAATAAAAAAAAATTTTCTTTCCGGACCGGTCCGGACGGGTCCGGCAAAACACTGGTCCCCCCCCCCTGTGGATTTTTTTTAACCCCCGCCCCCAGACTAAAAGTCTCCGCCCGGCCCTGGTTATACAGTATTTTTTTTGCGGAAATCAATAATATACGTATTTTACATTAATTTTAGAAAAGGGCGACGTCCAATATTGTTGTTTTGTTTAATGTCGTTTGGAGTTTTCAATTTGATGTTGGCATTCTCACCAAATATTTACGTTTTTTGGATACTACGTTTGTTGCAAGGAGCTTTTTCATCTGTAAGTTACTTATTTTGTTAATGATACTGGTCGACTTTGATACCTAAAGTTGAAGTTTTGTATTAAAAAAAAATTTTAACAGAAAAAAATGGCAACAACTTTCTTTACAAAACAAAAAAGTAGTAAGAACTTTCTTAACAAAACAAAAAATATCAAGAACTTTCTTTACAAAACAAAGAATAGCAAGAACTTTCTTTACAATCTTAATATTTAGGGTCTAAACTGTGCCAATTGGGTACTAGCCTACGAGTCTTCTTCAATGGGTCTGCGAGCTTATGCTCCATTAGTCTTCGGCATCACTTGGATCATTGGCTACGTAGCTGTAGCCCCGCTATGTTATTACGTTACTTATTGGCGACATCAAATATTAATCACATCGTTCCCATCTATCATAGCTACCTTAATTTATTTCTTCACAATACCTGAAAGTTTTCATTTTACCATCTCAAATGGCCTGACGGATACTGTAACATCATGGTACAGGAATATGAATCGTTATTGTGAATGTAAACGAGAGTTGACTGAAGTGGCAGAGATTATAGAGAAACATAAGGTTGTTAAAGACGCTAGGAACTCTAACGGAAAGAAAGAACTGGGATTGGCAAAGACTTTGATGACTAATAAAAGGGTGTTTTTGTACATTGTCATCTTTGCTTATATATGGTAAGTTAATCACTCTTATGATGTATATTTGGGTTGTTTATTGTCTTTGTAAGGTTAGGGCCAAGGTTAGCTTGTAATGAAATTAAAACTAACAATTATAAGTCACAGTAGATCTCAAATAGGAATATAGTTTGGCTGGTAAGAGTGAAAAGGAATCTGTTACAAGTCTAGTTTGATAATAGGCAGAACTAGACTATGAGTAAAATAAGGTTTGAGTTAAAATGAAAAAAAGTTTAAAGAATTGGCATACTTTACTGTATGTAATGAGATTAGTTTTATGGCTATTAGGGCTAGAAATAGAGATACGGCGACGGCTAGAGCCCTCGGGCTAGAGCTCTGGGCTAGACCTCTATACTTGGGCTAGAGCTAGAGCTAAAGCTAAAGCTAGAGCTAGAGCTAGTGCTGGAGCTAGAGCTAGAGCTAGAGCTAGAGCTAGAGCTAGAGCTAGAGCTAAAGCTAGAGATAGAGCTAGAGCTAGAGCTAATGTTAGAGCTGATGCTAGGACTGAAGTTAGACCAGAATTCGCTTATTCTTTTATATAAGCGTCTACCTTCAGGGCATCTGACTTTTTCATATATGCCGGCCTCAACATTTTATCAACCTCCCTCGCTGGTAACAAATACTGGAACTTTGCCTTGGGCGGTATAGCCGAAATACCATCATACCTCATCTCACCATACCTTTTGGAGAAGCAAGGGCGCCGTGGGTTTGGAGCCTGGACACATTTGATGACATTTGCAGCATTCTTGGCCACAGTTTTCATCAAGAATCCTACTATCAGTTTTGTTTTTTGGCTGATTGGAAAGTTCAGTATATCATGCGCGTTTACTGCGGTATTCGTATATGTCAGTGAAGTATTTCCGACAGTTTACAGAAGTGGCGTACTGGGCATCTGCATGTTTGTCAGCTGTTTTGGTGGGATTGCCGCTGGCACTGTTAGGAGTATGGTACGTTTAAAAATGTAGGGTAGGGTAGAGTATGGTAGGGTAGAGTAGGGTAGGGTAGGGTAGGGTAGGGTAAGGTAGGGGGGGGTTAAAATAAGCTTTAAAAATCAAATTTTAAAACAAAAAAAAGTTTGCGAAAAATTTTCAGAATGCCATATCACCAGACATTCCGAACATTATCTTTGCTGTGACATCGTTGTTAGGTGCCATCCTGACCCTTTTCCTGCCTGAAACGAAAGGAAAAGAACTGCCTGATACAACCGAGGAGATGGAGCTATTTTTCAGCAAAAAGAATTAGAAAAAATTGTATTTTATTACCAAAAATATTAAATAAAGAAAAGAAATTCATATGCTTTACTATATGTAATGAGCTAAAATATCTTATTTTTATTTTTCTTTAATTTTTAGTTAAAAAAATGGTTTTTTGTTATGCAATTTTTAACAATCAGCTTCCTTATTTTCAGTTTTGTAGCTGTTAACTAGTAAAACTTTTTAAAAAATGACAAAAAAATCGTGTTTTTAAGTTGTTTCTTCAAGATTGTTCTCTCTTTTTTGCTTTTTGCAGCTATAGGTTCCTGGTGTTTGAGGTGAAAGTTTAAAAGACTTAATAAATGACAGTCATTAGTAACTTTAAACTGAATGTTTACTTATTGAATTAGTTAATGAATTAGGTATTTAACTAAGTTCTACTAAGTTAACTTAGGTCTACTGAGTTTAACTATGTTCTACTGAGTTCAACTTAGTTCGTCTGAGTTGAATACTTCTTACAATTGTTATATCTTGTTAGACAAACTTATAGAGCTATATAACCTTAACTTCTAGTTTAAACTGTAGCCTATACAATGATTGTGTTCTAGTTTGTTAAAACCAAGTCAAAAGCCTAAGAAAATAAGATAAGGAGGTATATAAACTATGAAATAATATTATCAAGCCTTTTGAAATTTCCATTTTTTTAATTTTTTTTAATTTTAGTAATTTTTTTTTTAAAATGAGGTTAAATTTACTATTTACTATTTTTTTATCTACTATAATATACGGTTCAAGCTATAAAATACTGGTATATTCTCCAACGATTAGCAAAAGTCATATGATACAAAACGGAAGAGTGGCAGACACTCTAGCCAAAGGTGGCCACAATGTGGTAAGTTCTAGCCTAGCCCAGAGCCGTAGCCTAGAGCCCTAGCCCAGAGCCCTAGCACAGAGCCCTAGCTCAAAGCCCTAGCACAGAGCCCTAGCCCAGAGCTCTAGCCCAAAGCCCTAGTCCAGAGCCCTAGCCCAGAGCCCTAGCCCAGAGCCCTAGCCCAGAGCCCTAGCCCAGAACCCGGAGCCCAGAACCCGGAGCCCAAAGCCCAAAGCCCAAAGCCCAAAGCCCAGAGCCTTAGCTCAAATTTCTACTCCAAAACTCTAATTCAAAATTGACGTTTCTTTTTAGACCCTCCTAGAGCTAGACGTAGCCATTAAACCAGGTTCATTACATACAGTAAAGCACGCCAATTTCTGGCCAGAAACCTTTGAATGGCCAGAGAGAGTGTCGGGAGAGATGATCATACCAAACGCTTTACATTTCACAGCATTCGAACTTATCACAGGATTACCTGGATTTTTGGACATTTTTGGCGGTAGTTGCTTGGGTATGTTGATATAAAATTTTTTTTATTTTTAAATTATTGTTTTTGTTGTGCTTTAAAAAAGCCATTGCCATTATATGTCTTTATATATCTATTACAGCAAAGTTAAAAATTAAAAACTAGGAAAAAACTTTCCTTACAAAACGTTAAAACCCGAAAAATTTAAAGATTTAAAAAATTCGATAAAATTTTGTGGCATTTTGTCAAAGTTTATAAACTGATTTCTATGGTATTTTAGGATTTATTTTTGAAGTTTGACGGAATGCCACAAAATATATTGATATTTGAGACGATATGTCAAAAGTTTTATCGACTTTATAAATAAGCAAATTTTTGTTTTGTAAAGAAAGTTTTTGCTATTTTTTATTTTGTAAAGAAAGTTTTTGCTATTTTTTGTTTTGTAAAGAAAGTTCTTGCTGTTTTTTGCTTTGTAAAGATAGTTTTCTGCCATTTCTTAACAAAGTTCAAACTTAAAAAATTTTTTTAAATTCACAAAGTTCAGCTATTTTAAAATCGCCTCACATAATGAATAAGATCAGAGACTCCAACTTTGATGTGATAATGTTTGAACAATTCGATGTTTGTCCGTTTGTCATTTCTCATTTACTCAACATTGATGTCAAGATCTGGATGTCAAGTTGTCCAATCATGGAACATCAGGCTGATTTGGTTGGCGTTCCAACTGCTTTTAGCTATGTTCCAGTAGCTGACAGCTCAGAATGTGGTGATCAGATGACATTCTTTGAAAGGTTTAGAAATGTTTTGTTTGGTCATGCTTTAAGCCACGCTTACTTTAGTTATTGGCATGGGTTACATTTGAAGTTGAAAGATATGTATGGGTAGGTATTTTGAGTTACTTAGTGTTTATACAGTAAGAATGAGATAAGGATAGAATAGAATATTATGAAGGGTAGGGTAGGGTTGGGCACGGTCGGGTAGGGTAGGGTAGAGTAGGATAGGGTAGGGTAGAGTAGGGTAGGGTAGGGTAGGGTAGGGTAGGGTAGGGTAGGGTAGGGTAGGGGTAGGGTAGGGTAGGGTAGGGTAGGGTAGGATAGGATAGGGTAGGGTAGGGTAGAGTAGGATAGGGTAGGGTAGGGTAGGGTAGGGTAGAGTAGGGTAGGGTAGGGTAGAGTAGGGTGGGGGTAGGGTAGGGTAGGGTAGGGTAGGGTAGGGTAGGGTAGGGTAGGGTAGGGTAGGGTAGGGTAGGGTAGGGTAGGGTATTGTAATTTTAAAATCATTTCAGTCCGGACTTCCCAAGCCCTCTAGATCTAGCAAAATCCACCGATTTAGTTCTTATCAATACGGATGAACTGGTCGATTTTCCTCGACCATTACCACCAAATGTTATTCATGTTGGAGGGCTTGGTATGAACCACGTTAACACCACCTTATCACCGCACTACCAAAGTCTAATGGAAAGTGGCAAAGATGGTGTAGTATACTTTTCGTTTGGTACTATGGTATCTACAGTAGAGCTGGGACAGACTTATATGAAGAACTTATTGGACACTTTTTCGAAATTCGAAAATTATTTTTTTATTGTCAAGGCAACGGAAAAAGATAGGTTTACATTTGAGTATGGTAAGGGTATCAAGAATGTTCATGTCGATCATTGGATTCAACAGCCTGGCGTTTTAGGTAATATTTTTGGTCGTAAAGAAATTTCTTGCTATTTTTTGATTTGTAAAAAAAGTTTTTGTCATTTTTTGTTCGCTAAAGATGATTATGATTATTGCAATTTTGTTTTGTAATAAAAGTTGTTGCTATTTTAACCCCTATAAACATAGTTTTTGGCAGCTCATCCAAACCTAAGATTCTTCATAACTCATGGTGGCTACAATGGCATTATGGAAGCTTCAAGATTCTCAGTGCCATTGCTATTAATAGGCGTTTTTGGCGATCAGACTAGAAATGCTCGACTGGTCGAAAGGAATGGATGGGGAGTGTCAATGCACAAACTGTCATTATTATATGAAACAGATGAGTTTGAGGCAAAAATCAAAGAAATGCTACGGAACCCAAAGTAAGATCTCGCTTTTTTTGTTTTTTTTTAGTTTTGCAGGTTGCGGGTGACATGTTATACGCTAGCACATTTTCTTTTTGTTTAAGGACAAAGGCAAGGTAAAGTAAGGATAGGTACTGCAGGGTCCAAGTAGCATGATGGATGTTAAAGTAGGATAAGAGGGCAAGATATGTTGCAACTTACGGGTAGAGTGTTGTATTTTACAGCAGAGCAAAGTCAAAGCAAGGCAAGGCAAGGCAAGGCAAGGCAAGGCAAGGCAAGGCAAGGCAAGGCAAGGCAAAGCAAGGCAAGGCAAGGCAAGGCAAGGCAAGGAAAGGCAAGGCAAGGCAAGGCAAGGCAAGGCAAGGCAAGGCAAGGCAAGGCAAGGCAAGGCAAGGCAAGGCAAGGCAAGGCAAGGCAAGGCAAGGCAAGGCAAGGCAAGGCAAGGCAAGGCAAGGCAAGGCAAGGCAAGGCAAGGCAAGGCAAGGCAAGGCAAAGCAAAGCAAGGCAAGAAAAGGCAAGGCAAGGCAAGGCAAGGCAAGGCAAGGCAAGGCAAGGCAAGGCAAGGCAAGGCAAGGCAAGGCAAGGCAAGGCAAGGCAAGGCAAGGCAATGGCAAAATATATAAATAATAAGATTTTATTTTTAGGTACAAACAAAACGCGATTCGAACAACAAAATTGTTGCAAACCAAGCCTCAGACAGGTGAACAACGTCTTCTATCGTATATAAAGTTCCTCGAAGAGAACGGTGGTCATTTACCTGAGCTAAGATCAATTGCCAATCAACTATCAGTCATTGAGCTAACTAATATTGACATTTGGACAATTATCTTATTAACTATTGTAGTTGTTATCGTTTTGTTGTTATACGTCATTGGCACTGTTTTGAAAAAGTTGTTTAGGTTGATAGGGTTTCGAAAGAAGGAGAAGATGCAATAAACATAAATATTTGAACAATAAGGTAGTATGCTAAGAAACATACGTTATTTTAGTGGCATTGAGTACGTAAAAGCTGTAACTTTAAAAGTTGTAAGCCCTGTAGATTCGAAATATTGTAGTATTTACTAAGTTACCCACTATATGAAATGTTTGCCTATTGAGTGCGTGTTACACTAAACAATATGTTTTCTTTTTCAAAGTTTTAGAAAGAATGGTCGGAAAGTACCGAAGGCTACAAAACGTAACCAAGAGATACTCAACGTTTCCTACAATTTCTACATTTGACAAAAGTATCAAGTCTGAAGAAAGTTTAGGTAATTGTCATGGGGAATTTATGTCTATACTTACTTTTTATTTGTAACTTAATACAGTACGTTATTGTCTTATAGTAGCCATACCGTAATATAATTGTAAGTCTAATTTAGGTATAAAAATGGAATCCGGCTTATGTCAAATTTCTGAAGACTACAGAAGTCAGTTCAAAATAAAACTTCATAGTTATATACACCTCAGCTGTAGTCTGGCTGGTATGATAGTAGTGATGTATGCGTTTTTTACTCGAAAATTGCGAAATCCAACTTTTCATTTTAATTTCAAGGTAAAAACTTTCTTTAAAAACAAAAAAATTAAATTTTTTAAATTTTAGATAATTTTATGGAACGCTTGGCTAGCCTCTTTCATAAGCCTTGGTTCAACTACCTTATCAACTTTATATGACATTCTTCTTCAACTCTACTCAGCACCTTGCCAAAACTTATATACAACATGGGTGTGTATGTTATTTCATTGGCCATTCACTTTCTGTACTGTAGCTTTGTCATTTCTGCATTTAGCAGCTTTCTTGGAACGGTACTCGGCTAGCCAGAAGAGACGTGGGTATGAACAAAGAGGCAAACGTATTGGTATCTTCATTGCTTTTGCTGCGGTGAGTATACCCTACCCTACCCTACCCCACCCTACTCTACCCTACCCTACCCTACCCTACCCTACCCTACCCTACCCTACCCTACCCTACCCTACCCTACCCTACCCTACCCTACCCTACCCTACCCTATCCTACCCTACCCTACCCTACCCTACCCTACCACACCCTATCCTACCCTACCCTACCCTACCCTACCCTAACCTTAAAATCAAAAACAGTTTAGTGGACGGCAGCATGTGTTGTCTGTTTCTACGTACTACACGACAATGATATATACCAAGCGCTTCCGTATTGCACTACAACCAATAGTCATAACAAAAATTACATTAGGACATTGTATGCGTGCCTTATGGTAGTTGATACTGTAGCTACTACTGGAGATATGTGGTTGTACGTAAAAAACAGAAGAAACTTTTACATGACGTAAGAAATTAGAATTACAAAGTGAAATTTTTCAAAATCTTTGTTTACAAAACAAAAGAATAAGGCGTTTTTAAAAATGGAAATTGAATGGAAGATTTGTAATGTAATTTGCACTGAACATCTTTCACAAGACTTCTACGTTTAAAATGTCGTAAAATGGTCTTAAAACACGTTTTCAACACTTTTTAAAAGTGGAAGTTGAGTGGAAGATTTGCAATGCAATTTGCACTGAATATCTTCCACTCAACTTTCACTCCACTAAAACCGCAATAACTTTCTTTACAACTAAAATTTTAGAAAGTATTCAAATTATTCACTATCCAATTCGTTCCAACAATCTGAGAACTACATTACCAGTCGATTACTCTTCCCGGTTTCACTGACCTACTCGATATTATTCATGACGTACTTGACCGTTTCGTCTGTTTTGCGTTCGTATTTCAGTTTAGAGCTGGATTATGCTAATTATATTTTATATATTACTCTTGGGCATGTAGTAAGTTATGTTTTTAGTAAAATTTTAGTTCTTTTTTGGTTTTTGAAACTTTTTGAGAGTTGCAGGCTGCGGGTGACATGTTATACGATGAAAGCTTAACATATTATAGCTTGTTATTTAACAATTTTATCAAAGATTTATAAAAATACTTCATTTTTACAAGTTTTTGCTTTAAAAAGTAATAAAATTTTTTTTCAGATTTTACAATTCACGTTAACGGTATGTATACTACTATACGTTCGTATGTCATGTCAAATGACGAAGGAAAGACAGTTATTATCTTTAAAATTAAAATCTCAAATTAGAGGAGATATCTACTTTCAACAAATTCACAGTGCCTGGGGGAATAGAAATGCTCGTGTTGCTCAATAAATTTTAAAAATTTTTAAATAAAATTCGTTTTTCAACTCTTGTAAAGAAAGTTTTTGTCATTTTTTGCTTTGTAAAGAAAGTTCTTGCCATTTTTTGATTTGTAAAGAGTTTTTGCAAAAAAAGTTTAAAAATAACCAAAATGGTGTTTACAAGTCAAAAAATGTCACAAACTTTCTTTACAAGTCTAAAAAACTACTGATTTTTAAAAGTGGAAGTTGAGTGGAAGATTTGTAATGCATTTTCCACTGAAAATCTTCCACTCAACTTCCATTTTCAAAATGTCTTAAAATTGCCTGAAAACACGTTTTTGACCATTTTTAAAGATGAAAATTTTTTAAAGATTTGTAACGTATTTTCCACTGAAAATCTTCCACTCATCATTTATTTTCTTAATCTTGCAATAACTTTATTTACAGATCAAAAATCTTTTAAAATGTATTTTTTAGGCTTAAAAACTGTAATTTTTTCATTTGGACGTTTGATATCGAATTTTACAGAGTAAAAAAGTGATGTTATAGTTGTCCGAACGCTAGTTTTCCCAAGTTTTAATTCGATTTCTGATATTATCTTATATTATCTATAACTTTTTGTTTTAAAAGTTACAAAATTCACAAAAATAATCGAATTCAAAGCAGCTTTGGAGAGATTAGAGATCAATCTACTTTAATATACAACAGATATGATATGGTCATTGCACTGTAATTGAGGAAAAGTGATGTGGTGCATATGTAGTTTCTATGAAGATTACTGTAATTTGTGAATGTAACATTTTACTGTAACTTTAGAAAAAGTACTGTAATTCATTGATATGGTAACATTATTGTACTGTAACAGCTCAATAGTACTGTAACTTATAGCTATGAGATGCTTATTGTACAATACTTGAAGAAAAGTACTGTAACTTATACTTATGATAACTTTATGTTATTTTAATTTAGATTTATAATAACTTTATGCTACTGTAACAACTCAAAAGTACTGTAACTCATAGTTATGACATGTTTATTGTACTGTAACATCATTTATGAGGTAGATTATCTATGGCTTTTCATTACAATAGAGATCAGAGCAGAGTAAGAGGACATAAAATATTAAAAATACATAAAATTCAAAAAACATCTTATTAAAAATGGCATAAAAAGGTAAAAATAGTCCCATCTATTATCATTTTTTTTTCAATTTTTGGTCGATAATTTGGCTGTTTTTTGTCGATAAATCATCAATTACTGGTCGAAAACATACAGTATCAAGTCGAAAAGTTGACTTTAGAAAAGTTGATCAATTTGTGAACATATTTAGTTTCCAGCTATGATGAGTAGTACTATGTAGCACGAAGTTACTATACCAAGAGTCCGAAACTGGTCTGTAGAGTACGAGGCTTCTTTTGTAAGTACGATGACTAGTACAATACAAGATCAAACTAGACTAGTACTATGCAAAAGCAAACTTCTTTTTTGAAGTACAGTAGCTTGTACTATGTAGCAGTAATTTACTTTCCAGGCCCATTCATCATCTGCATATTACCCTTGAGATGGCGGGCAGCTCGAGTGAAGGAATTGTCTCGTTTTCTGAAAAAGATGGCACTATTAGTACTGAAAAAGTATTTAAAATAAATTTTTAATATTAGTTTTCGAATCTTGGTGCTACGAAGGTATTGAATTTGAGGTTTATGGTCGAAAATTAGGCTTTTAGTACTAAAAACAGTACTTTTTAACAAAAATAGTACTAGTGGTACTGAAAATAGTATTGGTACAAAACAAAAAATGTACTATTAGAATAAAAAACTTACTGTCTAAAGAAGATCCGAGCTTCACTTTTACCAGAAATAGCCAAAAATACTATGGTAATGAGAACAAATACCACAGTAAGTTTCATGATTACTGTAAAAAAATAATAAAGTACAAATTACTGTATTAACAGAGCTTATAAAAGCAGTTTTGAAGGTGAGAGAATGATAGCAGGGATCTCTTTTATATCATTCAGAATCTGATTTTAAGCCCGCTTCTGACGTCAGCGACTAAGAGAAGGTCGGCCAAGTGATTGTGGCCTAAAGATATGAAAGGGAATACGTAGATTCATATTTATTTGATTACGTAGTCTATCGCAAGTGATATACGTTTGCATTTAGCATGTAAAGTTTAATATTAGCATGGGATTTTGATGGTTTAGATTGTGGGTATACTACGTCATTGTTCAGTGTAATACCAAGGTGTGTGTGGTCAAAAAATAAGTTTTTAAAACTAAATTTAATACTTTTATTTTAAAAATACGTATTTTGCAAATTGAGCGTATTATGTCAATTTTTACTGACATCTTTTCTTGTCAAATGACATATTTTCTAGACGAATCACGGCAATTATTTTCCTTCTCGATCTGACATTCTTTATCGATGTTATTGTTGATTCTTGTCTATATGAATGTCGAATAAGGACAAAGAAACTAAACTTGAAGCTCTCACTGAAGTTTTGATTGAGTGAAGGCTTGAATAATTCTCTGAAATTTCATATTTGGTCGTCGCTTAAGGATCAGAAGCTTCTTGTGAAGATGAATCAGCTTTACCATATATCTTCATAGGTTTTCCGAAGTTTTTGTTGAAGTTGAAGAGATTTGTGAGTTACCTACTTTGTTTTTATTAATTTAGATGTAAAAAAACGCAGGGAATGATGTTGTAGTAGATCAAACTGATTTTCAATCGGCTGAATGTTGTTAAGAAGGTTTTGGTGTTGAATATGAATGTAAACCTTTTTTAAATGTTTTTTATGAGTTTTGTACGAACATGATCAAATTTAAGCTAATTATAAGGTTATAATGTTAAAGATATTGTTTTAGATGAAGAAACACAAGAATAAGAGGTTATTGTCGAACAACAACAGTACAAACTCCAACCAGGACAAGTTACAGTTGAAGACACGTTTGTAAGAGCTGTTGATGGGGAAGATAAGTTGTGGTAGGCGTTTTACATTTTTTTCTGTTTTTAGTTAATAACTTCAGTTCAAGTGGAAAAAACGTTTGTTACCTAAACTATGAAAAACTAATGGTTTTTTGTTTTAAAGAAGCTATTAGTGATTTTCTTTACGATTTACTTACAAAAGATGCTGTTTAGTTGAAAAATCTCATGGATAACATAATTTTAGTGACCATTTTGATAGCAGAAAGAAGATGGACTAAAAGTTTAATATTGGCATGGGATTTTGATGGTTTAGATTGTGGGTATACTACGTCATTGTTCAGTGTAATATCATGATGTGTATGATCTAAAAACTAATTTTTTAAAACTAAATTTTAATACTTTTTATTTTTAAACTACGTCTTTTTGTAAATTCAGCGGATTGTGTCAATTTTTACTGACATCTTTTCTAGACAAAAATGACATATTTCCTAGACGAACCACAGCAGTTTTTCCGTTCCGATCTGACGTTCTTTATCGATGTTACTGTCACCCCCCCCCTTTTTTGTGTGTGTAAATGTCGAATATGGACGAAAACTAGAAGCTTTCGTTCAAGTTTTGATTGAGATAAAGCTTGAATAATGACCTGAAATTTCATGTTTGATCGTCGCTTACGGATCAGAAGCTTCTTGTGGAGATGAATCAGCTTTATCAAAGACTTTTGTACGTTTCTTGAAGATTTTGTTGATGTCAATGAGGTTTGTAAGTTATTTACTTTGTTTTTATTAATTTAGAAGGAAAAGAAGACGCAGAGAATGATTTTGTAGTAGATCAAAATGATTTTTATGAGACTGAATGTTGAAGTTTTTGTTCTTGAATATAGAAGTAAGCTTGAGTTAGATGTTTTTTTACGAATTTAGAGATGAAGACGATTAAATTTCAGCTAATTATGAAGGTTATAATGTTAAAGCTATTGTTTTAGATGAGGCAAAAGCAACATGAGAGGTTATCATTGAATAACAACGTCCCAAGCTCTAAACACGACTGGTTACGGTTGAAGACGCATTTAGTGATGTGAAAGATAAGTTGTGGTAGGTGTTTTACACTTTTTTTCTGTTTTTAGGTAACAACTTCAGTTCAAGTGGAAAAAAAACGTTTGTTACCTAAAATATGAAAAACTAAATGCTATTTGTTTTTAAAGGTGCTGTTCTGATTATTTCTTCACGGTTTTATTACAAAAGATGCCGTTTAGTTGCAAAATGTCATGGATAACATAATTTTAATGATTGTTATGGAAGCATAAAGGATAGTGCACTATAGTCGCGAAAACAGGGTGGGAGGGATAGGATAGAGTAGTGTCAAATATACTTTACTATACACGAAATAAATAATAATACAAGTTTCTATAAATTTCGCTACAAAACGTTATTCCTTTTGATCTCTAAGCTTGACCGCCTCTTCATAGCTAATCTCGTTGATCGACAGCAATCGTCGACAATGTTTGGGCTGTCTCTTCCACTCCTCGGTATAATAACCATTCGTGTTCACCGTCCTGAACTTACCACCCGCTGTCTTTCGATGCCAGACTAAAATGTCTTCGGTACCATCGCCAAATGGTACCATATCGTCCCATGAGATGTTCAATTGGTTCAGGAAACAATCTTCTGGAGATTGACCTGCACAGTGCAGTGTTAGGCGGGGTCTGGAAATGCGTTTTTAGACAACTTGAAGACATTCTGAAGAACTTGGACCCCTTTGAATATCAACAGGTTAGGCTACTTATTGTTTTTTAAACAAGGTTTTTGCCATTTAAAGGTAATACATACTTGCTTTTGACCAAAGTATCAATATTAATGGCAAATCCTGCCATATCAGTGGCAAACTTTCTGGACGGTCGATAAACAACGTTCCAGCCCACCACTTTGTTGTTCTTCACCTTTGGGCTTTCCACTATGGCATAGGCTGATGTACCTTGAATATTGAACTTCAAAATATTGAAATTTGAAAGTTCGAATTTTTGAAAAAGTTCCTTACCGACTGCCCAAACACCCATAACTTCAACTTTGGCAATATATTCTGTAAACAGTCGTATGTCATAAGCATTATCATCGTCGGCGAAGTAAACAACGTCATTTGAATTGAATTGGGCACGGTGCTTCTGAATCCAGTCCAGAGCGCGGTTGCGGTGGGCCCAACCACGGCCTGAAAGAACTTTCTTTACAACGTGCTAAAACGGCAAAAACGTTCTTTACAATCCAAAAAATTCCAAATGCTAACCAACGTATAACTTTTCATCCGCAGCCTGCAGTTTACTACAAGTTTTTCAAAAACTGAAGAATAGAAAGAACTTTGTTTACACTTACATGGTAATCCTTCGTTTGTAGTGTTGATGTAAGCGTAGTCCAGCCCCGTTCTTCTCATCACTTGTTCGACTTTGTCTACTCTGTAATCTCCATCTTCTACCACCAGCCAGAACACGTTGGGAACGTGCTTCAGGGCCTGGGACAACCTAAAATTTATGAGAAATTGTGTTAAGCCTAAACTAAAAAAAAGAGTTCTTACATAGTGAAATCGGCCATTCTCTCCGGTCTCATGAATGTTGGTGTTATCACAATAATGGTTTTGTCATCTGTTACTTTTACCCGCGAAAACTCTGATTTAAATCTCGATTTCTTGATTGATAATGAAGAAATGTAGTATATTATACTGCATAGTAGTATACCACACATAATTTTTAATGTTACATCTGGAAATTGAGTAAAAATAAAATTTTAAAGTTAAGATATGGGCTAAAAATGGCAAGAACTTTCTATACGAAAAAAATAGCAAGAACTTTCTTTACAAAACATAAAATGGCAAGAAGTTTCTTTGTCAAACCAAAAATGATAAGAACTTTCTTTACAAAACATAAATTGGCGAAAACTTTCTTTGCAAAATATAAAATGGCAAGAACTTTCTTTACAAAGCATAAAATGGCAATAACTCTGTATTAAATGATTTTTCATTGTATAAGATGTCACCAGCAATCTGCAATGCCCCAAAAGTTCAATTAAAAAACTTTAAAAACAAATTAAAACATGTATAACTTACCACTACGATTGGCTTGTGGCACGCCATTAATAGAAGAATACCGTAGCATTTTTTGACCAATTTTACCACGGGAAACTGGTAAACCGTTTTAACAAAAAAATAACTGTAAACCAGCAAAAAACAAAAATATGATACTAAATAAAAGGTTTTAATTAGTATTCAAAGCTATAAAAAATAACAAGAAGGTTAAACGTAACGTCGACTGGCAACAGAACACATATTATAACCTTTAGATAGTCTATAACAATATATTTTCGACAAATTTGTCGAATTCTTTTTTTGTTCTGAATTATTTATGCAGATTAGTCTATACGTTGAAAATCAACGCGTAACACAGTAAACAAATTCGAGTGATCGAACTCTAACAATAACAATAAAGGTTGTTAAGCTCTACACTAGACCTATCTTAAGCCCTAGCCTCAGCCCTAGTGTTAGCTTTAGTCGCAACCTCAGCTTTAGGCTTTGCTTTAGCTTTATCATCATCCTTAGCATCAGTTTTGGCCTAAGCCCTTACCTAAGCTCTAGTCATTGTTTTAGCCGTAACCTCAAGTCTTAGTCCTATCTTTAGCCACAGCTCTAACCCAAACCTTAGGCCCAACTTTATACCTAGTCCTACTTATAGCCCTAAATCAAGCCCTAGCCTCAAGCTCCATCCCTATCTTTAGCTCTGTTCATAGCCTTATCCATTTCAAAAATTGAAGAAAGACATAAGACAATATAAATAAAACTAATATTATACATTTGTTTTCACTCCCATGCTATATTCAATTATGTACAAAAGAGGAGATACGTAACAACACGAAAGGTCAGGCTTGTTCCCATTCATAACAACGAACATTGATTTTTTCAAAAATTCAAAACTTCTAGCTGAACTATCTTTTAAAAAAGAGCTTTATGTCGGCAAGCGGTCGGTTTTGGTACCTCTGATAGAACAACGGCAAAATGACGTCGTCTCAAAGACACTGTAAGTTCATTTTTAATTCCATTTAGTGTTGACGCTTATTTTTACTTTTTGTATGTCTGGAAAGAAAGTTCTTGGTATCTTTTGTTTTGTAAAGTAAGTTCTTGCCATTTTTTGATTTGTAAAGAAAGTTCTTGCCATTTTATGTTTTGTAAGGAAAGTTCTTGTCATTTTTTGTTTTGTAAAGAAAGTTCTTGTCATTTTATGTTTTGTAAAGAAAGTTCTTGCCGTTGTTATGTTCGTAATGAAAATTTTAATGATTTTTAAAACTTTAGGTACATTACTGAAAATCCTCTGTGTTATACTACTATGCTGCATATTATACTACATGACGTCATTGCCAGCCGAAAGACTGATATTTATAACTGAATGTTCGAGGATAAACCAAACTCCAGAAGCAGCGGCCTATACTAACAGGACCATTATTGTGATAACACCAACTTACATGAGACCCGAACGAATGGCTGATTTTACTATGTAAAGGCTCTTTTTAAGTTTAGTTTTAAGCTTAAAAAGGAATTTTAGGGTTAAAAAATTATTTTGGGCTTAAAAATGTACTTTAGGTTTAAAAATTAATTTTAGGCTTAGAAGTAAAGTTTAGGCTTAGAAATGAAGTTTAGGCTTAGAAAATGTAATTATAGACTTTAAAATGAATTTTAGGCTTAGAAATGAAGTTCAGGCTTAAAAATTAATTTTAGGTTTAAAATAGATTCTGTTTAAAAAATGCATTTTAGGCTGAAGTTTAACAAAAATATTTTAAAATTTTGTTTTTTTAGGTTGTCCCAGACCCTAAAACACGTTCTCAACGTGTTCTGGCTGGTGGTAGAAGATGGAGATTACAGAGTAGACAAAGTCGAACAAGTGATGAGAAGAACGGGGCTGGACTACGCTTACATCAACACTACCAATGAAGGTTTACCATGTAAGTTTATTGTGTGTTCGTGACACATTTTATAGAAAAGTTGTTTTTTGACTCTGTAAAGAAAGTTCTTGCCATTTTATCATTTGTGAGAAACTTGTATTAAACTGCAGGCTGCGGGTGACAAGTTATACGATGGACAACTAAATCTTTGAATTTTTGATTTGTAAAGAAAGTTCTTGCCATTTTACCAATTTGTAAGGAAAGTTCTTTTAGGCCGTGGCTGGGCCCACCGTAACCGCGCTTTGGACTGGATTCAGCAGCACCGTGCCCAATTCAATTCAAATGACGTTGTTTACTTCGCCGACGATGACAATGCTTATGACATACGATTGTTTACAGAGTATATAGCCAATGTTAAGGTTATGGGCGTTTGGGCGGTCGGTAAGAAGTTTTTCAAATTTTAAAATTTGAATTTAATTTGAAATATTTTAATTTTTTTTTGAAAATTTAGAATTTCAGGAACAGCAGCTGGAGCCACGGTAGAGAGTCCAAAGGTGAGGAACAACAAAGTGGTTGGTTGGAACGTTTATCATCAACCGAAGAGAAAGTTCGCCGTCGATATGGCTGGGTTTGCCATTAATATTGACATGTTGATGAAAAGCAAGTAAGTAAAGCGTAGAAGTGTCAAGAACTTTCTTTACAGAACATAAAATGGCAAGAACTTTCTTTACAGAACATAAAATGGCAAGAACTTTCTTTACAAAACATAAAATTGCAAAAACTTTCTTTACAAAACATAAAAAAGCAAAAATTTTAAAAAGTGGAAGTTTGATGGAAGATTTGTAATGTATTTTGCACTAAAAATCTTCCACCAAACTTGCACTTCCAAAATGGCCTAAAAACACGTTTTTGACATTTTTTAGAAGTGGAAGTTGGGTGGAAGATTTTTAATGTATTTTGCACTGAAAATTTTCCACCCAACTTCCACTTCCAAAACGTCTTAAAAATGCCTAAAAAACGTGTTTTTAACAAATTTTAAAACTTAAAAAAATTTCAAAATTTCAGACCCCGTCTAACATTGCACTGTGCAGGCAAAACACCGGAAGACTGTTTCCTACAGCAATTGAAGATGGAATGGGACGAAATGGTACCATTTGGTGATGGTACCGGCGAGATTTTTGTGTGGCATCGACAGACTGCTACCAGAGAATATCATACGGTGAATACGAACGGCTACTTTATTGAAAAACGGAAGAAACAGCCAAAGCTTTGCGAACTGTTAAGGGATATCAACTGGATGACGTACGAGAAAGCGGTCAGGGTGAGGGATCAAGCATGACACTGACAGTTATTGTGGTGGCACTGATTGGAACTACTGATTGTTGTTGTACTAGGTGGTTTAGAGGTCTTGTGTTTGGAATAAACTGACATTTAAAGAGTTGGCATTATTATGGTCTACCTTATCGTACACTACTCTACTATAGCTTAGCCCGCTCTATCCTACTTTACCCTATCCTACGCTACTCTGCTATTCCCTAACGTACCAAACTTACCTTATTCTATTCTACCAGACCCTATTATACCACATCCTATCTAATGCTACCCTACCCTAATTCACCCTACTATAATGTCGAAGATATAAGTAGAATATCAACACTAAATAACATCGAGTGTATGTATTTTACAAAAATATTTATTTGATCACCTAAACAATATACAGTTACAGCTACATGCCTATAGTCCTTGTTATAACAGTATCCATTAAGGAAGAGCCTTTGTGATCGCTGCTAACTCTGGCTTCTCTTTGGCGAACTTAAGCAGAGCCTGTTTGCTGGTGGGGGCTAAGCCGACGCGGACGGCCGAACGACTCAACCACATCGTGCTAAAAAGGAATGGCATTAGTTGGTTCAAACATGCCTCAGGCAAAGTAACTTGAGATATAGGTAAGGGTAGGAACAGAGGCTAAGATAGTGGAGTAGGGGGTAAGACGAAGAGTAAGGGTATTGTTAAGGATAGCGGAAGAAGTAGAGATAGGTTAAAAGCACAGGTACTTTCTTTCCAAGGCCATAATCATTTGAAAACCCTTACCATGAATGTATATGTTCACCAGCACGCTTCAACGCCAAGAACAAGAACAGAATGTAGATGTACAAGATACAAGTGACCATGTTCATAGCTAATGGAATGCCCAACATCAATGAGGTCCAGAAGTTGACTTCGTAATACGCTTCCAAACATGTGTAACCTGAAATGGCATATTAGTATAGAAAGCTCTGGCCATTTTATGCTTTGTAAAAAAATTGCCATATTTTGTTTTGTAAAGAAAGTTCTTGCCATTTTTTGCTTTGTAACGAAAAGTTTTTTCAAAAAAAAAAATAAATCCTCACTTACCATTGCCATCTTTGGATGGTATGGGAGTAGGTCCCGGACGCAAAGTCGAGGTCTCGGTAGTAGTATCATTTGACGCCATTTTTAACACAAAAATTTGACCGACTATCACCCAATTTGAAAAATGGTAAAATAAGCCAAATTTGCCAATTTTTATTCAAAAAAAGACCATTTTTAGTCCATTTTCTTTCTGCTATCAAAATGATCACTAAAATTATGTTATCCATGAGATTTTTCAACTAAACAGCATCTTTTGTAAGTAAATCGTAAAGAAAATCACTAATAGCTTCTTTAAAACAAAAAACCATTAGTTTTTCATAGTTTAGGTAACAAACGTTTTTTCCACTTGAACTGAAGTTATTAACTAAAAACAGAAAAAAATGTAAAACGCCTACCACAACTTATCTTCCCCATCAACAGCTCTTACAAACGTGTCTTCAACTGTAACTTGTCCTGGTTGGAGTTTGTACTGTTGTTGTTCGACAATAACCTCTTATTCTTGTGTTTCTTCATCTAAAACAATATCTTTAACATTATAACCTTATAATTAGCTTAAATTTGATCATGTTCGTACAAAACTCATAAAAAACATTTAAAAAAGGTTTACATTCATATTCAACACCAAAACCTTCTTAACAACATTCAGCCGATTGAAAATCAGTTTGATCTACTACAACATCATTCCCTGCGTTTTTTTACATCTAAATTAATAAAAACAAAGTAGGTAACTCACAAATCTCTTCAACTTCAACAAAAACTTCGGAAAACCTATGAAGATATATGGTAAAGCTGATTCATCTTCACAAGAAGCTTCTGATCCTTAAGCGACGACCAAATATGAAATTTCAGAGAATTATTCAAGCCTTCACTCAATCAAAACTTCAGTGAGAGCTTCAAGTTTAGTTTCTTTGTCCTTATTCGACATTCATATAGACAAGAATCAACAATAACATCGATAAAGAATGTCAGATCGAGAAGGAAAATAATTGCCGTGATTCGTCTAGAAAATATGTCATTTGACAAGAAAAGATGTCAGTAAAAATTGACATAATACGCTCAATTTGCAAAATACGTATTTTTAAAATAAAAGTATTAAATTTAGTTTTAAAAACTTATTTTTTGACCACACACACCTTGGTATTACACTGAACAATGACGTAGTATACCCACAATCTAAACCATCAAAATCCCATGCTAATATTAAACTTTACATGCTAAATGCAAACGTATATCACTTGCGATAGACTACGTAATCAAATAAATATGAATCTACGTATTCCCTTTCATATCTTTAGGCCACAATCACTTGGCCGACCTTCTCTTAGTCGCTGACGTCAGAAGCGGGCTTAAAATCAGATTCTGAATGATATAAAAGAGATCCCTGCTATCATTCTCTCACCTTCAAAACTGCTTTTATAAGCTCTGTTAATACAGTAATTTGTACTTTATTATTTTTTTACAGTAATCATGAAACTTACTGTGGTATTTGTTCTCATTACCATAGTATTTTTGGCTATTTCTGGTAAAAGTGAAGCTCGGATCTTCTTTAGACAGTAAGTTTTTTATTCTAATAGTACATTTTTTGTTTTGTACCAATACTATTTTCAGTACCACTAGTACTATTTTTGTTAAAAAGTACTGTTTTTAGTACTAAAAAGCCTAATTTTCGACCATAAACCTCAAATTCAATACCTTCGTAGCACCAAGATTCGAAAACTAATATTAAAAATTTATTTTAAATACTTTTTCAGTACTAATAGTGCCATCTTTTTCAGAAAACGAGACAATTCCTTCACTCGAGCTGCCCGCCATCTCAAGGGTAATATGCAGATGATGAATGGGCCTGGAAAGTAAATTACTGCTACATAGTACAAGCTACTGTACTTCAAAAAAGAAGTTTGCTTTTGCATAGTACTAGTCTAGTTTGATCTTGTATTGTACTAGTCATCGTACTTACAAAAGAAGCCTCGTACTCTACAGACCAGTTTCGGACTCTTGGTATAGTAACTTCGTGCTACATAGTACTACTCATCATAGCTGGAAACTAAATATGTTCACAAATTGATCAACTTTTCTAAAGTCAACTTTTCGACTTGATACTGTATGTTTTCGACCAGTAATTGATGATTTATCGACAAAAAACAGCCAAATTATCGACCAAAAATTGAAAAAAAAATGATAATAGATGGGACTATTTTTACCTTTTTATGCCATTTTTAATAAGATGTTTTTTGAATTTTATGTATTTTTAATATTTTATGTCCTCTTACTCTGCTCTGATCTCTATTGTAATGAAAAGCCATAGATAATCTACCTCATAAATGATGTTACAGTACAATAAACATGTCATAACTATGAGTTACAGTACTTTTGAGTTGTTACAGTAGCATAAAGTTATTATAAATCTAAATTAAAATAACATAAAGTTATCATAAGTATAAGTTACAGTACTTTTCTTCAAGTATTGTACAATAAGCATCTCATAGCTATAAGTTACAGTACTATTGAGCTGTTACAGTACAATAATGTTACCATATCAATGAATTACAGTACTTTTTCTAAAGTTACAGTAAAATGTTACATTCACAAATTACAGTAATCTTCATAGAAACTACATATGCACCACATCACTTTTCCTCAATTACAGTGCAATGACCATATCATATCTGTTGTATATTAAAGTAGATTGATCTCTAATCTCTCCAAAGCTGCTTTGAATTCGATTATTTTTGTGAATTTTGTAACTTTTAAAACAAAAAGTTATAGATAATATAAGATAATATCAGAAATCGAATTAAAACTTGGGAAAACTAGCGTTCGGACAACTATAACATCACTTTTTTACTCTGTAAAATTCGATATCAAACGTCCAAATGAAAAATTACAGTTTTTACATGGTGAATATACGATCAAGTACCACAAAAAAACTCTTTATAAGATATAGTTATTATACCAACGTAAGATACCATTTGTAATGGGCTTTCAGAATCTGTATTGACTGTTGTTGTAGCTGTGATATTTGTCAAGTTACAGTAATGTAAATATATCCTTGCTATATTATACATGGTGAATATACAATCGAGTACCACAAAAAAACTCTTTTTAAGATAAAGTTAGTATACCAACGTAAGGTGTACCCTATCTTACCATACTGTACCCAATCATACCATACTTTAGCATACCATAACGTTTCATATCATAATATACTCTATCTGCCAATACCATACTATACCCTAAGTGCCCCTATTCTATCTTATAAAACACTGCCGTATACGTTCAATGGGTAAGGTAGGATAAGTAAGGGAAGGTAAATGGTACAGTACGGTAAAACAGGGTATGGTGGTATATTATGGAAGGGTAGGGTAGGGTCGGGCAGAAAAACTAAAAAAGTTGTAACAGTTTAGGTAGAAAGGCTACTGTGTAGTTCTTGACTTGGTGTTACTTGTGACCAGTGTTTTGCCGGACCGGTCCGGATGAGAATTTTTTCGGTCCGGGCCGAAAAAGTCCGGTCCGGATTTTTTAAAAATTTCTCCGCGTCGGCGGAGAAAATCGGCAAGGGCGATAACTCTGCTCAAACTCAATATTTTTCCACCGGACAAAGACTGGGGATATTCTTTTAAGTTTTTTTAACTGTTTTAATTACTTTTTAAATTAAAAAAATTATATTTTTAAATTGGCGGACGGTCGGCGGACAAAATCGGCGAAGGCCATATCATGGTCAATTTTTAATATTTTTTCAGATGATAAAAACTGAGGATAATCTTTTGAGTTTATCAACCTTTTTAATCAAAATCTAAACTTAAAAAAATCATTAGCGGAAAACGGGCGGAGAAAACCGGCGAAGGCTATAAGTCGTCCAATTTTCTATACTGAACTTTTGAATTTGTAATATTTCGGTAGAAGAGAACCTTAGGGTGTCACTAATTCGTTTCGCAGAAAAAAACATTTAAAATCGACCGTGTTATAGCCTTTGCCGATTTTCTCCGCCGACCGTCTGCCGAATATTCAAAAACAAAGTAATAATAACAAACCCGCCTGCAATTCCAAGTGTACCTTCCTTCCCGCATAAAAAATATAAAAAATTATAATTTCGGTCTGGTCCGGAACGTTTTTAAGAGGTCCGGTCCGGCGGTTCCCTGAGGTCCAGTCCGGCCGGAACTTTTTTTTTCGGGCCGGTCCGGCAAAATACTGCTTCTGACAATCCACATTCTGCAAAACTAAATAAAAACGACTATTAAGAATTTTTTGCTAGATTTATTACTTAGCGTTTTAGTGTGCTTTTTTGTAACAGTGAGACACTCGACGAAAAAACGGATCACTTGACACATGTTAGCTTTTATTCCTTTCTATTGACAAAATTATAATTATATTTTTGCGTTGAATCATACAAAGCAAACATTTTGTAGAGCATTGTGTCGTCAAAGATGGAAAAAATTGGCGTATTAAGCCAAGATGTAAGTAATTTTCTTAATTCACAGAGACGTGGCAGAAGTGGGTTCAGTACATTGATAAAATTAAAATATGCACATTAATTTTGTAGTTGTGAATTATAATAGAACATTTAAACTTGTTTATTTTTATAAAGTTTTATGTTACTCAAAGTAAGTAATTTAATTTCAAACTGAAGATATTATCAAGTATTTTAATTTACAGATTTGGGACATTATCATCAAGCACAGTGAACTCACATCAGTAACGAGTTTGGCTAGAACTTGTCGTCGTTTTAACAACTATGTTGGCTTGGATTTCAATAAGTTGTGTGTGGAAAATCATATTTTTCGCCTTCCCGGAGAATCGTGGGCCGACGCTTTCGCTGAGTAGGTTTCTAAAACAACATAAGGGTGGGACAATATTTTAATAACAAGGAGTTGTAGTCTTAAGTTACGCCTTTTGACAAAACGGTAGGTACTGATATGTAAGGCTATAGATAGCTTAAGGCAATGCAGGGTTACGTATACATTTTCAAATATGATATGTTTGATTGTTAAATTTCAGTGCTCATCGCCGTTTATGGATAGACGCGGAGCCATTTGACGAAGTTTTATACTTAAGAAGGATGGTCAGCATCCACTTTAGAAGTTACTTGGTTGTGTTTTCATATAACACTACTGTAATTGTTTGTAGTTTGGATTTTTTGCGCACGTTTGTCCAAGTCTTCAGGTTTGACGAAGATGTCAACTTAATTGAGACTTCTAGCGATCAAAAATACATTATTATTGGTGTAAGTTATTTAAGCTTCTAACAGGGAGACCCTCTTGACGTTTATGCCTCCCCCCCCCCTTAGACCCCGGCTTCCCGCTCGGTCCTGACCAAAACCTAACAATACTGCTCATAGCACCAATGCCCTGTTTTAGGTTAGGTTTCGAGGAACATTCGTATTTGAGTTGGCAACAGGACGACCTCTCTACCCTCAAGAACGCAAAAGCATGACATTTAATTCAAGCGTTTTTATATATCACACTTTTGCAAACAAAGTGGAGGAAGTTTTAAGCACAAAAACGACTATCATAGATAATATGCGAGAACTTGAACGTACAACTGAGCATTATTGTGCACGTGTGGTACAGGAGAAGCTGATTGTTTACGACGTGTCCAAGGAAGTACAGTACGAACTGCCGTTGAATCCAAGTTTTGGCAAAGTTCGTTCTGTGCTTTTTTTGGTTCGCTCCAATTGTGTTTCGATAAGTTATTTGAATGAAAAGGGGCGGTGGCCGTGTGAAGTCTACAACATTTTAACTGGTAGCTTAATGTTACAAGATCCTGACAATGGTTATTTTATTTTGTCACCGTTCCTCCTTCTAAGTCCAAAGCGTGGAAATGTGAGTTAAAATTACAGCTTGCTTTTCAGACCCTACCCTACCCTACCCTACCCTACCCAGCCTACCTTACCTTATCCTATTCTACACTACCCTACCCTACCCGAACCTAATCAGGATTGGACGCAGGGCAGGGCATGGGCCCGGTAACAGGGCATTTTTGAATTGTTTTTTTGGCGCGCTTTTTTATAAATTTTTTTGGCTAGGCCAAAAAACGCAAACATTTCTAGAAATGGGTTTTAAACACTGTTAATCCATTATACTTTATTATTATCTTGATAACTATTACAGTTTTCAAGATATGAGTTTGGCGGGAAAACGAAATTCAAAAAATGCCTTGTTGAAATGCCCGGCCCTGCCCTACGTCCAACCCTGGCAGGGGTACGTTACGGTAGGGTAGAATAGGGAGTACTGTAATTTAAGTCAGTATTGTTAATTTTTAGATTTTCAAACTGGATCTTCTTAGTGGGACATGGAATTGCACCGCTTCTTATGTCAAAACGCCTTGTACTTTACCAAGAGACATTGCTCCAAACTTCATAGTCTACGAAGCGACTCTTGTCGCTAAAGCTGATTTAAAATGGGCTAGAAAGATTGGTAGCACGTCGCAGAACGTTGGTATAAATCAAGGGAAAGAAGAACGATCTTTGTGTTACAAAAACACGGAAACCTATGTTGGTAAACAAGAAGAATTGGTAACTAACCAAGGCGAACAACAAAGATTATTGTTAACAGAAAGAGACAATCATGACTCGTATCCATCTGAAAAACAAGATCGCTGGATGGCATATAAATGCTCATTTTTGGATGAAAAATCAAAAAGTAAGTAGTGGCAGGTTAGGGTAGAATATAGTAGGCTATGGTAGAATAGAGATGATAAACATGCTGGGCCCACTGTTCAAGCTTGGTAACGTAAATTCCAGGTCCGACCCGTTTTGACTTTAGCACAAGGTTGGCCAGATTCAATCGTCGGGCCGGGTTGGGTAAGGTAGGGCAATGCAGAGTAGGCTAGGGTAGGGTAGGGTAGGGTAGGGCAGTGCAGGGTAGGGCAGTGCAGGGTATAGTAGGGCAGCGCAGGGTATGGTAGGGTAGGTAAAAATCGCTATTATGTATCTTATTTTAGAAAAAGTTACAGTACGGAACTACACCACGATATGTCGAGAAAAACACCCCTTACTGGAGCTTAGCCATTTGTTAATTTTTCAAGACAGAAAGTACTATGGAAATGGTGCTGCTGAATACTTTAAACCACTTATCCGTGATTGGTGCCAAATCGAAAAACGCAGAAGCTGTAATTAGTTACAGTAATTTGTTAAAATTATTATTTTGTTGTAAAACTCTTGAAATAAACACAGTATAGCTTTAGTTTATTGTCTTGGTTATAGTCCTCGTTCTAAGCTTGTTCCTAGTACTATTCGTAGTTGTAGTGTAGTTATTATCGTTCTAAACCGAGTGTTAATTATAGTCCTAGTCATAGTTTCAGCCTTAATCCTATTCCTAGCCATACTCCTAGTTTAAGCTATAGCCTTAGCTTAAGTACTGAACTTAGCCATAACCCTAGTTTAAGACTTAGTCCTATTCAGAGTTCCCACGGGCTCCGGAGCCGGAGCTCATTTTTGAAAATGGTCGGAGCCGGAGCCGAGTTTTTTTTTTCTGGTCCTATTCCTAGTCTTCATATCTTAACCTTGTGCACTGGTCTTAGCCTCAGCTCGAGCTGTTGCTCTAGCTCCATGCCTAGTCTTAGTCCTAATTTTAACCTTAATTTTAACTTAAGCCTTAACCCTAGTCCAAGTCTCAGTACTTCTATTTTTAGCTTTTGTCTTAGCCATAGCTCTAGCCTTTGTCCCAGCTTCATTTTTAGCCCTGGTACTAATACTAACTTAAAAATATTTAAAATTTATCTTAACATAGCTAATTTTTCTCAGTATTCCTTACCTATATATAGGTTCTAGTCCCTAGATAGTCAGCTCTTTACCAAAAAAACCACACAATATTGTTTTTCATAATCTTTATTCTTTGTAACAAGGTAAATAGGCAGGAAACAGTTAATAAACAATAAGAGACACCCGACACTGTACACACGTTGTTCTTTGGTTTAGGATACAGAGATTACTTGAGATAGAGAGATTCCGAATGTAAGGCCACGTAGAGCTGGAACTGGCACTTAATATAGCTTTAGTGAAGAGAGATTTAGTACTGGCATTAGGTTTAGAGATTATTTCGTACTGACAACTACTGATAAAGTATTGTTGTACTAACACCTACTGATAAAGTAACGTTGTACTAACAATTACTGATAAAGTATGTTGCACTGACAATTACTGATAAGGAAACGTCGTACTGAAATATAGCTTTAGCAAACAGAGATAATACAGTACTGACATTAAGTTTTATTGATAAGAAATTTTGCACTGAAAATTCAACAAATGGATAATGGATTTTCAAGTAGGCACAATGATAATATCATACAAAGGAAGAAATTATAGATATGTTGAGATAATGGCATTTTAAGTTTTTTTCATGGGCTTCCAAAATCTGTATCGATTGTTGTTGTAGCTCTACTATAGCTTGAGTTACAGTAATGTAAATATATCCTTGTTATATTATACATGGTGGATATACGATCGACTACCACAATAAAACTCGTTATAAGATATGTTAAAAAGACAAGTGTTAGATGTCATTTTTCATGGGCTTTCAAAATCTGTATCGATTGTTGTTGTAACTGTGATATTCGTCCAGTTACAGTAATGTAAATATTTCCTTGCTATATTATACATGATGAATATCCGATCGAGTATCACAAAAAATTCGTTATAAGATATGGTTAAAAAACCAGTACAAGATGTCATTTTTTATGAGCTTTTAAAATCTATATCGACTGCTTATGTAGCTATATTACTCGTCGCGTTACAAAATGGCAAGAACTTTCTTTACAATGAATTTTTAACAAACTGTGAAGTAGTTTACAAACAAAATGAATTCTATCAGTTTACTTTTATTCTCCTTTCATCAAACGAAAAAAAGAGAAAAAGAAAGACGATAGGCTTCTCCTTCTGAAGTTTAATGAAGGATGCAAACTTTAGATGAAGCCATTCGGCTTTTCGAGTCTGCTACATTAGTTTCTGTTTAAACTGTGGTTGCTTCTAATTTCTGGGTTTGTAAACAATGTTTTTGCCATTTTTTGTTTTGTAAAGAAAGTTTTTTCTATTTTGTTTTTGTAAAGAAAGTTTTTTTCATTTTGTGTTTTGTAAAGAAAGTTCTTGCCATTTATTGCTTTGCAAGGAAAGTTTTTGCTATTTTTGGCTCTGTACAGAAAGTTCTTGTCATTTTTTGTTTTTTATAGAAATTTCTTTCCATTTTTTGTTTTGTAAAGAAAGTTTTTGCCATTTTTTGCTTTGTAAAGAAAATTTTTACCATTTTTTCAATGTTAGTTACGTTTTGACGTTTTGCGGACTGCGGGTGACAAGTTATACGCTGAATATTCAAATTGCGTCATTTTTCAATATGTAAAGAACTTTCTGGTTTGTTAAGAAAGTTCTTGCCTTTAGAAGCCACTTCTTAAACAAAGCTTCAAATTCAGAAGCTTGAACAAACTTTTTGGCTTTAGAAGCCAAAACTAACTGCTTCAGAACCTTCTTCTCAACTTTTTTCCAAGTTTTTCGAAATTCAAACAAACTTCAGAAGTTTGGCCCTTCGAAGAGTTGGGGCTTCAGAATGTTTCGAAGCCACTCGACGAGTTTAGAAACCAAGACAAAAGAGACACATTGCCGGCTTCTGACTTCCATATTAACAAAGACGAAGGAGAAGAAGATGGTCGGGAGTGTGTGACACGAAGCACGACGAATGCTCATTTATTCACAGAAGCCAGCATGCTTCGCTGTAATTGGGATGCACGACAAGTATTCATGAATAATATCCCTTCGCCCCGCTTCATGAAGGTCTTCTGTTCGGACTTTGAAGCCGGTTTCGTGCGTTGTGTGTGGCTTCGGAGTTGGATGGGTGATGGGAAGATGACATACGTTTCTTGGCCTTAACTTTCTTTTACAGTAGCTGGCCCAGAGCCTTAGCCCTAGCCCGAGAACTCTTGCCTAAGAGCCCTAGCCCTAGCCCTAGCCCTAGCCCTAGCCCTAGCCCTAGCCCTAGCCCTAGCCCTAGCCCTAGCCCTAGCCCTAGCCCTAGCCCTAGCCCTAGCCCTAGCCCTAGCCCTAGCCCTAGCCCTAGCCCTAGCCCTAGCCCTAGCCCTAGCCCTAGCCCTAGCCCTAGCCCTAGCCCTAGCCCTAGCCCTAGCCCTAGCCCTAGCCCTAGCCCTAGCTCTAGCCCAGAGCCCTAGCCCAGAGCCCTAGCCCAGAGCCAAGTTTTTGCTAAAACTGAGTTAAATTTAGGCCCGGCTTAAAAATTAAGCCTAGCCCGTTCCTCATGCCTAGCTAAGCCCTAGCCAATACTTTACTCTAGTCAAAGCATTACTCTAGCCAAGGCTTTTCTGTAGTCAAGGCTTTTCCCTAGCCAAGGCTTTACTCTAGTCAAGGTATGATCCTAGCCAAAACTTGACCTTTGCCAAAGCTTTATCCTAGCTTAGGCTTTACTCTATGCAAATCTTTATCCTAGCCAAGATATCTATAACAGCTTTACCTTTGATCTATCTTACTTTGTAGTACTTTTTATACTTTCTCAGTAGCTTTTACTCTTTGAATCTTACAATATCTTTTTAAAAATATTTTAAGTAACTTTACGCTAGTCTCATAAATATTCTAAGCTGTAAATTTATATTATCGTAGTTTTTATTATCAGCTGTATTGCCAACTCCTCTCCAGAAGACAAACATTTTTTTCCGACCTCAACTTTGGTAAACCGAAGCAGCGTCGACAATCGTTTAATCTTTCGTCTGAAGTCGAGGCGGCGGTTCATAACTCGTCGGCTTCTGCTCTGTTACACAAAACGCGAATCCGGTGGTGGTTGGGGGTGCATTCAGAAGGCGACGACGACAGCGCAAAAATGCGCGTTTTGTGAAGGAAGAATCCCACGCTTCATCGTGCCTTCTCCCCTTGCTTCTCCTTTTTCCAACCCGGAGAAGTTCGCGTCGTTTCGTGCGAGTGTGTGCTGCTTCTGGCAACGTACGGCACGTGTAGCGTGCGGTCTTTAGATTTGTACTTGTTTTGAAGAATTTTGTGTAGCTTTTTGAATTTTAACAGTGAGGTTTTTATGTTATATAAGGCAGTTTTATACTATTGTTTTGGGGTTGGTAACTATGACTGAGAAAGGCTAATAGTAAGGCTAATTTATAGTCTGGAGATATGGCTGAAGCTTAAGCAAAGGTTAAGGTACCAATTAGATGTGTGTTCAGAAGGGTGTAATGTGCGATGTTATCATGTGCAATAACAGATAAGAAAAAGCCTGATTGAATTTTATCAAGCTTCTAAAGTTGTACATAGAGTTGTAGTTTGTATTGTAAGCTGTGAGCGTTAGGCATGTAAAGAGCTTGGTATTGAGAACTAAAACTAAATCTTGACTAGAGCTAGAGCTAGAGCTAGAGCTAGAGCTAGAGTTTTGTTATAAGGCACACCATTTTGCAACGCCACAAATTTAAACTTCAGAAAGTACGTCAAACGTAGCCTGTAATTAAAACCACAAATGTAACCAATTTTCTTGCCTAATGGCCATACTAGCGTATAAAGTGTAAGACAGTTATCTTGTATGCTCCTTTTATACGATGCTTCTTGGAATTCTTTGCATGCAATGTATTTTTGTGTCTTTTTTTAACAAGAACATTTTTCCTCTTCACACTATGTTTAGAATGATGTTTTCCCAAAGTTTATAAAAGTTTTGTAAGGTAGTAATCTAGCTCTAGCTCTAGCTCTCGCTCTAGCTCTAGTTATAGCTCTAGCTCTAGCTCTAGTTCTAGCCCTAGCTTTAGTTTTAGCTTTGCCCCCAGCAAGTTTACAATTCCAACGCTTTTGCTTTGCCTAAAACTCACAGCCTACAATACAAACTACAACTCCTTGTACAACTTCAGAAGCTTGACAAAACAGAACATGCCTTCATACAATTGCCCGTACACATTACCACGTCGAACATCACGCCCTTCTGAGCACACGGACCCCACCACTCCTTCTGGCTCCAAGCCGGGCCGCCGCCGACAGCACACGTGCTTCACCGTGACAGCCCGCGGGGCCTCTTCAGAACACCTCTACAGCTGTTCATTAGTCTCATTAAAGAAGCCGGTGGCCTCGCTAATTCCGTGCGCTTGAGAAGCCCTCCCCATTGCCAAAACGACACGGATTTAGTGAAATCCGCGCCGGCGTCGGTTTCCGTGGCGACAAAGCCGCTCACCGACGCTGAAGCCGACGGCTTCACGGCGTCCGTGCCTTATGATGGCTGGGGAGGGGCTGGGGTTTCGTATTCTGGTCGCTGTGTTGCGACAAATGGATTTGGGTAGAAGGGTTGTTTTGAAGGAGGGCTGATGTTTGTGTAGCAAGTTTGCCACAAAAAAACTGAAATTATATAGAACTGTAACATGTAAATTAAGGTGTTGGGTTATTTTGTAGTTTATTCTGTACTAGTCAATTAAATGGAAGATATATCGGGCTTTAAAGCGATATCGCTCAGGCTAAAACTAAGGCTCAGGCTGAGACTTAGGCTCAAGCTCAGGCTCAGGTTCAGGCTCAAGCTCAGGCTCAGGCTCGAGCTCAGGCTCAGGCTCAGGCTCAGGCTCAGGCTCAGGCTCAAGCTCAGGCTCAGGCTCAAGCTCAAGCTCAGGCTCAGGCTCAAACTAAAGCTCCAGCTTCAGCTCAAGCTCTGGCGTAAACTGATTCTCAGGCTTAGACTCAAGCTCAGATTCAAGCCCTATTTGAAGATAATCAATCTCCAGATCAGCTAAAAGCTAGAACTAGAGCTAGATTTAGCATTAGAGTTAGTCTTAACTCCACTGCTGGCACTAACCGTAGCTTCAGCTTTAGGCTTTGCCTTAGGCTCAGCCACTAATACAAAATTAATTTTTTCTTTTAACTTTTGTTAGTTGAGTTTCTCCAGTCAAACTCTGATTCTTTTCACAAACAGACTTCAGCGTAGACAATCTCTATTACACAAAAAAGAGGTTAGCCTCAAAATGTTGTGTTTTTTGCGCAACGTCGGAGACTGTTTCACTTGTAGCGTTAGGAAATCAGATTCTTCTTCACGAAATGAAGATTGCTTCTTTTTCCTTTAAGTTTAGTTAATAAACATGGTTTATGTAAATTTATATTTTACAATATGCGCCAAAAATTCTGTTACTTTAGTTTTTAATTAGTTTTTTGCAAAAAACAGCTTTATAGCCTTCTGAAATTTTGAAAAAATCAGCCCGTAGCCTTCTGCGGTTTACAAGGAAACAGTCCCTTAGCCTTCTGTAATCCCTTGCCCGCTTTATCAAACAAAAATACTTTCCAGATTCTTGTTGACGTCGCCCCCATCACTTCAAAACGGTCTCATATTCTACGATCCCGGGGCTTCTGGTCACTTTCTCTCGTCCGCAGTCTTCTACTTTATTTACAAACCTATCCTCTTCTACAACACCACGATCTCTCCTCCACCCTCCAACTACACCACGATCTCTCCACCACTCTTCACCCTCAACTTTCTTATCTAATCTGCGTTTGTTTACATTATCCCTTCGTTTTACACTTTACCTTTACCGTCTCCTTCGATTCCCCCGTCTTTCGGGTTTGTTTGCTCAAGAAGTGAAGCTTCTCGTGCACCGTGGTTGCTGATTACCGATTCACGGAGCCTTTCGCCCCCTTCCACTCCTTCTGCTTTTGTGACGGCGCTCAATCACAGATGTTGTCTACGCTGGGTAGACGACATCTGCCGGCGTCTTAATTAAGCCGAGCCATGGAGGGAAAAGATTAAGTTCCAATGGCGGGGGTAGCGACAAAAGCTTCTGTCTTCGGAAGTTTAAAGTTGGGTAGTGATTTCGAAATCATAAAGAAATCTTCGTTATATGAAGAGTTTTTTACATGAGTAGCCTGTATGCAAAGGTTTCTCTGTACGTAGTAAATTTGTAGACTTATAGTACTAAAATTGGTGTAGCTAAAACTTTTTGTCAAAGCAAAAATAAATATAGTGTTAACTTTAACTATAGGCTAAGTTATACTCTTAGCTTTAGCCTTAGCCAGAGCCTAAGCTTAAGCTTCAACCTAAGTCAGAAGGGATTAGCTTTATCTTGAGCCTTGGCTTTAGTTTCAAATTGAACGTGAGGTTAAGCCTAAACCTAAGCTTGAGCTTGAGTTTGAGTTTGAGTTTGAATTTATGCTTGAACCTGAGCCTGAGCCTGAGCCTGAGCTTGAGCCCGAGCCTGAGCCTGAGCCTGAGCCTGAGCCTGAGCCTGATCCTGATCCTGAGCCTGAGCCCGAATCTGAGCGTGAGTCTAAAACTGAACCTGAGCCTTAGCCAAAGTCAGAGCGAGAATCGCAGCTTGAGCTTGAGCATGAGCTTGAGTCTTAGCCCAAGGTAGAACAGAAACGTGAGCCTGAGCGTAAACCTAAGGCTCAGCCTGAGCTTGACTTTGAGCATGAGTTTGAGCATGAGTCTCAGAAGCCTAATCTTGACCCTGTGTCTAAAACTAAGCTTTGAAGTTGAGCCCGAGTTTAAACCTTAGCCTAAGCATGAAACTAAGCTTTTGATTTAGTCAAAGTAAAACTAAACTTAAGAGTGACCAAGAGTTCGACTCTGAACCTGTCTGAGCTTTAGCCGTATTCTTAGTCTTAGCTTTAACCTGAGTCTTAGCTTAAGCCTAAACTTTTTAAATTCAGAAAAACTTGAAAGCTACTATATCATAAGTTGAGGTTCATTATTTTATTGACTTTCACTATGTATTAATCACTTCTCTCGTATGTTTATTATTCATATTTCTTGTTGATAAGATAACTGAGTCAATGAAGAACACTTTATCGGTCTTCTGATTCTGGAAAGCTTAAAATGCATTTTTTCTTTAACGTGCACGAAATTTCAAAAAATTTTTAAAAAATTTTAAATTTCAAAATTTTAAAGATTTTTTTTTAATTGTCATCATTTTTTCGAATTATTAGCCAACTATAGTAAGTCTCAGACATCAATAACACCTTGTAGCCTTCCCAAGAACTATATGTCTTCATCACTACAGTTTTCGTAACGTCCCAACCGCTCTTCTTGATCATTATCCGATCCGAAGCCAGTACACTCCACTTTTCGGTTGTTTATCGTGAAGCCGGTGTGTGTATTGACGTCACACCGTATCGTTGTCATTTGTTTTAAAGAGCGCGTGAAATCAGGAGAGTGAGGGAGAGGAAGCCAAGATCTTTGAGGCCGCATCAAGTCAAAGACAAATCTCCGGGCCGATTGAAGATGGAGAAGAAGGATCGTTTAGCCTATTGAAGATGGAAAAGAAGAAGAGATATCTTCGGGCCTCAGATCGAAGATGGAGAAGAAGAAGGATCTCCAAACCTCAGATCGAAGAAGACGAAAGGTCTGAGGCCCATGAAGAAGAAAGCCCTCCTCGGATCAAAAGGAGAAAAGCCAAGAAGTTTTGGTCTCAATAATTTAGAAACAAGAGGCCAGACCAACGAGAGAAAAGATGGGGAAAAGCGAGATCAGTGGCCGCCTGCTTCGAATCCGAAGCCGAATAACATCCCGACCAATTGCGTAGAAAACAATGGGTTAGAGTGATAGCTGAGGTCAAGAATGAGGATAAAGATGAAGCTACGGTTAGAGCTAAGGGTAGCAACTAAGTCTAAATTTTAAGCTAAAGCTAAAGTTAAAAACAAAAATTTAGGTTCAGACTTAAAAGCTGGCTCAATTTGAGGCTCAGGCTACAACTAACTAAGAAATTAGGTTTACGCTTGGGCTTAGACTACGCTTCAGGGTAAAGCATGGCTACGGCTGAAGCTAAAAAGAAAAGGGTAAGCCTAAGCTAAAACTGAAAAATTGTACGGTAAATTTTTAAGCAATATTTTACTATCAACTTCTTGTTTTGTCAATGCAGTCTTTAGTCATCTTTAATGCAAGTCTTTCAAACTTCTGTTCCTCACAACAGTCCAGATCATTAAGACTCAAGTGCGAGTGAAAGAAGAAGCGCCGCACCTGAAGCAGGGATTTGTGTGTGGAGGTGGACTCATAAGAGAGGCCTGAAAATGAACGGTTCGCGAAGCCGGTGGTGCCGCGGCGAGTCTTCTCCCCCCTCCGCACCGCTTATATTGCGTCCCCGGCTCGTGTGTCCCAACGGAAGAAAATCGGTTGCGATTCAGAGCGGTGCACCTGTTCGAGTACACCGCTTCCTCGCCTCTTCTTCTTCGCCTTCGTCTTCCTGCCCTGACCTCAACACTTGGCACCAGCCAACGCCACCGTCACACCACCGAATTTTCACATAGCTTGGTGAGGGGTGGTGGGGCTGAGGGGCTTCTGAAGGCGAGGAAAAACGATTTTTAAGTCTTAGCCTTAGCTCAAGCCTTAGCCGTAGCCTTAATTTTAGCTTTAGCCTTAGCCTTAGCCATAGCCTTAGCCTTAAGCCTAGTCTAAGTCCTAGCTTAAGCCATAGCCTAAAACTTAGTTTAGTTTTAACGTTAGCCATTGCTTTAGGCTTAAACTAAGCCGTAGCCTTAGTATAAGCCTTAGCCTAATCCCTAGCCTACATATTAACTTGTGCCCTAGCCAATGGAAAAGCTTTAGCTCTGGCCCTTGTCTTAGTCTACTAACAATCCCACGCGTATTCTAAGCCTTAACCCTACTTTTACTCTACTTTAAAATTAAATTTTTTTTTAAAAATAAATTTTTTAAAATTTTAAAAATTTTTGAAATTTCGGCTTAATCTCTTAGCCTTCTCTTCAAGTTTTCTACTCCAGAATCCCTCAACCGCACGCCAGAATCCGCACGCTAGAAAATATACACACGACAGAATCCCGTGGGCTTCTCCTCTCCCCTTCTTTTCGCATCAGAATCCGGGCATTAAACATGTAGTGTGATGGAGGGGGGTTGTTTGGTGGGGTTTCCGGCTCTGTCCCGCTTCTCCTCTTCTTCACCTTGATTTTGCACACCGCTTCAGAATCCCGAAGCGCTGTGTGTTTGGGAGGGGTGGCGGGGCGGCGGTGTGGGACTGAAGGCGAGCAAGGGACACCATCGCCTTTTTTTGCCGATAAGGGCGTCTGATTCTGGACTCGGAGACGACTCCTGTCATTCCGATTCTTCCCTCCGCTTTTTTCCGCTCTTCTTGATAAGGGTTCAGCGTTCGGGTTTGTTTGTCTCCTGATCAGATGTCGACGATGCCGGCGCGGTGGGGGTGAATGCACAAACATTGAGTGCCAAGTTTGAAGCGAGGGGGGAGGGGGGTTGCGATGGTCAGCGCTGTTCAAGCAGAAGGCGATCGCATTTTGAGGCAAAAAGCTACATAACAAGAACTAAGGAAGAAGAGGGATGATTTTAACGTTTTACTTTTTTTGTTTTTCCCTTCCTTATTAAACCCCCCCCTCCTGGCACCAAAAAAAATTTTTTTTTTATTTTTTTTCTCTTTCATTTCCTTCACCACTCTAGTACTAAAAAACATTTTTTTTTCATTTTTTCCCCACTGCCCCCCCCCCTCTCTCTCTTATATAATACCAAAAAATTTGATTATTTTAAAAATTTTGTCAAAAAAAATTTTCCAATTTTTTCATTTTTTTCTTTTTAAAAAAAAATAATAAAACCTTCGGAACAGAAGCCTTCTGTTTTCGAAAATCACAAGATGGTCGATTTGTGGAAAAGTTTTTGATCCTGTCACTTGAAGCCCCATCTGTCTGAGCGTCGCATCAAAATCATTTTCGTGCTCTCTTCCATTTCCCCGAGAAGTCGAAACTCTCGATTTGCTGAAGAATTCTAACCACGGCTTTTCAGGTTCGTATTTCGAAAGAGAGTGAGGCTAATGAGGTGTAGCTAAGATATGAAAAAGTAGATTTAGTTTTTGATGATAACATAGAAAGTAAAGATTTCTTGTGATTTGAGGCCTGGTCTCAGCTTTAGCTAGCGCTAGCTTAAAGCTTTGGTCGTAGCCTTAGCTTTAGCCTTAGGTTTAGCTTTAGCCTTAGCCTTAGCCTTAGGGTTAGCCTTAGCCTTAGCTTTAACCTTAGCCTCAGCCTTAGCTTTAGCTTTAGCCTTAGCACTAAAACTATCCTTATCACTAGCACTAGTCTTAGTACTACCCCAAGCCTCAGTTTTACCTCGCCTTTTCCATAGCCTAAATTTTAGCATAATCCCTAGTTTAATCCATAGCCTAATCCTAACTTTTAAAAATAAACTTAGTCTTACAACTAGTTTTAGTCCTAGCTTTAGCTCTAGCCTGTGAAAGAGCCGTAGTCAAGAACTAACCTTAGCCTGAGACAGCTTTTTTATTTGATATTCTCTTAGCTCTAGTCTTAGCTTTAGTCTTAGTCTTAGCCTCAGCCTTTGTCCTTGATCTTCTCCTTATCTGTAGCCCTAGCGCTAGCCTAAATCATATCACTGAATTTAGCATTAGCCTAAAGTTTTGAAAAGTAGAAATCAATTAGTCATCATCTTCTTCTTTAGTTACGCATTCCTTTTTTAATACTAGAGTTGTTATCTTTGCCTCTGTAGCAAGCGTGTAGTCTTTAACAACATTGATTTTTCTAGCTACTTAAGTTGCTTTATAGTCGTAGTTGTTATTTAACATAAGTTGTTGTAGAGACGTTCTCCAACACGTTATTCTAGAGCCTCTTCTCTATATAGCCCCAAAACTCTTGTTGATCCATCCCCTTTCTCGAAAGCCTACGTAATCACTGCTTTTCTTGAATCAACCCGCTTCTTCTTCTTCTCCGAGTCACTTGTTTTTGTGTCCAAAAAATCAGGGGGCCCCAACGAACTTCGGGTGTGGAGGGGACGCCGACGCGCGCTCCACTTTGCCGCACCCCTCAGACCAACACAACGCACTCCGCCCTAGCCTCTTCTCCTTCGTCTTCTTCATCGCAGAGCCGAGAAGGCTTAGATCGCACGAAGCGCAGATTTCGAGCGAGGCCACAGTGTAGAGAGATCTGAGGAGGGCTTGGTGTAGAGATCGGCTTTGCGTCGCGACTAGAAAGCGGCCTAGCGTAGAGATCTGAGGGTCGTAGAGGTTTGTCTTCAATCAATATCCCCTGAACAGAAAACCCTCTCGGCCTGTTGTTCGTGTGATGTCAGGGGTCTTCTGTTTGGGTCGGGTCTATTGGATTCGAGATCGGGCCTTAAATTTCGCAGCCTTAGGGTTTTTTTCTTGATTTGAAGTTGGAGGCTACGTTTTTTGCCTTGGGCTAGATAAACTTTTTTCTGTCTTAACCTTACCTTAGGCTTGCCTTAGCCTTGCCTAAACCTCGCCTTATAGTCTTGTCTTGCGTTTGCCCTAGCCTTGGCATTGTCTTAGCCTTTTCCTAGCCTTAGTCATGGCCTTTCCTTGATTTGGTATTAGTCGTGTTCTTGTTAGAGCCTCGCGTCAGCCTTGTCTTAGCTTTGCCTTGGTTTAGCCTTTGTCTTTACTTGGTCTTGCCTTAGTCTTGGGCTTGTCTTAACCTAGCCTTAACCTTTCCTTGACCTTGCCGTGGCCTTGCCGTGACCTTGCCGTGACCTTGCCTTGGCCTTGCCTTAGCCTAGCCTTAACTTTGCCTTAGCCATGCTTTAACCTTGCCTTCGTCTTTCCAATAGCATTCTTTTTATCCTGAACTAGTCAATCCCAATTTACTTTATCCTCCTCATAGCCCTTGGCCTAGGCGCTGCAGTAAGATAACATCAAGTCAAAAGGTTTTGATAAAATCAGAAGTTTCTGTTACATTTTTCCTTTCAGAATCATAAAAGCTGCCTTTTTTTAATTATTAAACAATTTTCACCTTGTTAACACTCAATTAACGAGATAAAAACCTCGTTAATTGACTGTTAACCCCCTTTAGAAACCTTCAAAACAGAAACCAACGGAAAAGCTTACCAAAGCACCCTCCCTTGATCTCAAACCTCTAACAAGAGCCAAGTCCCTGAATTTGTCGACGTCTTCTTCTTTCCCCGTCTTGCAACTCGCATTACCACGAAGCAAATTGCGAACGCATTTGGCGCGTTTTTGGCTCCGGATTCCGATGGCCCCTTATCGCGCTTGCTGCCACTTTTCATTGCTCTGTTTTTGCGGATTCTCTGTCGATTATGAGCGTCGGTTTGCGAGTCGAGCGTCCAGATGTTGACGACGTTTTGATTTCTTGATTCATTCGCATTCTGTTGACAGAATCAGTCGGCTGTCAGCTAAATTAAGGTTGGTTTAATAGGGTTTTAAAAGTAGCTTTCAATAGGTTTGAAAAGAAGTTAGTTTTAGATAGGTTCTTAAAAGTAAAATAAGTTGAAGAGATTTTTAATATATGTTAAAAACTCTACTTTATGATTAGCCTAGTTTCCATTTCAAAATTTTTGAAATCCACAAAGTTATGAGCTTTTATGTCTAAAAACGTGAAAGTTTATGCATTATCCCTCGCTGTTATGGATTTGACGTGAGCCTTCCTTTCTTGTTGACGAGAACGTTGAATTACCATTGTTTTCGAATGTAATGATATATCTAATTTGAAAATATTGCTGAATAGACTATAATAAGCCTATTTTTACTAACAATCCTGTTTTTATTTCAAAATTCCGTGATTCCACAAATTTATGAGCTTTTATGGATAAAAAACGTGAAATATTATGCATTTGCAGATGTTTTATGGATTCAACGTGATCGCTTCTGAATTTTTTATTTTTATCGTGTGAAACGTCAGAATACGGATTGTTTTCAGCTTGAGCGCGTCATATTTTCTTATTTTTGTCTTCTGATTCAGCGGTTTTGATCTATCCTGTTCAGTTTTTTGCTTAGCATTCCTGAAGCAACATAACTTGTGTAGTCTGTCGCGCGTCTGCGTCTGAATTTTTGTGCGTATATTATGGAATAGAAGCTTCATTTTATTTGTTTGTAGAACTATGTTTTATAATTTTTGGTTTGTTGATGTACTCTTTATTATTTGTTTTATTGATGTTGTAGTAGGTATCCTTGTCGAAATTTAGTTAGAACTTATGTTTTTGTGACGGATTCTGGATGATGTTAGGCTTATTTTGAAGAGAAGATTCTTAATGTTGTTTTTAAAAAAGTTTGGAGCATATTGTTTTGAAATCATGGAGTTATGATCAGTTATATTTTTAGGTACCTAGGTAGTGTAATATTGAGTTTTCTAAAAGCTTCTCAGATTATATTGTAAAAACTTCCTTTGATATGCGAAAGGACATTGTTTTTAATATTTTTGCCAATTTCTTTGTTATAATATTTGATTCGCGCCGAGTTATGAACAATTATATTACACTTGGTAGTGTAACCCAAACTTACGTCAATTTTTAACTCAAAATATTATCTGTTCAATTCCAGATGAATTCTCTAAACGAGCTGAGCCTGTTAGGGCCGCGTAACGGGACTAGCAGCCAAGTATCACCATCGTGGAGTGTTCCTTTGATGAGTAACGAGTTTAACACACCGGTTTGTGTATTCAGATGTTCAGAATGTCCGTTGGTCAAAAACTCATGTGAAGATTTGGAGATTCATATCAAAATTGAGCATTTGAACTGGCTTCCCTTCCAATGCACATTATGTTCGTCGAAAAGGGCTAGTGATAACCAGATGAGAGAGCACGTCTTGTCTCATCATCGTGTTAGTGAATATACCTATACATATGTGGATAATCCGGCGGCCAAGAGGCTTTTACAAAGTAGGTTTTTCTTTCTTTAGTTTGTCTTTACTTTAAGGTTTCTTATCGGTCAATAAGTTTATGGAAAAGGCTTGTTTTAGTGCATTTAAAAGCATTTTTGCCAAAATATCGACTAAAATCAATTGTAATACTTAAAATCTAATAAAAAAGCTAAGAACGTTTTATAACAACATCATTTTTAGACAGTATTGACAGAGCACTATCCGGTGCAATACAACAGATGGTAAATCGTCGTATTCAGGCACTACAACAAAAGAATGGCGGTGTTTTACCATCCACATCCAGTGGTAACGCCGAGCAAAAACGCAAGAATCTCCACGATATCCTTAGCAGAACGTTGTCACACGAAAACGACGGTGAAGACAGGAACTCAAGCAGTAGCTTATCACCAGCTGAAAGCAATGCCAGTGCTACAGCGACAGTTGTCAGCAAAAATAGGTATGAATCTTGTCGATTTTTGAGGATTTTAGGGAATATGGAAGATTTTTTGGAGTTTCTGAAGTTTACCGTATGGTAATGAATGAAAATGTGAACAAAAAGTGAATAATAATAGTTTATTATCTTATGTAACTACTAAAATTAATTTAAGCCTAATAACTAACCTAAATTTATCATTTTCCAGCGCAAACCTCAACGAACATCCCGAAGATCTCATTACAAATGAACAAGAAATCGACTTCAACACTCAACTCACAAACCTCTTCCAAAACAACACTCAAGACTACGACGATGACTGTAGTGACAATGTATCATCATCACTTTTAAAGACATTAGGCCTCAGCACAACCGACAAACAAGAAGAAGACGAAGTTGATCCAGACAAACTGATTCAAAACGTTTCTTCTTTGTTCAATGTCAACTTTGATAACTTTATGAATAACCAGAATAACAAGAAGCCAGCTTTGAACATTCACGGTCGTGTTATTAAACGTAGGCCTGGAAATTCCACTCAATGGTAAGGATAATATAAGGTTTTTGGGTATTATATGTTTTTGGTATGTGGTTGGAATTTTGGTCATAATTTTTGAACTAAATGACGTTTTGGGTTGAATTTTTGTTATAAGCTAGCCAACATATTGTAGTTTATGGAAACAAATATGAAATTATTGCTAAAAAAGAATTTTGTGTTATGAAACTTTTTTGATATTATAGTAGTTAGCTGATGAAAAATGTAACTGTAGGAAGGAAGATTGGTGAAGATGGGTTATTTTATGTTAGTTTGGAAGGAAATTGATTTTAGTTTTTATTTTTAAAATTTCAGAATTTTAGTTTTGATATTGGATAAGTTATGGATATTATACTAGACATCAAATTTATTTTTTTTGCAGATTTATTGGCTTTGTTGTTTTTTTTTTGAGATTTTTGTTAAGAGTGGTATAACATTAGATGTGTTGATGTTTTGTGTTGCAGTAGTGATGTTTTTTGATAACTTTTAAGTATAAAAATCATCTATAATCGACAAAAAAGTGAGCTAAAACCACTAAAAAAGTCATCATTTGTCTCATCACTTCCCCAGTTCAAAATAAAACTGAGTGTTTTAGTTTCAGCGTGAGCAAGAAGCGCGTGCTCGGCGAGTGCACCAAATGCCAGAAACCAGTGACAGCGGGCGCACGCCAAATGCACATGTTCTACCACTTGGGCAAGGACGAGAACACCTACCGCTTCAAGTGCAAGTTCGACGACTGCGACGTGGAACACTACCGCAAGGATCAAATGGAGAACCACATGTCTAAGCAGCACGGCCGTATTGACCACGACATGATGCTCGACCGATCCAACGAGCTTTACGAACGAGTCCAGAAGCTGAGCATGGAGTTGTTGGGCACAGTAGGTAACCACCCAGGCCCAAACGCAGCCCGTGCTCAAGCCGCCTACAACAAAATGCAAGCTGAAAAGGAGGAAACAAGAAAAAGGAAAGCCAATGATGATGAAGATGACAAACCAAACCCATTGGACTTGCTGAGCCAGGTCTATAGTCCAGCCACCAGTGAACGGAGCACCCCCAAAGTGGTTCGACCGGGAAATGAAGAGAATCTGGAGTGCAGATTGTGCCACAAATTTATTGTTAATAGGGTAGGTTTTTAAGGAAGATTGGGGTGGATTTTTTAAATTTTAAAAATTTTGAAAAAAAAATCAATTTTTGAAAATTTTGAATTTTTTTATCTTTGATACTTAAAAATTCTTTTAAATACATTTTATACTAAAAAGGATGATTTTAAATTTGTTTTATACCAAATGAATCATTTTCTAACAAAACTCATACCTAAAATAACATCAACCGTTCCAGACCCGCGGCTTCCACATCCTCTGGCACTTGTGCAACGACCTCGGTATCATCCGCTACTGCTGCAAACTCTGCGACTACAAACACGAACGCCCTCAATCCGTATCGACGCACGGCAAGAAGGAGCACGGCACGGAGGACGTGGTGGAGGACAGTCTGAGCAAGTACGAGGAAGAGGTCAAGTCCATGTCCAAAGCCTGCTTCGGCCTGGAGCAGTTGTTCTCGAAGGAAAGCCGCCGACGCAAGGTGGGTCAGGAGATTAATCTCGAGGAGATAATGAGCCCCGCCACCGCATAAACACACGCTTCTTCGGTTATCGGTTGTTAGTTATGTTACCCCACACCTCCCTGTCACAAGGCCAATTTCCTTTCTTTTCGACTCGGTTTTGAACTGGAGGAGCATTTTTTGAAAATTAAAATGAATTTGGAACGTATTAGGTTGTTCAATAATTTTTGAGTTACTCGTAAAGCAAATTTACGTTGTTAAGTAGCTCAGAATTTTTTGAACAACTTAAAATTTCAATAGAAAATTTGATTTTGATAGTTTGGGTGTTTTTCGAAAATTAAAATGAATTTTGAACGTATTTCATAGAAACTGTGATTTCGAACTGATTTTGGACGTTTTTAATTAAAAATAAGTTTTGACGAACTGCGCCCATGTCTTGGCGTCAAAATTTTGATTTGAATTTTTTGAAGTGAAAAACGGGTTTTGCTGTGAGAAAAATGACACTTGATGAATGATAAGTAATTAGTAACATCTGAAATGTCATTTTTGTTCAAAATTAAGAAAAAAATTTTTTGAAAAATTTAAGTTTTTTGAAATTTGAAAAAAAAATATTTTTGAACTTTCTTGTGTGCGAAATACAAATAATAACAAAGAATAGTTGTTTTACTAACCCAAAACGAAAGGAAATTAGCCTCGGGGACAGTTGGTTCACATTAACAACCGCAACCCGCGCCCTAGGCTTAAAATGCGAAAAGTTCAAAATTTGAAAAGAAAAAGCGGGGAAATTGGTCGAAATAAGAAAACAACATCTCAATATTTATTCTGGTCTGAATACGTTCACAATACACCTCAGTCTTTACATTTCGCTCTCTATTGTCGTATCATGTTACATTACTATAATAAACATCTTGTTTTTAATGTTGTCGCAGTGTAGCTAAGGTCTACAATATCTAGAATTAGGTCTACAATTTGCTTCTTGATGTTGTTACAGTAAAGTACGCTTTCTACTACTGTAAATGTATTCATATGCACTGTAAATCGGCTTCTGCACAGCTTTCTTTGGTTGCCATTGGCTTTATCTTGTGTTATCATTGGCATTTTGTTAAGTTCTCATGTTTAAAACGTATTTTTTTATCTTTTATCACCTTTGGCAGTATTCAGTGTATCATGTGTTACTATTTGTAATACTATACACGGTATATCATGTGTTACAATATGTAAGACAATAGATATTATATAATGTACAGTGGAACTCCTCTATAACGAATATCTTGTATAAAGGACCACTTTTAAATATTTTGCCAGTAGACATGTAAGGGGGGTTTACTATATAGGCCTGGGCCCAAAGCAAAGCATTTTTTAAAAGAGGACGGGCTGACACATGTGGGCCTAAAGCAAGAGCTGACATGTGGACTGGGCCGAACAAATGAGCCCGGCTTAGACGTGAAAATGGGCTTATTAGGCAAGACCCGTGCTGTCCTGGTCCCGATATACCCTTAAGTAGATTTGAAAGAGGATTCACTAGGGCAACGAAAGTTGACATGTAGCCTCCAGGGCCGGAGCTAAGAGTCCTGTCTTAGTCTAGGTCCAGCAACGAAAGATTTGACTTGCGAAAACGAAAGGTTTGACTTTGACAAAATTGAGCCCGGCCTGGTTCTTTATATTTATACTTAACAACACAAAGTACATTAAAAGCCCCTGTATATGTATCACAAAACTCCTTTGTAACGAGTAACTTTTAAAGCCCCCAAGCGATTTGGTGTACAGTAGTTCCATTGTATGTACATTGCTAATACTCTGTAACACGGTATGGCATTATATAGGCATTTTTGGTCAAGACGCATTGTTCTCATATCTCTATACTTTTTGAAAACATTATCAATGAAAAAATGAAAGCACTATCAAAATATTCACATTGAAACCTTTCTACCCAAAACATACTCAATATATGTATTCAGAAAACATATTTTTTCAATACCAGTCATCATATATCACAACATAGTCAGTAATGTAAAGTCAAAACTCGCTCAATTCAAAAGCCATCATCTCTCACGTTCTATCTCTCTTTATTTGTTTCTACGGTCTACAACAACTTCATCTGACCTCAGGCTTTGTTCTTAAAATGCTTTTTTTGTTTTTTTATTTCAAATAAACCTATAATAATATAAACATGGGAGAGTAAAGTTTAATGAATTTTATAGTATATCTTTATAGAATAAGAAGTATCAATAGGGAAGTTTGCTAGTGAGGAATTCTAATAAACTGTGCCAACAGAGACTTTGCTAGGGGGAGCGGAGGAGAGGTGAATGGGGTGGAGGACTGAATTGGGGTGCATCAATCCCCTCTTTTCATCAAAGCCGGTTCAAAAAAATAAGAAAAAAAATTTTTTAGGGAAATGGGTGCACCAGTGGTAGACCAAAAAAAATTTAATTTTTTTAACTTTTAAATTTTTTTTTAATTTAAAAAAATTTTTATTTTTCAAATTTACAGAAATTTAATCCTGTCCAAATATGAATGAGACAAAAATTTTTTTTTGAAAATTTTAAATAAAATTTTTTCAAAAATAAAATTTTGAAAAAAAGACAGTAGCTGGTTCCTTAGAATCTTTTATGGAAGATACCACGCATTCTAAATTGGAAAATATGCTTTATATGCTTAGCAGCTAGAGAAGGGTGGGGTGACGAAAAAAAATTTTTGGATTTTTTTCGAAAAATTCGGGCGCAGGCAGCAGCTAGCAATAGTACCAGTGATCCAAAAAAATATTTTTGGCTTTTATTTGATTAAGACAAAAAGTCTTTTTAATTTACCTTAACATAACCCATTTCACCTACTTTTAGATTCCAAAACAGTCATCAGAAGACAAGTTCGATGACTTGTCCGACATTGCCGCTCCATCCGGCCTTAGTCTCTTCGAAGGTGCCCTAACAACATCAAAGAAGCCTAATACAACCCCAACCACGACAAGTTCATCGACTGGTAAAAAGCGATTGTCAGCGAGGAGATTCGGCGTTCGAAAGGGCACAAAGTCGAAGAAACAACGGCAGGAAATGGTGAAGTTGAGGGAAATCAGCATGATGATTGGAGGAGCCGCCTACTTCAAGAAGAAGAGCACTGAAAGTGTCATTTGTGAGGTAGGGGTTTTTTGAAAATTTAAAGGTTTTAAAATAAATTTTGAGTTTCAAGCTGAACTTTAGGAGATAATTTTATGCTTAGAAATGAGGTTTTAGGCTTAAAAATAAAATTTCAGATTCAAAAATCACGTTTAGGCTAAAATCTGTATTTTAGGCTTAAACATTAAAGTTTATGCTTAAAGATGAATGTTAGGCTTAAAAATGTAATTTTAAGCTTAAAAATGAAATTCTAGGCTTAAAAATAAATTTTAGGCTTAAAAATAAATGTTAGGCTTAGAAATGAGAGTTTAGGACCAGCAATGAAATTTTAGGCTTAAAAATGAAATTTTAAGCTTAAAAATGAAAGTTTAGGATTAAAGATGAATTTTAGACTTAGAAATCAAATTCTAGGCTTAAAAATAAATTTTAGGCTTAAAATGAATGTTAGGTTTAGAAATAAGAATTTAGGACCAGCAATGAAATTTTAGGCTTAAAATTCGTATTTCAGGCTCAAAGATCAATTTGAAATTTAAACATGAAATTTTAGGCTTAGAAGTTAGTTTATGTTTAAAAGTCGAAAAAAAAATCTTTGCTTTTACTTTTTTAAATTTAAAAATTTGTTTTCAGGATTGTGGAAAGCAAGTAGTAACTCGGTTGTCACAACACGCCTACGGTCATATGGAGAACTGTCCCCTCTACCTATGTCCACTATGCGAAATGGGAGATCCATGCCGAGCGATGGTGATCAAGCATTTGAAGGATTTCCACGACTCCACCGCTAATCCAACCGACAATCGCATCAAGCACGCTCAAGACATCAAGATGACCATCAAACGCTGCTTCCCCGACATCTTTGTCGACGCCAAAGTCCCCACCCAAGCCGATCTGGACAAGCTGAAGACTAGTCTAGGTTTGTCTGACCACGACTTGACCGGTGATGGCGAAGAACCACAACAAGAAGAGGAATCGGAGGAAGAAAGGGAAGAACAAGAGGAAGAACAAGATGACGTGGAGAATCAAGATGAAGTAAAAATGGAAGAAGAAGTGTTTGGCGAGATTGAGGGGCCAGATTTATCAAAATATGAAGTGGGGCATGAGGAAGAAGTTGAAGCTGTATAGAGAATGGAAATTGCAAAAAAATTTAAAAATTTGATTTTTCGACTAAAAAAACCTTAAAAATTGATTTTTTGGTCGATTTTAAGGAAAAACTTCAATGTCCAGATAACTTTTCTTGAAGTTTAACATAAAAAACGTATTTAAAAATTATTTCTTACTCTTGTTATAGCTAATTATCTCCTCTAGGCCAGTTTTTATTGTATTAATCATGTTATACTGGGTACTAATCTAATGTTTTTGTGAATAATATCGCTTTATATCAATATATCTTAACGTTTCTTAAAGCTATCTTTGTTTTTAAAAGCCCTTTCTTTAAGCTTATAAAAAATCACCCTTCCCTCTTTTCCTCACGCCTTCCTGTTACCCTCCCCGTCCACTGATATCGTGTATTATTGAAGTTAAAAAAATATTTGTTTCACTATGATAACCTCGGAATAAGTCCAGTTAACATATTTATTATGATCGTATACTACGAGTATTTTCTCACTCTCTTTTTTATATTATTACATCGACCAGCATATATCAGTTTTAATGTCCATAAGTTGTTCTTGTTGAATGTAAATTATTGAATGAAAATAAAGTTAATATAAAAATGTTATTGGTGTATTTTTGATGAAATTAGATGAAAAATATTGTAAAAATCACTATTTTCAGTTAAAAACGCAAGTTGTAGACTGTTGTGGACATGTTTGCTCGTATAAAATAGTGAGCGCAGGCTGCAGTTTTACAAATATTTGGGCGCGTACTGCGAATTTAATATTTCGCAAAATATCTCGCTTTTGTCTACCGATTTTGGTTTTTTGGTAAACCTACACATATTTCTGGGTTTATAATACCAGAAGCTTGTTTATTAGATAGTTCTCTATTACTTTTGTCTATTTCTTGTCTAAAGTTGGTTTGTTATTATCTAAGGATTTGATTCTAGTTCTTTCAAATTGAAGCAAGTTTGATCTGAAACAATGTCGGATGGTGGTATATCAACAGCATTAGCCAAACTTAAGTCTGACAACAACAAGATCTTGGAGAAAACCACCATTCCCGTGGCTTTGACGAATGCTCTGGCCAAGCTGAATGCTGAAATCGCGGAGAAAACTGAGAAAACGGAATCCCAGCCTGAAGCCAAGGAGAAGACGGACTTGGACCTGTTGTTAGAGAAGATAAAGCCAACTAAGTGGGGGAAGAAGCGAACTTTCTCTTCGATTGATATCAGTGCGGACAAATGGTTTTTGACTTTGGATAAGGATGCGTTTCAGAAGTTGGCCGTACCACCAAGTTTGGCTGATGGAATTGGGTTGAAGGAGGAGAAAGTGAGTGTTTTAAATTAGGATTTTATGTTTTTAGTGACCAAAAGGTGTGTTTCTTCTGTTAAAAACAGCTAGAATAAATTTGAAAACATTATTTTTAATTTATAACGGTTTTTATATTATTCATGCTCATCAAACTAGTGCTTTTACCACAATTAATAATACATGCTGGTAAAGCTTTTAGATTGATGTGGAATTGGTGTTTTTAGTTATAAAAATATGTAATCTTGTTTTTAAAAGCAGTTACACACATTTGGGTTTGGCGGTTTTTCAGTTATGATTAATTTTACAGTATCTACTCTTATCAGGTAATGGATGTCAGAAAAATCAACTTCATCTGTCTCTAGCCTTTCTAACGCACCATGTATTTAGGAACTACGTTTGTTAGGATGTGAGATGATACAGTCTGGAGCAATTTTACTACGTCTACCACAAACAGCCGCAGCTACCGGGCAAATCTTATATCAACGTTATTACTACCAAAAGAGTTTTGTAAAGTTCAACTTTATTCACACTGTAATGGCCTGCTTGTTGTTGGCAAGTCGAATAGAGGAAGCTCCACGAAGACCACGTGATGTTATCAATGTTGTTAATAGGTTAAAGCAGTTGTTACAGGACAAAAATAGAGATAGGAAAAGGTATGGCTAATTTTGTTTTTTATTTTGTTTTTAGGTAACTTTTGGAAGGTAATGGGTTGAAATAACGTTTTTAATGGTTTTAGAAGATAGAAAAGGGTCTTTTCTATTATATACATGGAGTTAACGGTCCTGCAATTTCGAAATTATTCAAAATTCTTGAATTTTTCAGGCTTGTTCACATAAAATTGGACAAAAACTATGTAGAACTTAAAAACTGTGTCATAAAAACAGAGCGACGTCTTTTGAATGCCCTCGGTTTTGTAGTGCACGTTCACCATCCTCATAAGATTATCATGTCATACTGTCACATCTTAGGCCTAACGGACAGAAGAGATATATTGATCAAGGCCTGGAATTACATGAATGACGGTCTTCGTACTGACATTTTCCTGCGATACAAAGCCGAGACGATAGCTTGTGCTTGCTTATGGTTAGCAGCGAGAACAGTGGACGATCCGGTTAGGTTACCCAGTGAACCACGACCTTGGTATGAACTATATGATTGTACAAAGGACGAAATTGAGCAGATTTCACTGATTTTGTTAAATTTGTACAATAATCAAAAGGTATGTATTTGATTTTTGGTTGATAATGGAAAACGGGTGCCGTGGAATGCTTAAATATATAAAAGCTTACAATGTCTTTGCAAAAAACCAATGTTAACATCAATTTTTTCAGATCCCCAGCTTCGGCCGACTCTCAGCTCATGTTGAGAAGCTGTACAAAGCCAATAAGAAGCCGGATTCTCAAGACAAACCTCCAACAATCACCGTAAGCGAAGACAAATCGAAAAAGGAAGAGAAACGGGATAGAGACAGATCAAAACGATCTTCATCCCGTTCCAGAAGCGATAGGGATAGGAAAGACAGGAAACGAGGACGGTCAAGAGAAAGATCAAGGAGTCCTAGAAAGGAGAAACGCGATAGAAAAGATAGAGAAAACAGGGATAGCAGAGACAGAAGGAAAGACAGAGATAACACACCACCTTCCAAGGGCTATGGTAAGTTAATTTTCAATAGTTCGGTGATTTTAGGTAGAAATTTGTTGCTAGTTTGATGTTATTATAATCAGAAGAAGTTATTTTAACTTTCACTAGAAATAATAGTTTAGTTTTTGCTGTTTACGTACGAGTTTGATCAAAAACATTGTTTTAGATAAACGAAGGGACCGTCGAGACGACCGTGGTCGTAGACGACGCTCCAAGTCCCCAAGAGATCGACGATGAACTCCAGAGGACTAGGATTGATCTCATAACATCCTTATGTCTAATGTATTTACTAATAAACTTGTTATTTTGAAAGACGTGTGGGTAATATTGAAGTAGAACGAATTTTCAAAATTTTCATAAATACCTTGATAGAGTTAATGAAGTATAAGGCGTAGACGCTGAAACAAAGGTAAATATAAGTAAATTGAAACATAAAGAAGTATAATATTAATCAAAGAAACGTTATTTAACGATTTTGGAACAAAAAAAAAGAAATTAAGGCGTTTTTGATCGTATAAAATGGGAAAAAGAATGTTCGCGCCCAGTTTTGGGTAAAAGTTTTTTCTCAGCTTTTCTTTCTTGATTTTGCGGACAGTATTTTGTCTCATTCTGATGCAAAAATGGATGGATTTTGTAGTATTCTAGTATAAAATTATTATAGTTTATATTTTTAAAATAATCTATACGTTTTACATAAAGTTTTCTCGTGTTTTTTAAACGTTTTACCTACTATAACATCTATTTTTTATTATCTATTCTTTATAGATAAAAAATGGATGAAGACGAAGCCGTTTTGGCTTTGCCAAAAAATTGTCTGGACTCTCATGCCGAGACCAAACGGACTCTTCAGAACTTTTATCAGAATTTGGTAAAGCTGGAGATAACGAATCCTGGAAAGTTTCATAAGGGATCTTACCTTGGAATCAAACGTTCGAAGGATGAGACCGTTCAGAAAGAAATTAGTGAAGCTTCATGTATCGAAACCCTTGGTGAAGACGGGATTTTTGATGATGGAATCCCTTTTTACCATTATAAACGGTCGGCTCTGACTGACGAACAGAAACAGCGGCTGGTTAACAATGGTAAGTGAATTCTTATTGTTGATTTTGTGTTTAGGAGGTGCTAGAGATTCAGATGAGTAATATAAGTTTAAATGTGGGGTTGAGGACATTGCTTTTAAAGTGTTAGAGCTAGTTTTTGTATGTTATAGTAGGTAACGGAGTAGAGGAAACGTTTTTTATTTTACTGGTTTTTCTAGCTCGATATAAGAACTGAATTTACATTTATAAACTAGTATAGATGTTGCTTTAACTTATTTATTAACTAACGCCGAAAAAGAATCTTACGTTTCAGTCTTTGTAAACTTTTATGTTATCCATCCACTTCCAGGTGTGGCTATCAAACGAAATCAATTCGATAGTGCGGAAGATCGGCAGATCAGGAGAAATTGGAAGAGTTATTGTAAACTTACGGGTGCCTTCCATCCTAGTGAAGCTTCTGATATATTTTGTGAAGGCCAGAAACGTGGGCAGCGTGTCTCAAAGGATCCCTACTTCTACGCCTATATGTGCCGAGGTCTAGCCGATAGAACATGTGCACAGATGGTTAGGAGGGCTTATATATTGTTCAACAAAGCTCAAGACAAGGGCGATGGTCGAACATGGACTGCAATGGATGATATTAAGTTACAAGGTGGGTAAACCTTTAAATTTTGAAGATAGGGGTTATTTCTAGGTATACTTGCACGTATAGTATTCAACTTTTGTTTTTAGAACCAAAAATAAAACGTATGCGTTGACAAAAACTTTAAGAGGTTTATAAATTATAATCTATGACAGTTTGAAATTTGAAGTCAATCGGACGATTAACTTTTATGTTATGATCAATTATTGTAGCACCTACTACAATATTAAAAAGGATTACATTTTGCTTATGTTTTAACATTTTCAAAAGCTATACAATGGTATAATTTACAGACTTGGCTAAGAAACACAATCAGCAATGGGAAACTATTGGCAGGAAGATGGGCCGCACCAGGTTCACATGTTATCATAGGTATAAGAAGCTTCAGGAAAAAGATCAGGTTAATGAAGACTCATTGGCAGTCAAAGCTCTCTATTGTAAGTTAAATAACGTTTTCTTACTGTTTCTCTTCATTTGTTATGTCATTTGGTCCTGTTTCGGCTACTTTTCAAAATTCAAAGTTTTCGTGGTGAGATCCGGTTTTTACTCTTATTTTTTATAAATTGTATGACTTTTAATATAAACATGACTAAAACTATGATTTGTAGTACAATTGACCAAGTTTTTCGGATACGATGCACTGTCAGTGGCGCTGAAAGAAAAGCCGGTGATAAAGTCGTATGAAGAGAAAGTCAATTGGAGCGAATTAGCCAAGAAATGCGAATGGACAGAAGACAAGGCTCGTGAATACTGGTAAGAATAAGATTTTGATTACTATTTTGTACTTTTTATGAATATATTTGGTTTTGGGGGCAAATTGAGGAGATACTGAGTTATGCCAAATTTGGCGGGATTTCGAAAATTTAAATGTTTTGATGGTTATAGGATGTTTGATGTCAATATTTTATGAAGTTTGGCTTGTAGTATGTCAAAGAAATGATTTTAGGTAGTTTTTAAGCCTTGTTGCATTATGCCAAGTTTGGCGGAATTTTGAAAATTTGAATTTTTTTGTTATATTTTGTTTATTGACATTGGAAATGATATTTTTAAAATAAATTTCAAAAAAAAATGTTACAGGCATACCTTAAAAAGGGCAATTCGACAATGTTCGGAAGAAACAGCGTCCACAGATCCAATGATTATCAAAAAAGCCCTACCTGAAGATTTACACGCGGCCGTACTGATCAACTTGACCCCACGGGCCAAGTATTGTCGTTCGACCGATGAGTTGGCTAATGCTTTGAAGATATTGCTAAAAACTGAAGAAGAAGCGTTGAAGGAGAAGCTGAAAGTTGTTGGAATGAAGGATTGGTAAGTTGATTGCCGCATACGATGTCTTTAACCTCGAAAAATCAAAATTTTAGGCTTAAAGCTAAAATTTTAGGCTTAAAAATTAAATTTTCAAGCCTAAAAAACATTGACTAAAAGTTGTATTTAAGGCTTAAACTTAGGTTTACGAAGAGCGAAGCGTTGTCAGAATACGATGGGACCAAAAGGAAGTTAATGTGTCGTCAATTGTATGGTATTTTGAATCAATGCGAGACCTATGGATTGTTTGAATGTCTTCCTGTGGAGCATTATAATGCTTTTAGTAGGTTTTTGTAAATTTTTAAATTGACAAGACTTGAAAGGTTGATTATATGCCATTTTTAAAGTGATAACGCTTGCCAATTTGATTTTATGCCATTTCCAATTGGCAAAACCTCAAGAATTAATTTTATGCCACTTTTAAATCGAAAAAATTCGAAAACTCAATTTTATGACATTTTTAAATGAAACAGTATGCTTATTTTATAACAAACTTCCATTTCAGCCCAACTCGATTCGCTTCACTTTATGCTCACGAACAAGAAGAGCGATACCCTATGTTCCGTCAACACCATAAGTCAACTTTTTCTGAAGTACATTGAGGAGAAGAGATGGACCCCAAGGACCAGAGTATTTTTGTGCCACAAGTTAGACAAAGGGTCCGACGATGTTGAAGAATCAGAACCCGATGGTGTTGAAGCTACAGAATCCAACAATGTTAAAGCATCCGAATCTCACGGTGGAGAAGCTGAAGAAGAAGATTCAGAAGCTAATGACCTAGAAGCTTCTGACAAGACGAAGAAACAAAAGCATCAAAAGTCACACGGTAAAGAAGCGCCAGAAGGCAAAGAAGAAGAAGTTTCAGAATCAAAAGATGTAGCAGCTTCAGAAGCCAACGAAGAAGCAGTTACTGAGAAGACGAAGAAGCAGAAGCGTCGTAAGTCTCAGGGCGAAGAAGCTTCGGAATCTCAAGATGCAGAAGTAAGCGAACCTCAAAATGTAGAAGCTTTGGACTCTCACAGTGTAGAAGCTTCTGAGAAAAGGAAGAAGCGGAAGTCTCGGAAATCTCACGGCGAAGAGGCTTCAGAAGTCAACGACGCCGATGTTTTAGAAGAAGTTCCAGAGAAAACGAAGAAGCGAAAACGTAAATCTCACGGTGAAGAAGCTCCAGAAGGCAACGAAGAAGAAGCTTCACAATTGAATGGCGGCGGGGATGCTCCTGAAAAGAAAAAGAAGCAAAAGCGTCGTAAATCTCACGGTGCAGAAGAAGCTTTGGAAGTGAACGAACAAGAAGCTCCTGAGAATAAGAAGAAGAAAAAGCGTCGTCAACCGCAAAATTCACAGTAGATCACGTCTAACTTCTCTGTCATGTCGTTCTTGTTTGTAGTGTTGTTGGCAAGGGCGTGGCTACGGATTCTCTCCGAGCTTCGGCCTTGTGGTTGTTGATCATTGTTATTGTTAAATGGTTTCAAGGCTGATATTGTTATTGTTGTCCTGAGGCTAGCTTTTTGGACGGTTTATTTGTTATCTTGAATTAGTAAAGTTTAATGTTGGATCATGGACTTTGCTACAAATTTTTACATTGCGTTGGATAAGTTTGGCTATAGTGTAACCTTTATTAATTACAAAAATCAAAACAATTGGCCTAAATGAATACAATATCACAATAATTATAACAACATACTCGTTTCGAACAGCATAATGTACATATGTACTTTTAAAAATTAGACAAGCGAAAGTTTAAACCCGTTTTGTTTGAAATTGACTAGACGCTTTCATATCCTACTCATTTGGCAATTACTACCAGGTATCACACTTGTATCATGATTAGGCCTGAAAGGGGACCCATCAGAACTCGAGCCAGCCTTGAAGAAGATTTGGAAGACACTGGGCCGGCACATTGAACTCGATGGCCGGGGCCAGCCTAGGTCCCGCAACGAAAGCATTTTATTAATTTAAACAAGGGACCGGGCCAAAGCAATTTTGGATGGACCCATCCGGCATACGTGGACCAGAAAGCCGGTGCATTAATCAAAACCCCAGGGTCCAGCTTAGGGCCCGCAACGAAAGATCAAATTCCTCCTTTGCAGTTCTAACCATGATCAATATTGTCACCCAGTATTCATACCAAGACTAATATGTTACCACAACATATGTTACCACAGCTCAGTAGTGATATTAGTCCGCCACCTGAGGGCATCTCGTTCGCCGAACCACATTCGCTCATGGAAGAACTGAAGACCGGTCAATAGCTCAATGTCCTTGATTCGAGCCGTGTTGGTCAATAAGTACTGGTCCTGTTCCATGCAGTTTAGGTCCTTTTCGGCATTGGGTAGTACGAATGCTAGTAGTTTGGTTTGGGTAGAGCGGCGACAGTTCTGGCCACTGATGTGCCATTGATTGTTTTCGCAGCGCATCAGGATTCTGAAGACGTGCGTGGGCTTCTGGAGGGTTTCATTGCCTTTTGGAAGGGAATTAACGTAGGTCCTATAAAAGTCATGGTTTATATTAGTCTGTACACAAAATAATAACCATTTCTTGTTTTGTAAAAAAAGTTTTTGCCATTTGCAATCACAATTAATCACCGCCACTTACCAAAACTCATCCTGTGAGTCCGCCAGTCCATCGTAATTGTAGTCATAGGCCACTCCACTGAACGAGACGACTCGGCCAAACTTTTGAGTATAAAACTTGGTGATATTTTGGAGGAAAGCGAACGGTCCTTCGGCAAACTCTTTGTACATCATCGTGTACAGCTTCGAGTACTTGGAAATGGCTGAAAAATCGGATTTCCAAAATTTGTAGAATTCTAATTTTAAGCGTTGTGCAGTGTTAGGTAAGACACAAAATAATAAAATTTTTTTTAAATCAAAAATTTTAAAATTTGTTAAACTTTTTTTTGCTTTGTAAATAAAGTTCTTGCCATTTTTTGCATTGTAAAAAAATTTCTTGCAAGTTATCCCAATACACATTTGTTTTGAAACCCTCCGGACTTTCGTCGTATCATATGTTCCTAAACGAACACTTTTTGCCAATATAATAATAAGCTCAAAAAATGAATTCATTAAATGGATGTTCGTATTTTACATCAAATTAAATTTAAAAAAATCTAATTTTCAATTAAAATTTTAGTCCATTCAGGGACTTCGCTACGGTTTTTCTCCGGGGGAAGGTGGAGACTCAAAAAAATTTTTTTTTTCGTTTTTTTCACGTACAGAAAAAATTTTTTTCGTTTTTTCACGTACTACCTGTGCATTTTTTTCGGATCGGCTCTGGGGGGAGGGGAGTCACCCCGAACCACCCCCCCCCCTCTAAACGGCGTCCCTGAGTCCATTATATAGGGTTTTGCTCAATTTGAGGCTAACTGAAGGCTGCGGATGACAAGTAAGTTATACGAAGGTTAAGCGAATGATTTTTACTTTGTAAAGAAAGTTCTCGCTATTTATTGTGTTGTCAAGAAAGTTGTTGCCACTTTTGCTTTGTAAAGAAAGTTCTAACCATTCTTGGGTGATAAGTAAAGTTCTTACCGTTTTTCTCGTTCGCAGCGATCGATCTCCACTGTAGCTCTGTGTCCAGCTTCATTTTCATGGTTTTTGTCCAATTTCCGCAATCCTTATCGTATCTAACGTCGTTTAAACCACAAATTTCTTTGTTTTTCTTTACTTTCTCATCAAAATCCTGGGCATTCAGCGTTTCAAACACAATTTTCGGGCTTCCAAAGTTGTTGTCGCTATCGATTACAGTCGCTACCGTGCAGTGGTCGATGAAACAAAGGGCTGGGTGTGAGGTGTAGAAGGTGCCGACGTAGCTTGAGGTCTGGACCGGGCAGTTTGAAAATTGTTCGTTGGCTTCTTGAGCTTGGGATTTGCATTCGGTGGAGTTAGAGCAGGCTTTGAGTTCGCGGTGCTCGTGCAGAGGGAGGTTTTGACATTCCCTGGAAAGTTTATAGCATTTTTATTGATTCTATGTTAAATAGAGACATATTATACTCTGAAACATGTCCAACCCGACAAATTAAACCAAAATAAAAAAAGCGTATTTTACTTCAAAAACCTGTAAAAACTCTTACTGTACAGGCCTCAAGGTGTAAGGCATGGTCGTTTTCAATGGTTGAATGTTGTGCAAGACCTCGTCCAACAGACCATCGGTACCATTGTTTGGTACGTCCTTGTTGAGTCGTAGTAGTTCTGTCCACAAGTTGAAATACTCTACGTTTTGGAAGGGTTCTAGTACCGTTTGTGGCCGAATATTTGGGCCGCGGGCAAAGAAGATGGCGTGCATATTCTCTTCGAGGTAATCATAACCATGGTCGCCCACTACCTTGTAGTCCGACTTTCGGTCACTGAAAATGGAAAATTTAGAAAATGTAAAGGGTTATATCAAAAATGATTACTTTATGTCGTATATCTTCATCATTTTAAAAAAAATTTTAAATTAAGCGACATGTTATACGATGAAACATACTTCCCATGTAAACATGTTTGATCGTATAACATGTCACTTTTAAACAAAATACAAAAATAATTAAAAATATGAATTTATAGCTTATTCGTAAGCCTGTAACGTATTTTTAACATTATTAGCATATAAAGCAACATGTTATACGATAAAACATATTTCCCATGTAAACATGTTTGATCGTATAACATGTCCCTCATATCTCAAACTTTAAAAACTATAAAATTTAAAATTCTTACGCCCAAAAGATGCTTCCAGGTCGTCCTTCTAGCAGTACATCACCGACGCGATGTGTTTTGGTGTAATGATACCTGGCTGGGGTCCGTTTCCGATCGTACACATGATAACTTGAGGTGTCATTGCATTCAAACTTGTCCAGCACGTAGTTTACATCGTGTTCTAGAAAATAAAAACAAATGTAAAAATTTTTTAGATACGCAATGAAAACAAACGTATTTTACAAAATGTGACATGTTATAGTAGAATCAAACATGTCCAACATCAATCTCTTCGCAACTCTCAAAACCTACTTGACTCATTCAAATATATTCGTCCAACTACTCCGTTAGCCACGACCATGCCCTTTGTGTCCAGCATTTCGTCCACATAGAAGCGTTTGTCGAGTTTTTGCATGCCATGATCCGATACTATGACAATATTCGTACAGTCCAGTATGCCATTCTTTTTGAACAGAGAGAACATGTAATTAAGAACAGATTCCATGTAGCTCAGCTCCATATTTACAGTACGATCGTCCGTAAACCAATGACCGACGGTGTCGGGCTGATCAAAGTAGGCCATGATGAGGCTGGGCCGCTCTTCGGCCGGCAGCATTAGCCATTCGTTGATGCGTTCGATTCGCTCCGAATAGGTCATACTCTTGTTGTACTTCAGGTCGACAGTTGGCATGTAGCCTGGAATGGCAAAAAACTAATTTTTCAAAATCTTGAAAATTGAGAATTTGGTGGAAGATTTGTAATGTGTTTTGCACTAAAAATCTACCACTCAACTTCCGTTTTTAAAAATCGTCGAAAATTTGTTTTTAGGCCATTTTAAGACACTTTGAAAGTAAAGTTTTCTTCTCATTTTTCGTTTTGTAAAGAAAGTTCTTGCCATTTTGTGTGTTGTAAAGAAAGTTTTTGCCATTCTATGTTTTGAAAAAAAAGTTCTTGCCATTTTTCGCATTGTAAAGAAAGTTATTGCCATGTTTATCGTTGTAAACAAAATCGTTGCCCTTTCACACCCTAAAGCCAAAAATCGTCTCCTATCACCAATATCTACCCTAATATAACCTTAATTTTACCCTACCAGTCATATTGTACGAGCATCCCGGCCAGAATAAGCAGAACATTCGTCGGCGTTGGCGGACGGCGGCGCTCCAGATGGGTTCTCCTTTGTAAAACTCGGGGAATTTGGTGCTTTTCATGTCTTCCTCTTGTGGTGATATGTCTTTGTCATAGACGGCATTGTCCACGATGCCATGAGATTCCGGGTATAGACCCGTAGCCATGGTGTAATGGTTGGGAAAGGTTTTCGTTGGGTATGAAGGGAAAATGTGCTGAAATACAATTTTTTTCTAATTTCTAGGTCCAATATCTAAAAAAAGGTCCGAATCTCCGTATTTTTACACAAAATTTCATCTAAAAATTAAAACTCGGCAAAAAAATTCTTTAAATACCTTTTTATTGTAAAAAATGTTACTTATTAAAAACCGTTTATTTATTGCAAAAATTAAGCTCAAATACGAATTTCTAGGTTGGATACCCGTATTTTACAAAATTTTATTTGAAAATCATCAAAATTTAAAAAAATTTAATTTTCATTAAAAACACTTTTCATCGTATAACATGCCACTTAAGAAAAAATTAGAATTTTTTGCCCACAATACACTTAAAAACTTCAAAAGATCCTTAAAGTTGTATTTAAAAAAATATCTTTGTCTTTCTTAACATAGGACACGTTATAAGATCAAACATTTTTCATCGTATAACATGTCGCTTAATACCCAAAAATTTTGAAAAAAAAGGCTTACTGTTAGAAATAAGCTATAAATTCGTATTTTATAATTATTTTTGCATTTTTAAATTACAAGTGACATGTCATACAACCAAACCTGTATATTGTATAACTTGTTCCTAAATACCCATTTCACCAAAACTTTTTCAAAATAAAAAAAATAATTAAAGATTACTTCATACCTTAGCTCTAGCACCACATTCAGCCATTGTGTCCAAAGATGGCACCAGATTTCGACTCAAATACTTGGCCGCAAATGCGTCCATACTTATGATCAGTAATGGTGGTATTGTTACACTGTAAAGTAAATAATTAAAATGAGTACACTAAAAACAAAACAGAAAGAGAAGCAAACGTACTCAGCCTTGTTGCACTGTATATTACAGCTTGGGTCGTGCCACGCGTGTTGATAAAAGGTTTTGTCCTGTTTTTCGAAAGTTTCCCGAGGATTTTCGTCCAAATTTTCCGAAATTTTCGGTTTTTCAGTCGATTTTCCGTTGACAATCGGTTTTATTGGGTTCCCCAAGTCTTTTGGAGGTTCTGGTGGTAGTAGACCTAAAATATTCAAAATGAAAATATTTAGAAATGGTATTTGTTTTAGCCTTTTTTAGTATTACAGTACTCTCTCTATATAAGCAAACCGAAGAGACCGACATTTTGTGTTTACTATAGGGAATGTTATCTTTACAAGAGAGGCTTTTTGTGCAAATTGGCTTGGCGGGGCCAATCTTCTTATTTACTATAAGGAGAGTTGCTTATACAGATGGTTCACTATATAGAGAGACCACTGTATTATATATTAAAAATGTAACTTTTTTTTATTTTTACTACCTTTATAATTTCAAAATTAACACCAAAAATACTAGATCGTATTTTACAAAAAAACCAATGTAAACAATCCCTACCATACGTCCTAGCCATAGCCAGTTGTTCCGGCGTCAGTCGGTTGACCAGTTCATTCATTGGGGTCGGTTGCCTGTGAGTGCCTTTGGCTTTTGTGAAATCCTCGTATAAGTGCATAAAATTCTCACTGCCAGTCAGCTTGGTAACATTTTGGAACTGACCACCAATCTTTTTCATGTGAAATAACAGCATAAGTGCTACGACTAGTACTGCTAGCGCTATTAGTAATATGAAGCCAAGGATTAGGTATACACAAGTGAAACGTCGTCGTATGTACTCCATTATCGTTTGTGGGGGTTTGGTGGCTGAAAATGAGAAGAATTATTGACTAAAATTTTCAAATTTTAGTTTTTTCCCAAATTTAAAAATCAAATTCGAAAATCTTAAAAAACAAAAAAAATCGAAAAAACTTTGTTTACAGCTCTTAATATATCAAAAATTTTATTTACAGGTCACAAAATATTAGCAACTTTCATTAGAAACCCTAAAAACAACATTTTTTAAAAATGGAAGTTCAGTGGAATTTTTACAATGTAATTTGCACTGAAAATCTACCACTCAACTTCCATTTTTAAAATGTCTTAAAATTGCTTGAAATCACGTTTTAAACCATTCTTAAAAATGAATGTTCAAATACTTCTGTGCCCCTAGCCCCAAAAAGTTGTTTTGAGATCGAGCACAAGATTATTTGAACCACCTAATAATTTGGGTTAGCACTAAACCTAATAGATCAAATAGTCAGTTAAAATTTCAAAAACCACTAAATATTTTGTAATTGTAAACAATAGTTTTTCGAGCTTTAAGAAAATAAAAAGTAAACAAACAATGTCATTGAACCAACTCACGGCCGTCTTCCATCTCGATCCGGCTGTGAACCGTGGAGAGGCGATCCTGGCCCAGCATGGGCTCCTGAAAAACAACAAAGTTTTTGGTAGAAAAAACAACCTGATATTTCATTTAAAAAATCATTTTTAAAAAAGTAATGTCAGTTTAAAGGTTAATATACAGTGAAACTCCTGTATAAAAAACTCCGTTATAACGAAAATCATAGTAACATTGACAAAATAAACGCTCCGCACTATTATCACACAAATAAACCTTTTTCTATATAAAATTACAAGAACTTTCTTTACAAAGCAAAAAATTGCAAGAACTTTTTTTACAGCAGAAGAAATGGCAAGAAAGTTCCTTACAAAGCAAAAAATAACAGAAAATTTCTTCACAAAGCAGCAAATAGTAAGAACTTTCCTTACAAAACATCAAACAGTAAAAACTTTCTTTACAAAACAAAAAAATGGCAAGAACTTTTTTTACAGCAGAAGAAATGGCAAGAAATTTCCTTACAAAGCAAAAAATAACAGAAAATTTCTTCACAAAGTCCAGTATAGAACCGTCTCAATCGAAATCAGTTAGTACACTTACTGGGTTTGGCTGAACTCTTTGCGCCCATGATCCAGAAGACATATTACACTAATTAACTGTACTTTCTAATAAATAGCTTAGCTTATTCCAATATTAAGTTATCATCAACTGTTTCACAATATATTTTACCTGTCAGTAATAATTTAAACTTATTTTAGTTACAAAATACCACTATGCGTCTAGAAAAAGCCTTTTTTCACTTTAATATTCTATAACAATATAAAAAAAGATCCGAGAGTTTAAGCAGGTTTCTGTTCTAGGCTTTTAATATTCGTACAGCGGTTTTCGGGCTTTTCTTCTGCTTTTTCAACTTGTAAGTTAAAACAGAAAGTCGTAGCGAAGGCAACGCAGCCAAGAATCTACTATAACATAAAGCATGAGCTGGGTTGACCTAGATATTATTAATTTTATGAGTTTAAACTATTGAAATTAAGCTTTCTGGGCTTCGGAAAGTATTAGAATTTATTGTACGATACATTGATAACTTCATCAATGCATCGTACAATAAAGTCTAATGACCTTTGAAGCACAGAAAGCTTAAATTCAATACTTTAAGCTTATAAATTACTAATGTCTAGGTAAACCCAGCTCCTGCTTTATGTTATAGTAGATTGGTAGCCACGTTGCCCCTTTGCTACGACCTTCTGTTTCAATTTACAAGTTGAAAATGACAAAGAAAGCCTGAAAACGGCCATGGAAATATATTTTTATGTACTTAGAGGCTCGACCTTGGTCAAAAAGTTCATAAAAATACTTTTTATTTGTAAAACTATGAGCAACATTTGTCAAAAAGATCACAGAAACATTTGATTAGGTAACAACGCACAAAATTACAATTATTTTGGTAATATTCTCGACGACATCATCTGCCCACTAACATCAAAAAACCTACCCTAACACAGCCCTAGCTCTAGCCTACACCAGCTTTAGCTTTACCCAGGTCCAATCCTAGCTTTACCTAAGTCTAGACCTACTTTTACCCCAATTTAGTCCTAGCTCTATCCTAGTCCAGCCCTATCTTTACCATAATCTAGGCCTAGCTTTATCCTAGCCTTACTCTAACCAACCCTACCATACCTTACCATACACTGGATTTACCTTGCCCTCCTTCTATATATACTCTTAAATACCATGCTTTACTGTAAATCAAAAACATCACCACCTAAAGCTATATGCCTCAAATTGCCCTGCTTTTCAATTCAAAAAACATTTTTTTTTTAATTTTAAAAATTCTCACGTGATTCAATTAAAATCTTTCAAATTGACGTAAAAAATTAAAATTGGAAGCGATAAAAGACAAGATTTGGCCCGTAGGCTGAACACACAAAAATACAATATTAAAAAATCCATTTCCTTTGGCCATATCACGCAAATTGAACAGACATTTGGTCTTGTTTTGTGTTTTGTAAACTTTTTGAACCTACTAATTACAAACTATTAAGTTTAAAATCAAAATTATAGTTTCCTATCCATTTTAATCGTGAGTTTCAAAACTCAAACCTCTAAAACCCCCCGACACTTAACCCAAGCCCCTTTAAGCCTATTGTTCACAAAACCGCATGAAGATGCCAAAACTTTTTCCCGTAAACGCATCAAAATCATCCTCACAATCTTTTTGCGTCTTCCGTAAAAGAAGAAACCAGAAGCGAGATCGGCTTTCTCATCGATTTTAATGGAAACTTGACAAAAATAAAAACTCTTGAGCTGATGAGAATTAGCTGATTTAACTGGTTAAAAGAGTTAAAGTAGTTAGCTACTAGGCCCGGCCCGACCGAGGCTAGGCCAAAGCAACTTTGAAAGAAGACGGCAAATGTGGGACTGAAGGCCGGGGCCCAAACTAAAGCACAGAAGGCCAAACTAAAGCCCCAGAGTCCCAAACTAAAATCTTAAAGGCCCAGCTTAAGTCCCGCAACAACAGAGCCCTGTAGGACCGGCCTTGAGCTAAAGTTGAAACGAGCCGGACCTAAAGATAGCAATCCAGATGAAAAGAACTGGCTAGTACAAAAGCCCAAATAACAATAAAGCTCAAAACATGACTACCAACAACTGCTAAAGCCAAATACAGTAAAAGTCCTTTGTAATGAACTCCTTTATAACAAAAAGCACGGTACACTAAAAGCGCGAGAAAACAAAATTCAAATTCCGGACTCCCGCATTTGGTCCGGTCCGGGAAGAACTCTGGCCAAGACCAAAATCATGTCCCGGCCCGGCCCCTTTACAAACATATACTAAATTCAAGCCTTCCAAATTCCAAAGAAACCCTTAAACCCCCATAAGTTATCCATGACTAACCCCGAATCAGTTTCGCTTTGAAGCCCAGTAACCTGGGATACAAATCAAATCACGCGATCACACCTCAAAGTTATCCCCATAGGTTTCCTTTTTCCGCCATTTTTTGTTTTCCACCAAAAATTTACTTTTTTTTCGTCGATAGAATCCGCGCGAAGAAGGAACGAGCTCGCCAACCGTCCCGACTCGGATATTCCCCCCCCACCTCGCTAGCTTCGAGAAATTTTTGGAATACACAACGTGATTCCGATGAGTTTCGAACGAGTAAATAGGAATTTGTTACAGGAATGACAATAAGTGAAGTAGGTAGGTTTTTGTTACAAAATTTTTTGTTAAACATGCTAAAATCGGTATTTGTTATAAAAATTTTGAGAAAGGAATGACTCAAAGCTCGAGGCTTACAATGACAGTAGACTGTCATCATGAGTGGTCTCTGAGGGTAGTTGTACGCCTAAAAGCCTCAGCCCGGTCCAGGCCGAATTGAAGGTGGAAAGCTATCACATGTAGGCCTAAGGGCAATAGCCCAAACCAAAGCCCCCAGGACCCAGCTTACCCTTGCTTCTGACCAAGACATTCAAGAGAACCAGGCAAAAAAATTGACCCAGAACAAAGTATCTAGTAAGCTTTGTAAAGTACAAGAACAACAAAGAACTACAAAATCAAATCCATAATTCTAACGTGAAGTTCGGATGATAAAATGTGCTTGATTTCCAATTTTTTATTCTCTATTTAAGGGTTTCGACAACAACCATTTCAACGACAAATTTATGTAAATCCGTTACAATCCAAACTGAATTGACAACATATTCTGTATACAAACATAAAAACTGTCTCAATAAAAAAAATGCGGGTGAATAGCCTTTAAATTGAATCCCAAAAAAATATAAAGCTATCCCTAACAAACCAAAATTTCACATTTTCTCTCTCCTCCCATCCCTCTATGGTCATGCTATATGAAAATTCAACATCACAGAGGCCTAATTAGGTTAATAGTAATATAAAGATCACGTAAAATGCCAAGTCCAACTAAAAATACCATAGTAAATCTCAAAGTTCATTGCAAACGAAAATGTGATCCTGAACCCCTCAAACCTTAAGATCATTTTCTCAAAACTAGACCTAAAAAAAAGCCCACGAAGCTCAGCTCATAGCAAATATTAAAGAGATCAGGTCGTTACATGGCTCAAATAAGGCTCGATTCTTGTGCCGGGCCAAAAAATTATGCCCAATCCGGTCCATTTACAGATCTAATTCCACCGTTTCAGCCTGTATTCACGATACGGTACTCGAAACACACTTGCAAATTTGTAAGGCCCAGGCCGGCACACGTAAGCCCATTACCGAATAGAAAAGTGTCCCAGCCTTTAAAGGTACACTCAAACCCCAAAAAACCAAAAAATAGTGAGAATAGAAAAAGAAAACAATCACAAACTAAGTTAACATTCCACAATTCAGCTCGCTAAATAAATTTCACAGATCAATAGACAACTGGTAATAAAAGTTGGGGATGCAGAAACCCTTCTTAACTATTTCCGATCCCATTAACTGCAATAACTTTTTCACACCGCCGCGTTTTTTGTCGATTAGGTCATAGTGGAATTGTAATTTTTAAATTTTATTGAGGAGAGATAGGGCAGGGGGAGGGATTCACAGTCGGAAAAATGGCAAAAACTTTGTTTGCAAGACAAAAAATAGCAAGAAATTTCTTTACAGAGCAGTAAATGGCAAGAACTTTCTTTATAGCGCAAAAATGGCAAAAACTTTCTTTTCAAAACAAAATACGGCAAGAGCTTTCTTAACAAAACAAAAAATGGCAAAAACTTTCTTGACAAAACAAAAAATAGCAAAAATTTTCTTTACACATCGTAAAATCGCAAGAAGTTTCGTTACAAAGCCTAAAATCTCGATTTCCGACTTAAAAAAACCAAAAAGTGACAAATTTTTCTTTAACTTACATCAGTTTCCGAGAAGGATAACATAGTAAAACAACAGCGAACTAAAAGATCAACAAATCGCCAACGAATTTTTGAAAAACGTTCTTTTTGCCTTTGCAAAAAACCGCTCATTCTTGTTTTTTCGGTAACAAAAACAGACTGAGCTGTTTCTCACTTTTTTATTTTTGAAAGAAAATACTTGCCATTTTTTGTTTTGTAAAGAAAGTTCTTGCCATTTTGTGTTTTGTAAAGAAAATTCTTGCCATTTTTTATTTTGTTAAGAAAGTTCTTGCTATTTTTAGTATATTTTTTATAAATCTTGACCCTGCAAGCATTAATTCCTTTTTTTGCAGCAAAAATATACCAAGAAGCGAGAAACGAAAATAGCTGTAACTTTAGTCTACCTTAACATTTTCGAATGTTTTTTCTTTAATATACGTGAAATTTACTCTTATGTCCATATACATAACACTAAAAATGCCACTCATAACCATATTTTAGAAAAACGTTCTTTTCACACCAACTTCCTCATTTTACATCCACTTCTTCGCGAACTTTCATCAATATTACCTAAACTTCAAAAACAGAAAAAAGCATACCATCTCCAACGTGTCGTCCATGTCTTCGTCAAGCTGTTGATATTGCCGGCCCTTGGAATATCCACCCGTCTTGCGCATTCTGAGCCACAATCGGTTATCAATCGCCCCGCAACATGACCTCTTCCTCAATATTGCGCTGAAATGTAAATATTAGTCAAGTCTAATACGAGGAAACCAATGGGACGTGGAGAAAAACGATTTCTCCCGGTTCTCGCAAAGAATTATCATGTTCAACATGTTGTCACACACAAAACGATTGGATTTTTGGACAAAAAACAGTGAAGAAATGGGATTTTTGAAGGGAAAAACACGTATAACAAAATAAAAAAGACAATATTTGAGGTTTTTAAGTAATATAAAATTTGGAACAATGTAAAAAAGGTTTAAAAAGATCAAAAACAACATAGTTGTTAGACATTCAAAAGCGTTTTGCACTGGAAATTCCACTGGAAAGGACAAAAAACAAAAAGAGAGGAAAATGAGGGAACGCACACTGCGGCCGTGGTGTTTTATACGATGGAATGTGTCCGCATTAATAAAATTTGAAAAAAATTAAAAATATGTTAGGTTAAAGTTTTGAAATGTCACATACACCATTTATTTTAACTTTTGTTTTTTTAAAGTTAAAAAAATTAATTTTGAACATTTGGTATATGTCATATTTAACTCGATGTAAAATTGTGACAAGTGGTCCGATGGAATTGAAATTTTGTGCACAGCATATTTATACTATAGCAAATAAGTGTGCAAAAACTCATTCTTATGTTTGCACTTTTATAAATTCATGTTTGAATTTGGCGCCACTTTTTCAAATTCTATACTGTACGTTTCTTGAATGACAAACCTTTTTCGAACTTTTTCAAAAATATGCCCAAAAGCTCAAAATTTACTATTTTATAAAAAAATCAATCAAACAGCTATCTTGGAAATTTTAATTTTAATAAAAAATGGCGGCATGAGCCAAACCCTCCCAAAATTTCTTAAAAACCTCTAAAAATTGCTCGAAATTGCCATTTTTAGCTAACCAAAAATAAAAATTTTGACAAATTTGTTTTTCATTTAATTTACGAGCCTTTCGCCTCCTCTTCCGGCAGTAGTTTTGTTTTAACGCTTCGAAATTTGCGAATTTATTGGCACTTGAACAGACTGGAACAAGTGGCCATTTTAATCACAAACTTAACGTCGTTTCCGAATCGAACACTACTTTATTATCTTTTTTTTGAAATGATTTTGTTCAACATTTTTATTTATTTTTTGAAAACCATGGTTGTTTTTGAGTTGGAAGGAAAGTTGTGGATGTTTGTAAAGGTAGAAGTGGGGTGGAAGATTTTCAGTACAAATTACATTACAAATCTTCCACTGAACTTTCATTTTTAAAAATAGTCAACCAAGTGTTTTTAGGTCATTTTAACACATTTTGGAATTAAAAGTTTAGTGGAAAATTTTTAATGCAAATTACATTACAAATCTTCCACTGAACTTCCACTTTAAAAATACGCTATTTTTAGGCTTTGTAAAGACATTTTTTGTTATTTTTTGTTTTGTGAAAAAAGTTATTGCTATTTTTTCAAATTTGGCTCGTTTTAGTAATTTGCAGGCCGCGGATGACATGTTATACGCTGGATATTTAACTTGCGTCATTTTTTGTTTTGGAAAGAAAGTTCTTGCAATTTTTTGTTTTGTAAAGAAAGTTCTTGCTATTTTTTGTTTTGTAAGCAAATTTTTTGCAACAAGTAATACTTCTTTTTAGTTTTTCTAAATTTGTAAATCTAGACATTATTTACTGTCATTGAAGATGTCATGTCATTCATTTCACAAATCTTTATTCTTGTTTTTTGAAAATTATTTGTGACAACTCTATATCAATATACATTTCTCTTTATATAATTTGCGGCTTTTTTGAAGTTTTTATTGTTTTCTAGGAGGGTTGTAAGAAATTTTTTGCAGTTTTCTATTTATAATTTTTTTATTTTTAAGCCTAACATTAACTTCTAAGCACAAACTTTTATTTTTAAGCTAAAATTTAATTTTAAAGTCTAAACTTTATTTCTAGCCCAAAAGTTTATTTTTAAGCCTAAAATTCATTTCTAAGCCTAAAATTTTATTTCTAGCCCTAAAATTTATTTTTAAGCCTAAAATTCATTTCTAAGCCTAAAATTTTATTTCTAGCCCTAAAATTTATTTTTAAGCCTAAAATTCATTTCTCAGTCTAAAATTTTATTTTTAAGCCTAAGATATTATTTTTAAGCTTAAATTTCATTTGTAAGCCTAAAATTGCATTCTTAAGCCTAAAATTTCATTTTTAAACTTAAAATTCATTTCTAAGCCTATAATTCATTTTCAAGCTTAAAATTTTGTTTTGTATGTCTAAAACCTCATTTTTGAGCCTAAGGTGGTATTTGCATAAAATCTGATGCATCTGTATACGATGACGAAGCCGTCATGAGATTAAAGGCCAACGAAGTGACAAAGTAAATATTCAGATGCCAACATTAATCAAACAGCGTCTTGCTTCCTCCAGCTTTTAACTCAATTTTGAGCTGCAGGTTCAAGAGTAACCGGAAATAGATCATATAGTAAGTTCTTGGAAGTTTTCACTCATCATCACTATGCTAATTTTAGAAAATGTTAGCCCAGAGCGCTAGCCCATAGCCCTAGCTTAGAAACCTAGCCCAGAGCCCTGGCCCAGAGCCCTAGCTCAGAGACCTAGCCCAGAGCCCTAGAACATAGCCTTAAACCCTAGCCCAAAGTTCTAGCCACGAGTTCTAGTTCAGAGTCCTAACCTAAAACCTTAGCATAGAGCCCTAGCCCAGAGCCCTAGCCCAGAGCCCTAGCCCAGAGCCCTAATCCAGAACCCTAGCTCAGAACCCTAGCCCAGTGCCCTAGCCCAGAGCCCTAGCCAGGTCCTGCCCGTTTTCTAGTCTATGCTCAAAGCCGAATCTTTAGCCTTACAGAGTCTTTATGTCTTACTGTATACTGTATATACTTATATTGTTTTGGATTTAAGCCTTAAGGCTAGAGTTAAACCTAGTATTAAAGCAAGGACTATCAATTTTAAAGAATGCTTCTTTGCATTTTATTTATTTTTGCACCACAACTTGTGCAAACATATCGTATATTCGGTTAACGTGTCAACAGCTTGTGTTTACGTGGTGGGGCTCGCTCATCCGCGTAACATTGGCCATTCGAAATTAATCTCGCTTCTGACCACTACTTCTACTTTACTATAACAGCTACTTCACTCTTCTCGAGGGTCTATCTCTCTCTCGCAAAGTTCTGTCCATCTTAATCCGTATAGTATAATATGTGGGAACGATATTATCTTAAAGCGAATTACGTATTATCTGTATAGTCGTAGCTTTGTTTTTCGAGTGGCAAATGATGGTCTGGAAAAGAAGTAATTGCAAAGGGGGGGGGAGGGGTTAGAACAAGGTAGGGCAGGGTAGACGTAGGTAAGGCAGGGTAGGAGAAGGTAAGTAGGGTAGGGTAGGGTAGCTAAATATAAATTTTGCACTATTTGGGGGTGGATAATTTTGAACTGTCTGGAGTCGTAAAGTCGAACAAAAAACATGATTTGATAGTAATTATGCACAGTAGGGGAACGTTCGTATAGCCACATATGGCCATTGTTATCAAAAGCCTTATTTATAAAAGCGTTCCGTGACGTTGGTACTATGCTGTGAAAGCTTTATATTGTTATAGGTTTATATTTGCCTAATTTGGTTGAATATGAACATTTTTTTACTGTAAACTAAGTTTTTGACATTTTTATGTTGAAAGACATATTTTTCAAAATTTTGTAAAATGAAAGTTATGTGGAAGATTTTCAGTGCAAAATACATTACAAATCTTCCACTAAACTTCCACTATTAAAAGAGGCCATTTTTAGAGTTGTAAAGAAAGTTTTTGCTGTTTTCAGCACAGTAAAGAAAATTTTGTTATTTTTTCCAAATTTAGCTTTGTTTTGGCGTTTTCCGGGCTGCGGGTGATAAGTTATACGCTGGGTATTTATAATAAACAACTTGCGCCATTTGTGGTTTTGCAAAGAAAGTTCTTGCCATTTTTTGTTTTGTAAAGAAAGTTCCTTCTTGTTTGTTTTTGTTATAAAGATTTTGTCTTAAAATGACAAAAGTGGCACTTAAGCCTTCAGGATAACAAAACATGTTGCTTCACCACATAAATAAAGTCTGGGGCTTGGTAGTAGCCCCTCCGGCATCAAATTAAACGAATTGTTTGAAGAAGTGTGGGTTTGAATGTGTAAAATTGACGCCATCACTCTTCCTTGGAATCCCCGTTTAATGTTTCTAATTGAAATTTTAGCATTTCCTTCGCATTAATTAAGTTTACAGCTTTAGTGAGATATTCGTGTAGAATGTAGAGGACATTGTGTAGTCTAAGCGGTGTTTGGTGTGATCTAGAAAAGTGCTTTAGATACATAGAGCATCCGCTTTAGCTCTTAGTATGAGAATGAGCACGAGTATTAGCATGAGCCTGCGCATGAGCATGAGCACGAGTATTAGCATGAGCCTGCGCATGAGCATGAGCATGAGCATGAACATGAGCATGAGCATGAGCATGAGCATGAGCATGAGCATGAGCATGAGCATGAGCATGAGCATGAGCATGAGCATGAGCATGAGCATGAGCATGAGCATGAGCATGAGCATGAGCCTGAGCCTAAGCCTTAGTCTGAGCCTGAGCTTAAACCCGCCATAGCCATAGCTATAGCCATAGCCTTATACTTACACTTTGATATAAACTTATACATATGTAGGCTTTACCTAATTTCAGTTGTAGTCTTGGGCGTAGGGATAGGCTTAGCTTTAGCTTTGACTTTAGCATTATTTTAAAGTTAAGGTAGAAAGATAATACGAGCGTACTGTGCGGAGGGGTAGTGCTAAAGGAGAGGTAAGGTTTGAAAGTTTAGAAGGGCGAGAAAAATAGGAAAAAAGTTGGCGACAGTACAAAACTTTTTTTTGGGTTGATGTTGGAAGTGACAGGCGATATGCAGGGCCGGGCGCGAGGGGGGGGACGGGGGGGGTACCGATTTTTTTGGACCCCTGCCCCCAGACCAAAAGTCCCCGCCCGGCCCTGACGATATGCCTTGCTGAACTGCGTTTCAGCAAGGCATATCTTGTTTTTTTTATTAACAATTCGTAAACAAAGTTATTGCAATATGCCTTTCAAAAGTGTGATTAGACCTTTGAAAGTCATTTTTCAAAAAAAATGACAAACATATGGAAAATTTTTTTAAAAATTAAGCATAAATTTGTTTTCTTACTTTTGTTTGATAAAGTATCGTTTTTTTATTTCTTAAAGTTAAGAGGCTTGGCTAGAGCTAAGGATAGAACCAGGGTTAAGGGTAGAGCGAGAACTACAGATAAGACTAAAGCTCTGGGCCAAGGCTCTGAGTTAGGGCTTTGGGCAAAAGCTCTGGACTAGGGCTCTGAGTTAGGGCTTTGGGCAAAAGCTCTGGACTAGGGCTCTGAGTTAGGGCTTTGGGCAAGGGCTCTGGACTAGGGCTCTGGACAAGGGCTCTGAGCTAAGGATCTGGGTTAGGGCTCAGGGCTAAGGCTTTGGGCTAAGGCTCTGAGCTAAGGATCTGGGCTAGGGCTCTGGGCTAGAGCTTTGGGCTAGGGCTCTGGGCTAGGGCTCTGGGCTAGGGCTAAGGGTAGGGCATGTTTTTGCATTTTTTAATCTTTTTACATCTTGTTTTTGCCAATTTAAACTTAAAACAATGCTTCAAAAAGCCCTTTTCTAGCAACATTCCTGAAGCGTATAGTAATTTATAAAAAGTGAGTTACTTTCCTCGTTCTCGCTTGACCAGTACTCAAAGTTTTTTCTTTTTGAAACTTTTCGAACGGAAGTTTCGTTTGACGTTCCTCGAGAGTCTCGAGAACGCTTTTTATAGTTTCTCAAACACTTCAGAATCCGCTATTGTTGTAGCTTCACGATGCTGATGAGGGCTTTAACTGTGTTTGAAAAGTAATGTCATTTTTAGCATGTAGCTACATGTAGCTGTCTTATAATGTCATTTTTAGTACGTAGCTGGAATTGTAATGTCATTTTAAGCATCTAGCTCGATTGTTTAAGAAATAATGTCATTTTGAAGAATTTTGACATGTTGTTGATAGAGTAAGTTCCTTTTAGGATGTATTTTGACTCTGTGGTACATAATGTACTGTAAAGGATGTCAAAATGGAGATGACATTTCTCTTTTTTTTTGATGATAAGTTGTAAAAACCAAAGGTTAAAAGTTGTGTAAAAAAAGTCCTTGCTATTTTTTGTTTTGTAAAGAAAGTTCTTGCTATTTTTAGTTTTGTAAAAAAAGTTTTTGCCATTTTTTGTTTTGTAAAGAAAGTTCTTGCCATTTCTTTTTTCGTAAGAGGGGCATTCCATTTTTACCTTGTATATACTTCCTTATGTTTGTTTACTGAAGTCACAGATTAGTATAAGATGTTCAGTGCAAATTTCATTATGAATATACCACTCTACTTCCATTCTTTGAAAATGTCACATTTTTGGAAGTCAGCTGAAATTTTGTCTTTTTACTGTTTTTGTTTACCCTACCCTACCCTACCCTGCCTTGCCTTAACTTGCCCTAGCTTGCCCTAACTTACCCTACCCTACTCTATCCTACTCTATCCTCGCCCTGCCCTAGCTTACCCCGCTCTTCCCTGTCTTACTGTAATTTGCCTTGCCCTGCCTTACCTTTCTTTTCTGTGTCCCGCTCTTCTTTGCCCTGCTTTACTCTTCCTTTCTCTACCCTAATGTACCTTGCTCTACTGTATTTTTCCGCACAGTATCTTACTGTACCCTACCCTAAATTTATCCACCCCATTTCTGCATCCTTCACTTCCTTCTATTCTAACACTTTTATCCTTATACAACACCCACCCTTCCCCCTCCTTATCCTTTCTCGTATTATGTTGCTAGGTTTGAATTGCAAAGTAATTTTGTATTCGAGACTAATTTGAATAATGCATATTTCCACTTTGTTAGTATTAAAAACCAAAAAATTTTTTTTGAATGCATTTTTTGAATAACATGGTGATGTTATTATTATACAAAAGTTCAAAAGAAGTCGGAATAATAAAGGAAAACTCGTACTTGGGCTTCAGTCATGGGTAATATAAGGGGCTCGAGGTAGAAGAGGTTACAGGAGGAGGAGAGTAAGAAAAAGGAGTAGGAAGGTGGATTTCTGAACTTTAAGGCAGAAGGTTTTACATTTTGAATCGGTTTGTCATTTTTGAGGGCTTTTTGTTATTTTTTTGGGTTTTGGGCGATTTTCATTGTTTATTGGTCGTTGATTATATTTTTTTTAATTGAAAGTTTTTTATTACGAAAAAATTTTTTTAAATGTGTTTTTGTTCTTTTTGGCAGTTCAGCCTTTGAATAGGCTTTTGGCGCTTTGCGAACCGCGGGTGACAAGTTATACGATGGTTATGAAAACTTTAAATACATATGTACTGCTTCTCATTTTGAAATAGGATTTAAAATAACAAGAACTTTCTTTAAAAACAAAAAGGTTAAAAATTTTCTTTGCAAAGCAAAGAAAACGGCAAAAAGTTTCTTTACAATTTTAAATTATTAATCTAGAATAAGGCTTATAGTATGGCTGAGGCTGAAGCTCAGGCTTAGAGTCACTCTCAGGCTTTTAAGATCAACCTCAAGATCAAACTCAAGCTCATTTTATGCTCATTCTCAAGCTTATATCATGCTCGGGCTCAGGCTAAGATTCAGGCTCAGGCTCAGTCTCAGGCTAAGACTCAGGTTCAGGCTCAGGCTCAGGCTCAGGCTCAGGCTAAGACTCAGGCTCAGGCTCAGTCTCAGGCTAAGCCTCAGGCTCAGGCTTAGGCTTAGGCTCAGGCTCAAACTCGGGCTTAAGCTCAGGCTCAAGCTCAAGCTCAAACTCAAGTTTAGGTTAACCTCTGGCTGATGCTATCATCAAAAAGCTCAAAAATGAGAATTTCTGCTTTTCGAGCTGTAATTCTAACCTCGAAAAGCGAGTAAACGTTACCATTTGAACCCAAAGAAAACCAAAAAGTTGGGAGGAAATTAAATGTCATGGGAAAGATTGTAAAAGCTTTCCCCTCCAATGTTGTTATTGTTTCATGCTTCAAAGTACGGTAGGCGGAGTCGAAGACCCTTTAATGGGTCCAATTTTTTGTTTTTTTTGCCAAATTCTCTTTGGGTCAGTAAGTTTTCTTCTCGGGTCACGTATAAGGATATTTGAACTTGGTGTGGTATTATGTTATATTTGTTTGTATTTTTGCCAATATTGATTTTTTACTATTTTTATGTCAATGCGTATAGATTTAGAATGTTTTTTCGTAGTTTTAGATCTAATGAAAACATAAAGTAAAGAAGCCTAGGCTTAGTAAGTCTATAATTCAGCTTAGAAAGCACGGGATTTAAATTTTTCAAATTATTTAATGTCTAGTAAGTTCAAGCGTATTCTTATGCTTAGATTACCAAGCAAAGCTCCAGACCCGACGTAAGAGGCTAAAACTAATGTAAGGTTCAGGCTAGGGCACAAGCTTATGCTCAAGATTAGGCTTTAGCTACTACTATATCGTGAGGAAAACTTTTGTCATTTTATAATTTGTAAAGAAAGTTCTTGCCATTTTATGATTTGTAAAGAAGGTTTTTACCATTTTATGATTTGTAAAGAAAATTCTTGCCATTTTTTGTTTTGTAAAGAAAGTTTTTGCTATTTTTGTGAAACTCAACGTTTTTTTGCTTTTATCAGGTTGTTCAACTAATTTTGTGCCCCCTAACTTTAAAAATTTGTTTTGAAAAGGAGCACATAACTATTTGAACAACTTGCTAAGAGTTGTTAATATAATAATAAGTATGTATTATATTATATTATGATTGTCATCTTTCCTTCGTCTAAACAAATTTTATGTCATTTTAGAAAAATCTAAAACAATATTTTTGTTTATTTTTCTTTTTTTTTTCTTTTGTAAACAAAATTTTGGTCAATCTCTAACCTATAGAGTATAATGAGTTACATTATCTATTATATTTCGTTATTACAATCTTACGTTTTACATCAAAACAGTGTTTTTCCAATTTACCATGAAGATTATAACTATTACTCATTTCCTTTACTTGTTATTGGGCCACGCCCTCTCATAGCAACAACATAATATTATACGTACGTAGGTAAGTATAGTATTAACACTACACAGTAAGTGTTTTTCAGTGTATTTTTGGTTGTTTTTAAAAATTTTTGATTTCGAAAAGTTTATTTTTTTATTTTTAGTGGTTTTTTATTCAGTTTCGGTCAAAAAAAGCGTTTTGAAAAGTGGAAGATGAGTGGAAGATTTGTAATGTATTTTTCACTAAAAATCTTCCACTTAACTTTCACTATTAAAATCTCTTAAAATTGTCTAATAACACATTTTTAACCATTTTTGGGTGTGGAGGTTGAGGGGAAGATTTGTAATGTAAATTGCACTGAAAATCTTCCATCAAACTTTCACTTTCAAAATGTCTTAAAATGACTTAAAAACACGTTTTTGATACTTTTTAAAAATGGAAGTTTAGTGGAAGATTTGTAATGTAATTTGCACTGAAAATCTTCCACCATAATTTTACTTTTCAGGATTTACAAAATATGGCAAAAACTTTCTTTACAAAACAAAAAATGGCAAGAACTTTCTTTACAACACAAAGAATAGCAAGAACTTTCTTTACAAAACATAAAATGGCAAGAACTTTCTTTACAAATCAAAAAATGGCAAAAACTTCTTTACAAAACAAAAAATGGCAAGAACTTCTATAACAACAATTTAAAATTTTGCTTACCGTATTTTACGCCGAAAAAACAGCTGATACTATATTGCATCATGAGGTGTTACTCAGCCCATTCCGCTAATCCCCTGAGGTATTAGAATCACGTTTTTTGAAATTCGAAAATTTTTAAAACAGGAATTGATTAGTGTATAATCTTGAATATCCGACAAGCTCTTACTGTCTTGGGTTTGCTAATTTGAAAAAATAGTGTGTTTTATACTATTATGTAATATATTACGGAAAGTTTAGACTAAAATGGTTTTTTTTAATTTTTTGTTGCAAAATGCCATTCGTTTTATTACTTTTTTATGGTAAAGTAAAACAAGGTAATCCTGTGTAAAGAAACGTAGTATAGATTAGATTATGTATAAGGGGTAGGGTAGGGTAGATTTAATTTTTTTTTGTCAAACGCTAGGTTAAAAATTCGCTTCTGTGGCGGTGGGGTCTGCGATTGACAGGTTATACGATAATTTTTGCTAAAAAACACGGAAAAATTAAGCTTAAAATATTTTTATTACAGTATTTTGCATCAGTAAGTATTTTAAAATTTTTTTACTTTTTTAAGCATTATTTGACAGGTGGCAGCATGCCGGCGACAAGTTATACGATGAGTTATAATATATTATAACCGTTTTTATTTTTTTTTTGCATTTTTGAACCGTACGCGAATACTGTAACATTTTTTCATAATTATTTGACAAATTACTTATTTTGTTTTCTTTAGACACCTGCTCAATACTATTTACCAATACTCTATTTAAAATGATCAATTTAAAAGTACATCAAGGAACTTGAGCTACTTCCTTCTATTTTTAACTTTATACTGTGGTTCCTTTTCTGGTCAATTTTGGAGCTAAAAAATGAGTTGGGAGTCATTTTGTGAACCAGACCATGGGCCACAATCGCAAGTCGATCAACGGCTCAAAAGTCTACAATCACTGTTCAGAACCATCATGGTATGTTGTAAAATACGGTCTTTCTTACGCCTTTTGATAAAATTTAAAATTTTTAAGGAAAAGGATTTTAACAAGCAGTTCTTCATTTCAGATACTAATAAGCTTGATTGGCGTCGCGGGTAATGTCCTAAACTTGATCACGTTACGAAGCCCATCGTTACGGACCGTTCCTTTCATGTACATACGAGCACTAGCCATCTTTGATTTAGTACGTTTACTTATCCACCCTTGCCTTGCCTTGCCTTGCCTTGCCTTGCCTTGCCTTGCCTTGCCTTAGCCTTGTCTTAGCCTTGCCCTAACCCAGAGCCTAGATATATGAACCAAAGTACATATATTACCTTACAGGTCGGGTTAACAGCTGTGATAATACACTTTTTACTACAATACAAGGAAAACCACTTCTTATGGATGGTGTACTACGAAGTATGGATAGAAGATGTACTAATAAACTCTTTCCTCGTAGCCGGGTTGTATGCGGCTGTGTTGCTCACCGTGGAACGGTAGGCATTATTATACAAAATATCTCCACAACGTAACAAAAACTTTCTTTACAAACCACTGAACAACAAAAACGTGCATACGGAAGCCAAGAACGACTTTTTTAAGATGGTAGTTCAGTGGAAGATTTGTAATGTAATTTGCATTGAAAATCTTCCACCCAACTTCCATTTGTAAAATGGCTTAAAATTGCTTAAAAACACGTTTTTGACACTTCTTGAAAATGGAAGTTTAGTGGAAAATTTGTAATGTAAATTGCACTAAAAATCTTCTACTAAACTTCCGCTTTTCAAACTTGTAATTTTTTATTTTTCTTTGCCATTTTAAGTCACACCCCTTCTTCACACCTCATTTTCAGGTACCTATTGATCAGAAAGCCTCACAAGAAGCGTTTGTTCAGTATCCAGCACAGTGTTTCATTAAAGATCTCTGGTTGCCTATTAATGGCCATCATTCTGCACTGTCCAATGGCTCTGCAGAACACGGCCAAAGTGGTGAATGGTCGTATTATAAAAGGCAATAATCAGCGTTTGCTTTGCAGGTAATTGCATTTCATCTTGAATTAATAATTAATTAGATTTGCATTTGACGTACTAATTAGCACAAATTTAGATTTTTTAGTATTAAGTGCGTATTATATGATTTTTTTTAAATTAGACGTACTCGGTAATGGTAATTTATGTATTTTTAGTTTTTTAAGATGCACTAAGAATAATCTTGTGCTGATAGTACTGAGAATTTAGTATTGAGACAATAAGTTGTTTTACGAATACCTACATAGCACCGTCCTTTTACTACATAGTACTGTACTTGAAAAATATGCCTTGTAAAGAAAGTTCTTGCCATTCTTTGTTTTGTAAAGGAAGTTCTTGCCATTTTTTGTTTTGTAAAGAAAGTTCTTGCCATTTTTTGTTTTGTAAAGAAAGTTCTTGCGATTTTGTGGCTTGTATAGGAAGTTCTTGCCATTTTTCGTCTTGTGGCTCAACTTCCTGTCATTCTTAATAAATTCAAACTTTAATACTCCACAGTACCATACCCAAAACTTTTTCCCCACTTCCGAGTACTATTCTCGTACTAATTTATGCGCAACGTTTTGAAACCTCTTTGGCACGTTTATGGCGAAATACGTGCTGAATAGTACGACTATAATCTAATTAAAGCTTTTGTTTAGTAAAATCGTAAAGCGAGAGTTGTATAAAGAGGCTACTTTACTATTTATAAACATTAGCCTACGTAAAGGGGATACGAAAATGACACATAGTTAGGGTTGGACATTTACCGGTAAATGTAAACTTACCGGTAAATTTACCGGTAATTTTACCGGGAATTTACCGAAAATTTCGGTGTTTTACCGGTAAAAAAGTGTTTTGTGTCCTAGCACGAAAATTATTTTTGTTTCAAAATTTGTTTTTGTTTTGGAAAATTAGCAATATTTTGACGAAATATGTTGAAAAATATCACCGTTACAAAAGAACAAATAATGACTACTTTTGCAATTATTGTGGTGCAAAATACGTCAGTAACCTTACAAGACTGTAGCAACATCTTCTGCCAACAACTCACAAGGACGGAAAATTCGATTTTTAGGCTTTCTTGTTGATTTTTGATACTTTACGTATAGGTCTGTGATTATTTAGCGAAACAATTGCACTAAGATATCTTCAAATGATCAAGAACAGGTCGAGCAATTTTATGAGCAAAAATGCGGAAAACAAAAGTGTCCATCGAACCAATCAGAGTCTAGTGGACAATGGTCATCTAATCATCTATGACTAGCTACGTCGACATAACATATACCGGTAGGGAAAAAGAAGTGGACAGAGCTATTGGACTTATAAGTTGTTTTTTAAAGTAAAAGAGTGATATACTTACTATTTTATTGTTTTTGTTGTTTTAAAACGCTTATTAAACGTTTTAATGACATTTTAAAGTTTTTAAAGACCAAATAATAATCCGGTAAATTTACCGGTAAAAACCGGTAAAATTTTTACCGAAAAATCAATTTACCGGTAAATGTCCAACCCTACACATAGTATAGACGGATAAAAAATTTGCATTTTGGTTTTGTAAAGAAAGTACTTGCCATTTTTTATTTTGTAAAGAAAGTTCTTGCTATTTCTTGCTCTGTAAAGAAAGTTATTACATTTTTCCTTAGTTAAAAAGTTTCAAATGTCTGCAGATGATTTTTAAAGATAATTGAATATCCACTGAACCGTGCCATGCATTCACTATAAGTTAGCCTAATCTTGCGTTAAACACAAATTTAATAGACTTCCGGCGAAAGTTTCGAATAACAATATAGGACATACAAAAACTAATGAAAAGGTCAACGTACTGAATAGAATAGGATAAAAAGGTCAACGCACTGAATAGAAAAAAGTTAAAATAAGCAAGAGAACGTCAACAATTTACTGTACAAACCGGAAAGGAAGTTTTTTTTTATGAAATATGAAAGATAGACACAGAAACGAAAAATACGTTAGTTTTCCAGCTCAGCAAAGCTAACTTTTGTAAAGTATAAACTACAGTAAAACACCTTTATAACCAATTGCTCAGGAAAAGGCTGGGCGAAGCATTAACACCGGCCTTTTTGCAGGTATAACCTAGAAGAGTTGGTTATACAGAAGTTTCACTATAATAAATAAAAACAAACAAACAATTCATATGACAGCCTGTATCAGTCAATAACATATTTATCTAAGTTTTAGATTTCAATTTTACCGTTTCAGAGACCCATGGTGGACGCTGTTCAGCTACTACAAAATGTTTCGTGAAACGGTTCGGTTTACATGCGTTATATTACTAGTCGTCCTGAACACTATCATTGCACGGAGCTTACAAATGGCCAAAGTAAGAAAGAATATTCAATTTAAGTTTTTAACCCCACCCAACCTTAACCTTACTACTTCTAAGCTTACTAAACCAAAGCTTACAAATCCTAAGCTTACTAAACTAAAACTTACAAACCCTGAGCTTACTAAGCCTTAACATACCACATAAGCCTAAGTGTACTAAGCCCCTGTGCTTACTAAACCTACTAAAGTTAAAAAACACAGACAATTTACATTTCCAAACTTAAAATAATATTTTCTTCAGCGCAACCGCCGATTATTAATAAAACGTACTAGTGGAGTCGAATCCAACGAGATTATTGGTACTCCACTAAAAGAAAAGAACCGGTTTTACCGTAAAGATATGGGTAATGTTATGAAGTCTTTTACTGAAAAGAAGTTGACAGCTTTAATGGTGTGTATATGCTTAATTTATTTGATTGGTAATCTTCCACAAATGGTCGTAATGGTGCTGCAGAATGAGACCATGGAAAATAGATTTGGCTTTCAAGTAAGTTGGAAGTTGCTACATGAAATATTTTTTATATAGTAAGACTTTTGCATAACAAACATCTTTGTAACAAAAATCTTGTATAACAAACAAAAAAGTACATAATTCAACTGTAATCGACATTCTTATAAATTAAAATTCTAGGTGTTCCGAAACATAGCAAATACGCTAGAAGTTTTAAATCACTGCCTCAACTTCTTTATTTTTTGTATGGCTTCATCAGAATATTCAAGAGCATTTTTACTGAACTGTCGTTGCATAAGAAGAGTATTGGTCAAAATACCAGCATGCGCTTCTGTGATCCATTCTAAAAGGTTAAGGTAACATTGATTATTTGAAAAGTAGGACACCAAATAAACGGTGAAGCTAACTTGCCTTGGCTAACTTGTTAGCTTTTCAAAAGAAGAACCCAGAGCTTGTGAATGCAAACCAAACAGACTTTATAATTAAAGTTATAAATTTAACTGTTTGCCATTTCAGTAATGTAAGTGAGCAAAAAGAGTTGCCATCCGGAGAAGGTCGTCGCAAATCCAGTCTGTTTTACGACCCCGACCATCGACGAAATACTGTATGTATGCAGATTAACTCTACTACAACGGCAGACTCGAAGATTAGTGCTCCTTCCAGAGACATAGTGTTTGAAGATTGTGTTGTATACAAGAATCAAATACCACAATTGTGTTCACCTGATAGTGGTGACGAATATCTATAACAGTTGTTGGGTTTTTACCAATGATGGTAAACCTATAGCTATTAGTGGTAAATCTATAGCTATTGTATAGTTGTTTTAGTACATTTACGAAGGTGTATTTGTAGCCTATACTTGTACTTATGCGTACCTCTATCTTTCAATATGTTATTTACGTGTCTTTGACGTAGCGTTTATTTTCTGGTAATTATAAATTTTGGTCTATTGAATTTTATGTATACAATATATGAATTTGTAGTGAAATCTATTTACAACATTAAGTGTATTACGGTGGTTGTTATTGAATCTCAAAAATCTTTATAAAAGATCACAAATTTTCAAATATCATTACTTGTATCTCTAGTAAAAAAGCTTAAATTAATAAAAGTTTAAGCTCAAACTAATTGTCTATACAGTAGTTTGTAATTTGTACTTAATAAATGTTATTTATTTTTTTGTAAAAAATCTAAACTTTTTGTTTCTTCATATGACGTTAAGGTAAACGCAATCGCAAGCTTGAAAAGGTTAATTTAGTGTATGCCGTAGGTCAGCCAGCACCGTCACGACAGTGAATTAAAACTAAGTAACAAGACTAACTACCATAATTACTTAATATAATGATCAACAACTAATTGCAATTTGCTTTTCTATCGTTTGGTATTGTACTTTAAGTTCAAGTAACGTTTATGTACTTAAAACCAACTATGGAAATTATTGTTGATAACAGTGTCGATGGTAACTAAAAGACTACTTAGTCATAGGACAATATGCACCACAAAATTAGGCTTAGAATGGTAATACAAAACGAAAGTATGTATAAGTAGCTAGGAGTCAAACTGTCCGATTTATGACTGGTCACCAGTCGACTGGCTCTCTCCTTGTTTAGAAATAACTACAGTAGGTGATTCTTCCGCTAAACCTGGATAGATGACATTTACTTTTAGTGCTCGTAGTTGTTGTTTAAATGCGTGACGGTAAGCTCGACTAAAAGAAGTTGTAGATTAGAAGTTTTTATTTTTCAATTTTTCAGCTCATTGTCAGCGAAGCTAACGTTTGTAATGTAAAAACTGCAGTAGAACTCCTGTGCAAACGAGAAAAATATGACGAAACCAAATACTTGAAAAAGCATACCTCAAGCCAAAGTAAATAGGATAATTCATCGGAATGGACAAATTTAAAGGTAAAGCAACGTATAATATAAAAACTTCGCTCATTTTGTCTATGACGTTTATCGCTATTCCAAACAACACGAACGATATAGCCCACCCGCCAACACAACAAAATGTGACAGCGGCAATACTTTTCAACATAGATGTTGCATTTTTCTTCAAAACCTTCCTAATGTAGTACAACATAAAGATATAAAAAGCAAAGGTCACAATATTGATGACCATTGTTGCCATTTGAAATTTGTTTTGAGATCGGCCAATAAATGCAGAGGCTAGGTTGCACATTGTCGTATTGTGCTGGTATGGTTCAATACTATAGTACGATTCTACGTTTAAATAAAGCGCATAGATCAACGCTACTGCTATACAAACAATTATTTCTACGTTACGATTTATGCATTGGTATCTAAAATAAAGAACATTAGCTCAGCAAAACAACACAATTTTCCCTATTTCCATTTTCCGTATCTTAACGGTTGAAGTACACTGTAAAGTCGATCACAACTGGTTAAGAACAATAACATGCTGCCAGCGTTACACCCGATCATAGGAATGAAATGTAAGAGAAAACAAGTATAGAGCTCTGGCGAGTACTGCCCTATGAATGTTAAGTAGAAAAGGATGTAATGGGCAAGCTCGTGCCATAAGTCAAACAACGCTGTAGCTGCAATAAAGTAGCCACAGGTTTCACGAATGTGGCTGAAAAATTAGGTGTATATCTTAAGCCTCTTTAGTCTTAAAATTGTGTATCCTTAATATTAAGTCATGTTGTTAAACTTAATAAGTCACAACTAACCTATCCCGAAAATTAGCAACAATTATGTTAATATTGCCGAAAACACCCAGAGTTGCAAAAGAAGCCAATATTATGGTCGGTACTGTAAGACTGATGTCTTGGTCCATTATAAACTATTTGAAATTATATTAGATATAACGAATATATTATTTCGTACTAATTGACACTACTAAACTGACAGATTTACTCTACGTGATATGTTTTTAATTCGTTTACATAGACGCGATAATTGTGGTCAACACGACAATTTGTTGTTGTAGTGTGTACAATTTTTAGTGGTAATATTGGTTTATGGTAATTTTTCCATAGTCTGTTACATTTTATGAGAAAAAAAATAACGCTAAAAATTAAATCCTCAAACTAGAAAAAACCTCTACTAAGATAACTATGACTTTATCAAAAGCTGCTTTCTATGCTTTTTTCTTATATGTATAGTAATTAGTAAAAATACGTTTACGACTGACAAGGAAGGTACTCGACCTGCAACGCTCAGATTTTGTTCAATTTTTTAAGTGAAAGGTCACGTGAATGTAAGATCTTATGCAAAATTCTAAGTTGCAGCTTGCGGCCAGATTTGAGAAAATCGAGATCAAAAAATCGTGTTTTGAATTTCTCGCAAAATTGGCATAGTGTTTCAAGCTTTTAAGTTTGTCATTTTTTGACTATTTTTCTTTAATATAATGATAGAAGAGCTTCAAATGAACCTTCAATTTTAAATTTGTAAGCCTATTTTATCTGGAACATTTAAAAAAAGTGCTTGCAACACAATGCCAACTTTGCCATATTGGCGGGAAATTTAAATATATTAATTTTAAAACTTAAAACCGCAAGCTAAGATTTTTTATATGTGCTATCGGTACTAAAAAGAATCCGTATAAAAATTTTGAGCTAATTTTGAGAGTTGCAGGTTGGGTACCTTCCTTGTGAATAGAACTATTGATACTCTTGTCAATTTTATGGGAAAATCTCAGTATTGAAAATTTTCTTTGTGAAGCAGTATTATTTATTCATTAAAATCTTTGTTTTTAATACGTAGTGTTGTAAACGATTTGAATGAGACGTTTTAAAACTGTAACATACCTCTGTTTGTCCCGTATTTGAGGTCTTTTTCAACTCTAATCTATTACTGTAGCTACGCTTCTCGGGTTGTTGTTGAAATTTGACACAAATTGTGTTTTACTAACCATAACTGATGATTCTTGTGATAACCTTGGATATATAGTATTTATTTTCAACCACCTAAGTTGCCGTTTAAATGCAAAGACTATACACGCTACTGAAATTTGAAGCTTACGTTATTAAAGTTTAGGTATCAAACAATAGAAAAAATTAAATTCTGAAGTCCTTTTTCTTGATTTTTTGAAAACTTCTATAAAAAATTTTAAACACAACTTTAAAAACTTACCTCAACGCAAAATAAATAGGATAGTTCATAGGAATCGACAGATTTAAAGGCAGAGCAACATAAAGTATAACCGTCTCAGTTACATTATCCATCAGGTTTAACACTAACCCAAATAAAACAAACGTAATAGCCCATCCACCAACACAGCAAAACGCTACAGCCGCGATGCTTTTCAACATCGAGGATGCACTTTCTTTCAAGATCTTCTTTATGTAGCACAAGATAAAAATGTAAAAGGAGAACGTAACGATATTAATAATCATTGTTGCCATCTGGAAAAGAGTTTGTGATCCGTCTACAAAAGCTGATGCTAAATTACACATTGTCGTATTGCCCTTATACGGTTGAATACTGTAGTAGGCTTCTATGTTTAGGTAAAGCGCGTAAATTAGGGATATTGCCACACAAATGATTACTTCAACGTTACGGTTTAGTCGTTGATATCTGTAAATTTTTATTTTTTTGTTACTCAAAGAATTTTGTGATTGTCGTATAACTTTTCCTATTCCTTACCGTAACGGTTGTAGTACACAGTAAAGTCGGTCGCAACTGGTTAAAAACAATAACATACTGCCAGCGTTACACCCGATCATAGGAATGAATTGTAAAAGAAAACAACTATAGAGCTCTGGCGAGTACTGTACTATGAATGTAAAATAAAACAAAATATAATGGGCAAGCTCGTGCCATAAGTCAAACAACGCTGTAGCTGCAATAAAATATCCACAGTTTTCTCGAATATGACTGAAAGTAGTTAATACAGTAGAACGCTTGTATAACAAATACGTCTAAAACACAATTTCTGTATAAGGAGCAACCGAAAATTCTCAGCCGACACTACACAGCGCATCTAAAACTCCTCTATATCCAACTTTATTTTACAAACGTTAGCTTTGCTTTCAAAAATCTTACCTGTCTCGAAACGTTGCTGCAATGATATTATTCTTCATAATAAGCATTCTTCAAGCGTCTACCATTACAATACAAATTAGATTTTTTAATGACTTGATGCCGTATGTTGTAACGTATTAGGTTGTCCGCAAAGTTCTGCAATATTTATTCACTTTTGAACTAACAATAATAACAATATAATTAAAACAACTACAATCAATCAAAGTAATTACCGTCTAAATCAATACAGTCTTGCCAACGATTTACAAGCTTTTTTATTCCACGATTGTAGAATTCCGGGTTTCTGGAGTTGATGAAGTTCTTGAAGGCATTCTTGGCATCGTCTGCAGTTTTGAAGATTCTTCCATTAAGAAACGAAGACAAGTGTTTAAAAAGGTGAAAGTCCGTTGGAGCCAAGTCTGGAGAATAAGGAGGGTGCTCCAAGACTTCGTATCCCAGTTCCCTGAATTTTGCCACGGTCTTCTTTGCAGCATGGGGCCGTGCGTTATCCTGCAGAATGATCGGACCCCTCCTTCTGACCATTGTTGGAAGATTGTGTCGCAGTTTGTCAATCTGGGCACAGTAGGTGTCGGCCGTAATACTTTGGCCAGGTTTCATGAAATCGTACTGGATCACTCCAGAGCTACACCACCAGACAGTCACCATAAGCTTCTTTTCGTGCAATTCTGGCTTCGAAACGTGCTTAGGAGCTTCTCCACGCTTACACCAACTTGTAGATCTTCTAGTATTGTTAAACGAGATCCACTTCTCGTCAATATTTACAATTCGATCCAAGAATTCTTCGTTTTTGCAGCGTTGCAGAAGCTTTTCGTAAGCACATCGTCTCTTGGCTTTTTGCAGATCAGTCAAATTGTGAGGCACCCATTTGTCCAACTTTTTGACCATACCCATTGCCTTCAAATGATCACCAATGGTACTTTTTCCACAGTTTAGTAACTCTTCTAACTCCCGGATTGTAATATGTGGGTCATCTTCAATCTTGCGCCTCAGGGCATCTTTGTCAAGTTTGCTGGGTCTTCCTGCACGTGGTTTGTCTTCAAGCTTCTCATCGTCCATACGAAACTTTGCGAACCATCTGGTCACCGTAGAATAACTCACAACATTCTTACCCTCATTTTCGTTTATGATTCTGAAGGTTTCTGCCGCAGTATTTCCGCGTTTGAATTCATTCCATATAATCACGCGCAGGCGAGATTTCTCCATTTTTTTCTAATACCTAAAACAATACAAAAAAATGAAATTAAATTATGTAACTTACCTTTTTGAATAATTTAGGTAACAAACAAACAAAAAAGAATTTTTTCTTTCCGTCAAGAAATAAATTTTTCCTGATTTTTCAAAGTTTACCTACTCAAATAATGCAGAACTTTCCGGACAACCAATACTATGCTGATTTCCAAAAATGTTCAAGGTTCAGATGAAGGTCAACCTATCCTAGTGTCTAACGTTTGGATTCCCATGCAATTCGTTACACAGTAATTTTGTTGCTTATTTTTGATACAACCTGTTTGAAAAAGTCTACAGACTGACATTAAAATATTGTTGTTATTAAACACAATGACTAGTTTTAAAATTTTATTATGCTAAAAATAGTTCACCATTTGAAAAATCAAGTAAAAATAAGTCAGTTTATGGTACTGAAGGTGTTTGTGCCGTTCTGCTGACCTGACCAAAGCTTGTAGGCTGTACGTATTTTCTGGTTACTCGAGGTAGCAGACGGCCAAACGACAATATGTTGATTTGTTCTTGAAACGCGCGAGAATACTGTCGACTGTAAAATTATTTTTTACAGTTTTTAAATAATATTGTTATTGTGGATAAGAAATTTAGTGTTGAGCAAATACTTCAAGTGGCGCAATTTTGTTTATATTGTTAAATTTAAAATGGTTTTTTTCTAAATGTATTTTGTTCAAAAAAAATAATATGCTGTACAATTTAATGCTTACCTCATACAAAAGTAAATAATGTAGTTCATTGTAATACTAATGTTGATCGGTAATCCAATATAAGTAACCAATTCTTCGGGAACTGTTTCCATCAAAGATATTCCGACAATAAATGACACAAACGTCAAAAACCATCCACCAACGCTACAGATAGCCACAGTAGCAATACTTCTCAACAACGATGACACGCGAGTCTTGGAAATTTTTTTCACGTATATCCAAATCGTAGCGTACATAGACAATGTGATCACGTTAATAAACGTTGAAGTGACAGACCACACTTGTTCTGCATGGTTTTTAAAACTTGATGGTAGAACACAAACCGTAGTATTATCACCAATCGGTTGTAACGCCACGAATGCTTCGTAATTTAACCATGACGCAAATGCAATTGCAAAGAATGTGCATGAGAACACTTCAACGGCTCGGTTTATAGATTTGTATCTAAACATGAAACGGGTTGATTTTTTGTTATAGAATGTAATAATATGTTGTGAAAAATACTCAATGACCAATATATTGTACATAACCACAAGGCATATATGAGGTCGTTATATAAAGTTGCTAATTGTATTCGTTATATAAAAAGTAGGTTCTACTGCTTTTTTGTGACATAAAATTGCTTACTGAATTGGTCTCAATACACAGTAAAGTCGGTCTGCGGCAGTTAACAACAGTAACATGCTGGCAGCGTCGCATCCAAAAATTGGGATAAATTGAAGTTGAAAACATTCAAATAAGGTTGGTTTTTCAGAATTAAGATGAAAATAGTATAAAATGTAATGACTAAACTCATGGAGAAAATCAAAAAAAGCTGCAATTGCAATAAGTAAACCACACGCTGTTCGCAGTTCCCTGAAATGTATGAAGCTTGAGTTACGGTATTGTTAGACGATCAATAGTTATGTATTAGCCTGTTTTTCGATTATTGAAAACCCTTTTCTTCTAACACAATTAGCATAAAACAATTAAAGTATTAGTACACAAAACACTTCCTGCAAAGACGCGACTCACCTTTTTCGTATCGAAGCCACAATAATATTAAGATTTCCAAACAATCCCACAGTACCACATATCACTAGTACTGAACACGAAAAGGTGATGTTAATTTCTCCCATAGTTATCAGAACAAATGTCAACAATGTGTTCAGCACTGCAAGTTTGCAACTATTACTATCGAAACTTCAATATCAACAATAATAATGCAATTTTCCAAGTAATCAACAATAAAACGGTATAAGACAAATTTTGCAGTTTTTAACGTTTACAGTCAATTATACCACTGCAAAAACAACAATTTAGCCAAAAAGTTGGTCTTAAAAATATTGTTTGATAAAAAAGTCAACACAGCTTTGTATGGCGACGTCTTCAAAAGTTTGTACAAAGAGAGTTTTGTTGTTTACATTACCTACCAATTTGTAATCAGTTTTCTAAAAAACAGCCTTACTAATTAAATATCTACTAAGAAAGTACACGGCTCTAATATATTTAAGGCGGCACGGTTACAGTAATCTGCTATGTACTTTTCCCTATGAACCTAAAAAAGGACACGTTTTATAACAGTTATTTTTTGTCTAGTTGTATTTTATAATAGAATGGTACGTTTCGTCGCCACCGCATAATTATGACAAAAGGTCCGATTACGTAGATTACATGTAAATATAACCGATAAACAAATGTTTTTGTATTGTAAATATGTTCCCATATATATATAGCTGACGTGCTTAAATTAAAAATGTTTTTAAGCTTTCGTAACTTACTTCTCATTGACCAGTCGGTTTTTCCGTCGCTGATTTCTTCTATTATCAAACCATGTAAAAAAGGCATGATTAGCTTTGTAGAAAAACCAAAAGTGCGTGAACTAAAGAAACAGTTATAACATTTTGCAGCTGGATCAGCTAATTTTGTTTTAAAATTTTTACTGCCTTTTCAACTCAACGATATAATTTGAGAGGTGAGATGGACAGTAAGGATTTACTGAAAGCTGTCAGAGCAACTGTAGTTTTTTGCATTTGTGCCATATTCAGGTGATCCTTTTTCTCAAGCTGCCGAGTCATGATGATGTGCTCCCAAGACTTCAGGCCGTAGCCGGAAGCCTGTGTAGACAAAGCAATCGATTTTATATAGTCAACGTGCACTTAGAAGTTCCCATTTATTTGTAAATTTTAAGTGCGCCTCGGGCGGGCGGGGCAGTCCGTCGAATGTCCGGCGGGATATTGGTCGGCGCCACAATCGACTTCGTCACAACCGATGGAGCCACAACTGCTCACTGCTTTTGTATTATGTTTTATCAAGCAATTAATAGTTATCAAATTTATTGAATGAATAATTATAACAAGTTGTTAACTGTTTGTCTGAGCAACGGAAGACGTTCCACGTGAGCGTGCAATTGTGGTGCTGTACGCCGCGGTTTTTCTCATTCCTCGATGCAGGACACCACACGTTAATATATGAAGTTGTTCTTGGAATGCGCGCTGGTATTGACGGCTAAAAAGAGTTTACGTTGTTCCAACAGTTTAATTTTTACCGCATCGTCTTAATGTCATCTTTTGATTATACTGAACGTTAACTTTTGACTGAACTAAAAATGATTAATTTATTAATTTTAATGTCGTCTTATTTGTTAAAAACAAACTTCTCTGACTTTTCTATTGCTTAGAGGTAAAGTACTATTATTTCCTGCATTATAAGTACTAATATTTCCTGCACTATACAGCTAATACTCTGTAAGCATAAATATGTTAGGGCTTATTAGAATTTACACGCCATTGTTTACATACTTCAGTGCATTCTTTATTTTGCCTTATTAGTCTTGTTTTTGCTTATTTTTACGGAAGTTGACAAAACCCCTACGGTGCACAAAACTAGCCGACATGTATTAATACGTTCTTATAGGTTTATGTTTTTAATCTATGTAAAACAGATATGTTAAAAACAAAGTAAGAAGAAAAAGTTGGAGCAGTATGTTTCTTGGGCATCTGAGAAATAATACATCGTTTTAGTTTTTGAACTTTTACCTAAGTATTTCTGTATATAAGCATGCCTATTGAAAGTTCGGACCAACTTACCTCATTAAAAAATATATGGGATAGTTCAATGTAATACTGATATTAATCGGTAACCCCAAATACATCACCAACTGCTCTGGTACAATTTTCATAGAAGCTAAGGCAGCAACAAATAGTGTGAAACTTAGCAACCATCCACCAACACCACAAATAGCAACAGCTGCGATACTTCTCAATAACGACGGTATTCTTTGCTTTGTTATCTTCTTAACGTACAACCAAATAGTTGCATATATCAGCAAAGTTAAAAAATTGATAAAAGCTGTACATAAAGAAAACATTTGCTCCGCACGATTCTTGAAGCTTGACGGCAAGCCACATATGGTAGTTTGGTCTTGAATTGGCAGTAAGCTCGAATAAGCTTCATAGTTTAGCCATAACGCATATGATACAGCTATTGTAATGCAAACTGTCAGCTCCAACGCACCATTAATATTTTTATAGTCTATTGGTCGTAAGATACAGTAAAGCCTGTCAATGCTGGTTAGCAACAGTAAGATGCCTCCAGCGTTGCAGCCAATCATTGAGAAAAATTGTAGTTGAAAACACTGCAGTAACGTTGGTGAAAAAGAAGAGAAATTTACGTAAAACATAATGTAATGACTGCATTCATGAATTAAGTCAAAGAATGCGGTTGTCGCTATGAGGATGCTACATGTTGTACGAAGTTCACTGCAATTTCTGTTTAATATAGTACAATGTTTGTCGTTACAACGTTCGTTTTTAGTATTACAGTGAAAAATTCGCCAACAGCTCTCCGCTTACGAAACCCTCGTTATAACAAATTTTTTTGAATATCCGGAGAAAAAGTTTGCACTGATTCTTAAATATGTAAAAAAACTCAGGACATAACAAAACCCCCCTACAGCAAACGCTTTTTCAATCTTCTTGCTATTCGTTATACATATTGAGTTACTGTAAGTTCACAAAAAACTCACGCTTTTCGAACCGAAGCAACAATCACGTTCAAGTTTCCAAAAATCCCAAAAGTCGTACATAAAGCCAACACGCACGAAACGTAGTCGATGCTGATTTCTTGCATAATAATGAACAAGATGCAATGACAAATAAAGTCGTGAGACGACAATAAAATGAAGTAAGATTATAGTGGCGTGCTTGTTTTATAAGATATTTTTTAACAAAATATGTCTAATACTATAATTTTTACGTATTAGTTGTTTTCCAGGAAGAAAATTTAATTGTGCTTTAAGAAATAACAAACATTTTCCTTTGTCATAACTCTATAACATTTACAAAAACGAGAAAAACTTTAAGTAATAGTTTCTATATTTTAACAAATGTATAACAAAAATAATTTTGGGGGAACAATTTTACGTGAGCGCCGAAGCACAATTTTTGAGCTTAACTTTTTATTAAGTTAACGTTTAAGATAGCTATCAAAGACAATAGTACTTATATACAGGTAAAAATTAAACAAATGTACAATTTAAAGCTGGTGCGTTGTCGTAGTTGGTCTTATAATGACTGGGCACAATACTGAAAAAATTATATGGTAATGTAAATCTTTATAAAAAATTTATTACTATGAAAACAAATTTTTTTTCTAGCTAAAGGAATGTCTTATTGTTAGTTATGATTAGCGTTTTGTGTGTGTGTGTCTCACACTTATTAACAACAAATAACTACTGGATAATCGAACTCACCTCTTCACTATCTGTAATTTGAAATGGTTTTAGACCACTTATGAATATTTCTAGTTTACATCCTTTTCTACCACCATCACAAAATTCGATTTCATTTGTAATGTCGAAAATCACATCAGCATTTCGACGGTAAATAACTTTTACATAGAACTCTTCCGCTTTCTTATCGTTCCAAAGCTCGAAGAACAAAGCCGATGCCATTTCACAATTATTTTCACGATCATAATCTAGCTTCTTAAAACCTAGTGCGAACAACGAACCAGTAATGTATGTGTCGTGCTAAAAATGTTGAAAATAACTGACATATTTTGTAGCGAAATTTTGAAGTCATCTTACATGTACTAAATAACTTTTGAAGTCATCTTACATGTACTAAATAAATTTTGAAGTAATCTACATGTACTAAATATGTTATAAAAATAACCATTGTTTTTTAAAATCTCTTTGGCTTACCAATGAAAAAGCTTTAAACTTTAAATCATACAGTTCATCGCAAATGTCATCATCGGCTAAATGATTTGATTCTTGGGAACATTGTTGTTTTAACGTAAATTTTTGCATTATGTCGGTTAACACACGTCCAGCGTGATATTGTACCAACTTTTGATAAATATCGATTTTATTATCAAGTAAGCCTAAAATTTTTTCAATACTCATAGGCATGATCAAGTTAGAGGTGAGGATATAAGTCAAAAAAAAAAGAAAAATAACCTACCATCACCGTAAAAGTATTTTAAAGAAGTAACATAAGAATTAAATATTTCTTCCCATGCACTTTCGTATTCTGGTGCTAATGTAAGGTTTTGCATTTTCTAAAATGTTTTGTAACAATTTCAATGTAACACCAATTTAAAAATAAGACTGTTAACTTACTTCAACATATAATGGATCAGCAAAATCAAAAGAATGCAGAATACTTGTTGTCGTTGTTAAGTTTTTAAACCATTTCTAAAAAAATTAGTTTTTTATTATATTGGAAAATCATAGTATATTTTCGTTGTAAGCAGAATTAGCTACTCTAATTGTTACAACTCTACTTACGTTGTGATGTATAAAATCTTGATAGACTGCATTAGCTTCGGCATACTTTGCTAACTTAGCAACAAAATCACACTGGTTGTAGTAAGGATATCCTACAATATTTTCTTCATTTTCTTTTGGCCAAGTTAGATCAAAGTCGTTGATGGTTACACTATTATCATTAAATGTGCCTTGGAAGTTGTACAAGGCTGACTGTTGCGTTCGGTTTCTGATCGATGCTTCAACTTTGTAAGCTTCAGGAGAATATACGGGAGAAAATAGCTTTAGTTTCTTTATATATTTTTGTCTTATATATGAACCAAGTTGCCGTTGTTGTTCGATTCCGTACTGTAAATATAAACATTGTTTAACGGATTTTGCGTTTTACAGTATTTTAATACCAGCCGTTTTCGGTAGTTTGAGTGTTAGATATTTAACTTACATCTGTCAGTTCACCCATGCCATTAGGCCAATAATCAACTGGATATAAGTTGTCGGTAAAATTAACGTCAGGAGATCTCATGCCATGACGCCAAACCTGTATATTCATTACTTACTAAGCTTCTATATTATTATATACAGTAAAAAAAATATTTTTTTTTGTATTAAATTTTATATATTTATGTACTTACAGCGGTAACGTAAACCAACTCCATAGTGTCATCTTTCGGGTCATCCTTAGCAACTTTTGCAACAATAGGTAAAGCTACCACCACATCTGTCAACAAACAAATAGCCACCAACAACGTCAAACTCAGCAGCATTTTTTACCCGTTAATTATAGTTGACTATGACAATACTGTTGGTTTACACAACCACCAAAGTTTGAGTTAAATTTTAGCAATTTAACGATATTTTACAACTGTAATGATCACCCAATTGCGCTCGCGTTTTCCTACAACAAATACAATTGAAATATTAAATCGGTTAAACATAATTCAATCATTTTTTTGAAAAATACTGCTCAAGCTTGCAGTTTAAACCGTTTATAAAAACAATTTATTAGAGAAAGGATTTATTACACTTGAATTCTTATTTGTTTTGTTACACCTTTTTATACAAAAATCAGGAGTAGACATTTAAATCAATCCGTTTATTATTACAACTTAAAAAAAACAAGTAAACATAATATGGAAAGGTGAAAATATGCTGACATAACAACAAGTGGTAAACAAAATAGGTTGTATTATCCTAGATATTACTAAATAAAATTGTAATAAAAACACGAAAATACCGGCAGTTTTTTAAGTTTCCAATTAATGAATTCAGTTGTTAATCAACGTACGTCATCAAACAATTTTTGGAAAATCGAAATACAAAGTTCTTCAGCATAGTTAAAAACAGAGTTACTTATAGCCTCGTATTGTATTTGGGTCATCACGACAAACTTAAAAATAAGCCATCACGATTTTACATAACAGCTATTCAAACATTTTGTACAATATACTTTTTACACTAGTCTCTGTTTCATCTTGTGCAAAATTTTTAATACGTAATAAAAGTAAACTTTAGAAACTGCAAAATCTACCTATTTTATAATTTATCCTATTTTTAACCCACCTACATAATGTGTTTTAATAAATGTTGCTGCACTTTGAAAACTTGCTTTGAACTTTCCAGTTTAAAGACATACACATTCTTCAACAAAATCATGTGAAATGTCATTGAAAATAAAATTTAAGTCTGGGAAAAATCACGCTTCATACTTTTTTTTATTTCAAATAGAAATGATATGCGTAAGGTTATTAAAAGATCGCAATGTAAACTTTTGTGTATTTTTATATTTTGTTGTGTAGATCACGTGAATCCAAAAACGGCTTTACAAAGTATTGTATTTTAAACGTTTTAATGTTTTATTGTTATTCATTAAACGTTTCCATTTACAAATTTTTAGGTTGTCTGTAATTTTAAGAAAGTTGACAAAATAAGCATTTGGAACCCAATCAAAAGACAAGTTATTAAATTATGGCTCTCGTTTTTATTGCTTATTCTCCAGTTCTGCAAAGCTAACATTTGTGATACAAACTGCTTGATTGAGTAATTATGCTTTGTGATGTGTGTGTTTCCACACACAAATAAACTGTAACTATGTGTTAATATGGTTTATTTTTTAAAGGAAGATATAAAAGAGAAGATTGCAACTAACTGTATGAAGTCAAACTTAAAACAACTGTATTTTAAATTTGGTCTTCAGATGAAGTTGTCGATGCCATCCAACGCAGTAGTTACAATGAAATCTTTAAAAAGGTAAACTCTTTAAAAACAGAAGTTTACATTTTAATTTCGCTATTAAACTGGTATATCATAGACAATTTTCGTAGTCGACAAAAATAAAATTAACAAGAATAGCTAAAGTTAGAACATAAATCGTTATGAAAGAAACTGTAATTTCCCACATTTAGATATAGGAGTTTAGGTATAGTAATTATAGTAAACTCGAGGTTTTCAGAAAACAAAAGTGGTTTATCCCTTTTGTATACTCTTCCGCCATGTGGTAATAAGAATTTGCATATATTTAGGATTAATTTAATATTCATATTATATAATACAGTTTAGAAAAAAACACAAATTTGGAAATGGTTAAAATGGAAGTTACCATATAATATAGTATATTATGTGATATCGCAAACAAATTCTATGATAAATTCGTTGCTTCCAAAAAACATTTTTGAAGTTTTAGGCAAACTAGTACTGATACATATAAACAATGGTGATAATGTACTTGTCGTTTTAAAAAAATTTTTTTTGAATTTATTGTAGGTGATATAAGTTCAACTATTGGTAAAGAGTATCACTACCATTAAAATCACAAGTGTTGTGCACGTTTTGATACTGTTCTATTCTATTATATAACTTTGTTGTGCCGTTGCGTTGATGAACATAGTTACAAACTCTACAAATTGCAGCTTCACCGCTCATAAAATGCCTCGTGTATCCATATGTCCATTCCAGGTGACTTAAGTAAGCCGACCGGCTCCATTGCAAGTACTCCAGGTAATCTGCTGCGGCTTTTATACTTCTAAAAAATAGACGTTAGTTTGGTTTTTTATTTTTTTTTTAATATTGTTGTTTTTAATTTGAATGTTTTAAGGATACTGTGTTTTAGATCACAGTGTTGTTATTAATATTACGATTTTGTTGTAGAAAGTAGAAACTTACTTAAAATCATCCAAAGCAATAAATGATTTAGGATGTAGATCAGGATAATACCGACGTTTTAGAACTACTGGTACAACTTCATTAAATTTCCAAAACTTTTCGGTAACATAGTCATCACAATATGCGTTTTCAAAAGCTAGGTAAAATCTGTAATTTTTGGTTTTTCGTTCGAAACACTGTTTGTCGCAAGTGTTGTTGTTACATTTGCCAAAGACATCGATACGAATGTACCTAAAATGCTCGCATTACAGTGTGCTTAAATTTAGAGATACAGATGCGGGGAGTCTGGGATTGTGGTAAGATGGGAAATCAGCTTTTGGAATCGGGTGGATGACAAAAAAGCCAACAGGAACCATGTTGACCTTTTTTCAAATTTTCTTTAAGGTGCACGGCCTTGACTGTAAAGGTTGTTAACATACTTTTGCAATTCTTTGATAACTTCTTCTCGTTTAGACTTTGTGTTACAGTTCGAATACACAATAAACGTTCCTTTGGTCTTCATTTTTTCAACCTTTCGTTGTAATTCTGCCCGAAATGATGCAAACTGTAACGAAGAGTTTAATATTCATACATGTTAGACCAAAAAAAGGAGTTAACTGACTTCGGCCGGGCCAAAGCAAAATATTTGATCTTTTTTAACTCTAATAAAAATTTTTGTCTTACAGGCACTTTTGTATCGATCGGTATGTACCTTCCATAAGGAATCGGAATGTCGGCATTGGAATGATATGTGGCGATGGCATTAAAGTAACTTGCTGGAAGGCTAATTTTTATATTAGTAAGGTATTTTTAAAAAATCCGTATTTTTGTTCCCAATCAGACACTTACGATGCATTTTGTGGGTACTTTGTAGGCGGCTCACGTTCGTAAAAGATAAATAATTGGCGTGAATTTGTTCTTGATGGATATTTTAGGTCAATAAATTCTGAATACAATTATTTAACTAAATTAAACGATTATTACCGTAATAAATTTGTAGCTTAATTTGAATTAGCACATAACAACAAAAAAAATTTTTTAAAGATATATTGTAATAAAAATGTTTTAGAACAAACATACTCCGTTCAAACGGTGTAAAAATAACTGCATCGGCTTGACTCAAAAGTTCTTGGTCGTGAAAGAAAACGCATTTTCTGCCGCATCGTCTATGTACTCTCATGAAAAAGGTTCTGGCACCAGGACAATATGATTTCGCACATCTTTCCGACCAGACCAGTATTTTCGATCGGTTTTCAGATAAAAATGCATCTTTTTGCCGTAGATCATTAAGTTTAATGATTGGGGTGTTTGTTGTTACTGTGAGTTTCTAAAAGATCATTTAGGAGTTAAAGGGTTGGGGCTAGGGTTAATGCAAAGGATATGATGAGGCTCTGAATATAAGCTAGGACTAAGGCTATGACTCCAGGTCAGGGCTCCGGCATAGGCCTCCGGACTAGGGCTTCAGGCTAGGGCTCTGGGTGAGGACTATAAGTTAGGCCGAGGCTAGGGCTACATTGTGGTTAGTTTCAAGCTGTTTAAACCTACATTTCTCCAGATAAAAATTCCAAAAGCAGTGATAAGTAAAACAATAAATAATAAGTTTTGAGTAAACCTCATTTTTTGTTTTGTGTAACAGCTACAAAAAATGAATACAACTTGAAAACTACAAGTCTAAAGGGTAGTTCACTAATCCGTTGGTTCCTCATTGCTTTATAAAAATTGTGCTTTATCGTTTTACCTAGATTTTTCATTTGTTTTACAAAAAACAATTATTGATATTGTACTTAATGTACAAAAGCGATTTTTTAAATGTTTTTGTGGCATTTATTAAAATATTTTGTAGGAAAGTAAACGGTAAAGTTGTCTTTTAAGGTGCTAATTCATTAGTGATAACCCGACTTTAATTAGGACTATTTTAAAAGTCATTCTTTCTTTAAATCTTCAATAATTTACAAGTAAAGTAAAGCTGTTTCAAGTCATACTTATTGTGACTTTTATATTACTTATACCCATTCTGACATTTAAATTAATAACCAATGGGCTAATATAATATGTTTAATTTTTTCATAATGACAAAGTATTAAAAACAATAATATTAATTTAGTAAAACAATACAGTAGCTTTAAGCTATACAACCGACAGTTAATGCAAAGTTTAAAGTTAAACTTTAAATTGATTTGACATGTCATGAACAATAAGAAAAATGATCTCTAACTAATAATCTTTAAATAATTTTGTGCCCCACCCAAAGCAAATTTTTGGGATTGGGGGCACAGAATTAGTTGAATAACTTACTAGATAAAAAAATAAATAAACGTAATGCTATCGTATCTTAAAATTGATGAAAGATTAAAAAATTTACGAAACCTTAAAATTTTTAAAATCAAAGACAATCAAGTGAATTAATGCAATTACGAGATCAGTTAACACAGTCGAGACCACAAGTGTACAAATAGGACCAATGATATATACTAAGTACATCACTAGTAAATTAGTAAATTATAAAAGACTAATGATATATATTAGGCTTGTTTTGAAAAAGTCAAAACAGTTTTCAAATTCACAAAACTCTAAGACCTTAGGGTTTTAGGAACAACTTTTTGCGTAATCGACATTCACAAGCAATTGGCACTTTGATCAAACTCTCTTTGAAAGCCTCATCCGAACCATCCGGTCGGACATACGCGGGTTGTAGCCCGAATACGGTAGCACATTCCGAGGTAAAGAAGGCTGTGTCAATGCCGAAGCATGGGCCGCGCAGAATGTCAGCACATTCCACGAAAGTTGCGCGGAACTCGCGTTTGTCGCTTTGTTCGATTTCGACGTAGCTGCCGTTTTGGTCTGGAAGGAAGGGAGGGTTAGATAAATGTATTCTCAGCTGTTTTTTTTATTTTTTGGTTTTTTTTGTTTTTTTTGTATATCATACGACATGATATTTTGGCAAATTATTCCCTATACCTAGCACGAACTGTAGCCCTAGCAATAGCCCTAGCTTTAACCCTATAGTAAATATAAATGTATTCACAAATAAATGCCATACTATTTTAACCTTTACTTTCATACTTATAAATTCAAAGGCTCGGGTTAAAATTAGACCCAAAGTCAATACGGTCAAACATACTAAAAACATTATTGAACATTATAGTAATACAAACATTTTTAATGTTCCATAACATAAACACTAGTTTAAAATGTAAAATGTGAGTATAGGTTGATTAATTTTTAACGAGAAAGCTAACCATTCGACCGTAACGGTCAACCCACACAATAGATAAAAAGAGGCAAAAACGGAGGAAAGAATATACTTTTTAGGAGGCTGATCATTAGACCTATGACAAACGTCATGTGGCAAAGAAGTTCGTATTCAAGAAGATTTGCATGAGGAAGGTATTGCAAAAAAACTTATTTAAGAAAAAACAATATGTTTTGCAGTAGACGACGTCAGTGACGCAAAAAAAGTTTATGAGGTCAATGAGCTAAAAACTATTTTTGGAACAATAATGACCCTTGAAAAAAAGTTTTTTCAGTTAAAGTAGAGTAGAGTAAGGTAGAGTAGAGTAGCGTAGAACCAGGTAGGATAGAAGTGAAAGAATGGTGGAAGAAGGTACGATACGGTAGAGAAGTAGGGCAATAGTAGAAGAGAGAGCAAAGTAAAAGGAAATAGAGCAAGATAGAAACAGATACAATAGGATAGACATAATAGAAACGAGAAAAGTAGGGTAGGGTAGGGTAGAGTACGGTAGGGTAGGGTAGGGTAGGGTAGGGTAGGGTAGGGTAGGGTAGGGTAGGGTAGGGTAGGGTAGGGTAGGGTAGGGTAGGGTAGGGCAGGGTAGGGTAGGCAGTGTGATTACAACACTTGAAAGCTGTTAAGTCTAGTAATCTTGTTATAATTAAAATTTTTAAATAATTTTTTTTTAAATTTTATTTCGTATTTTTTTAAGTTTGACAACTTACCGATTCCTATTTTAGGCTGATGGTTCTCTAGAATTTTAGTTTCACAGACGGGAATTGAGGCTGGAAGAGGTCGGACTGATGCTGCGTTTCTTTTTACTGGCCTCTAAAAATTAAGCAATGACGTTTGTAAAGACAATTGCTACATTTTTATAGACTTATTGGCCTTTATACATTGACAATAATGCGCAAGTTTTTGTTCATGATTTTTATAGTTAAAAACACAGCTTTACACATGATTTTTTAAAATGTAAAACATAAATTTTGTTTGAGTCCTTGGACCTCATAAAATGTAGTTTAAAAACTAAAAATCACGTTTTTAAACTTGTTACAAATGCGTGCAACAGGTGAGTTTTCAATATTCACCACATTTTTGATGCTTTTTCGCTGCTTACGTCGCAAAGACTCAGCAATTCTACTTGAAACAAAGCACTAAGGCTAGGCTAAAGCTAAGGCTAAAGCTAAGGTAAAAATGTTGTAGATAATAATTTAAGAAGTGGTACTTACTTTAAGTACCGGTCGATCCAATGAAGAAATACCCGCGTTTTCCAATAACCTTTCGATTACTTGTTCTGGTTGATACCGCGCAAACACTGCAACAAAAGAAATAATAATATGACAATATTTTGAAGGTCTTTTATAAATATCTTTATAAATAGTTATTAAACTTTGGTTATCATTAATTGATTTCCTAGCTCAGTAAAGCTAACGTTTTTAAAGTATAAACTACAGTAAAACTTTTACAGATTGAACTTCTTGATTTACATTTTTTCGTTACAAAGAAGTTAAAGAAGTTTTAAATGTACTGTGTAGTGATAAGTAGTTTTAGTGATAAGTAGAGAATCTCTGTATTACTTACCATATACACCACAGGCTGATTGAATCATCATAAATAAGACTGAAGAAAGCATTGCAAGGCTTTTGAGTTGAGCTGAAGACATGGCTTATGGTAGGCAACCTGAAATTTTTTTTACATACAGTACGTTATACAAAATAAAAAAAAAGTTATTATTCATAAGCAATATATGTTTTTTAACACTGTTGTAATTTTTTTTGCTTAAAAATGGTTTAAGCTAAACTTTAAGTCACAGTACCCCCAAACCAAAAAATAAAAGTACAACTCTTGATCTAAAAGTTACAGTACCCCGACAAAAAATAAAAAAAAAAGTACAGCTCTTGATCTAGTGCAAAACCATGTGACCTAGTTGTTGCAAAAACGTTTGTCACAATGACTCGGAATTGCAAAGTCGACTGTCTTAAGAACCATTCAAAAGAGTAGGTTAATTAGTCGCCCCTCCTAATCCCACTGTTTACTTGTGAAACAATTGCGCCGCCTACACTCAGCCTATTAATGCCTTAAATTAGTCATTTAAAAGTTTCCGAATATAGCCATCCCAAAAGTACAAGGAACAGCGGGCGTGGTACGATCCGGAGTCATCGGGTCATGGGTAATTGAAATTTTTTAAATTTACGGGATTGGGAGGGTTTTTGAAACTATAGGTAACATTTTTTATTTAAGGCTTAGGCTAGGTTAAACCTAAGGTTAAAGCTAAGTTTAAGACTAATGTTAAAGGTGTGGCTAGGGTAAAAGCTTTCTTATGCATAACCTTAATAACTCCTCATACTATCAAAAAATCAAAACTAACACAGACCAACCCTACCACCCTCATCCCCAACAATCTTGCTTTGAACTAATGTGCAATACATGGTTATTTCATCTTCACTATGTTTGTGAGTCTACACAGTTTATCATGTTTATTCGAAACTAATTGTTCTCGGAATTTCCGCAAGGGCATGTCCACTCGGCGGTTTCGGCGAAAATTCCGAACCGGTTTCCAGGAAGATTTTACCCATTTATTTTTAGTCCAATACTCTCAACTTTGTTGGTCTTCTTCCGGCCAAACTGTATTGTTTTGATTTGGTTTATAAGGGCGAGTACGGTAAATTTATAAAATTATGTTTAGGGCGAGGGTAAAGCTAAGGCTAAGGCTAAGGCTAAAGCTAAGGCTAAGGCTAAACCAAATGCCGACTAAAACTTTCTAAAACTAACACTACTCTAACAACACACCACACACACCCTTTCCTCTCCAAGTAAATACTAATTTTATCTTCTTCAAGCAAAAACCGTTGTTTTGTACAAAAAGTCAAAAGTTTTGTTTTTGTACAAAAATACATACTAACAACTTTTACCATAGTCCTTCACATCATCTCAAAATAATGCAATTTTATGCACTTGTAGGGAAAACAACTGGAATATGTATACAACCTCCCTACTGTGGACCAAATTGTTTATGTAAAAAAACAAATAACAATTAAACTTTTTGGCAAATAAAGTAGCACTTTGTTGTAAACCGTACCAAGAATACTGGTTAAAGTGCAGTTTATTTTGAGACATAACAAATAATAAAAGGTTTTGGCGTTTAAGGAATTGAGGATCTATGGAGATTGGGTTAGTGCAACTTTGAAGTTTGATGAGTAGTTTACTGTGGTTTTAATGGGTAAGGTTAAAGTTAGAGTCAGGGCCGGGCGCGAGGGGGGGAGACGAAGGGGGTACCCCCTAAAAAAAATTTTGAAAAAAGTTGAACGTGGTCCCCCCCCCCTGTGGATTTTCGGAAAAAAAAATTGCAAAAAATCGGCACAGGTAGCTCTACCTGTGCCGATTTTTTTAGACCCCTGCCCCCCAGACCAAAAGTCTCCGCCCGGCCCTGGTTAGAGTTAGTAAGGCTAACTTAAGGCTAAAGCTAAGGCTAAGGCCAAGTACTAAGCTAAGACTAAAGCTACGGCTAAAGCTTAAACTAAGTCTAGGACTAAAACTATGGCTAAAGTTAAAGGCTATGGCTAAGACTAAGCGAGTTTAAGGCGAATGCTAAAGCTAAGGTTTAAACCTGAATTAAGTAAATCATAAAAAAATTTTATAAAATAGGTCAGCGGTGATATTTTTGTAACCAATATTTAAAAAACACATACAAACGTTATGATTTTGTAGTATAAACCACTACCTAAAAACATAAATAAGGCATTGTATTTTGGGTACTAGGAACAACGTAAATAAGCTGCTACCTTACTATAACACGTTAAACTAAATGTTAAGTTGTAACTAGCGGTACTCGTATAAACCACTACTAAACAAAATTGATAAACCCGCTGTTTAACAAATGTCAATACCAATGTTTAAGAAGATAAGCAACAATTTGTCGAGTATAACTTACTATTTCGCACCTGACGATGACTCGGATGACACGGTTCGAAAAACTTCCGTGCTGCCGAACAGAAATGATATGCTGTGAGAAAGGCTGGTAATCAGTGCGCGAAATTACCGTTTTCTTTTTTAGTCACCACAAATTCGTGGTTGTGTCGAGGGAATACAGAGAACAAGCTGAAATAGTACAAAAATTTAGTACTGTCACGAGAAAGTTTGTAAAGTATAAACACAGCATATTAGGTTTACCCTTTTTGCCATCGCGCAAAGCCTTAAATACTCTAACCTTCTAATTAACAAACTAATGTTGTAAAAATGTTTGCTACAACTTCAAGGTCAAGATAATACTACAATAAGTATTTTCAAAATATTGTACGTTATGTAGATAAATCAAAATAAACATAACACTTTGGAAGTACTCGCACTAATATTGAAGGTGGACAGTCGAATACCTTTTCTTGGTACCATATAATACTCTTACTTAATATCACGTAAACATAGCAAAACATCATACTTAAAAAATTACCACGCAAACATAGCAAACAACATCGTACTTAAAAAATGAGGATCCTTATACTATTGTGCATAAAGTTAAGAATCCTTATAGTATTATACTTACAATGTGAATGATATGAAGATCCTTATACTAATATTATGCATAAATATAAAACTAACAAGAACCTAATAAGAGATCAACAACTCTAGTTGCATGGTTAAGTTAGTTATTACAAAAACAAAAAACATAAATAACACGTAAACTTTACTGTTTATTTACGTTTTGGTACACCCGATTTGTATAAACTTACGTTTACTCTTATTTTTATTCTGTATGACCGAGCTAAACCCAACTACAATAATAAACATGTGTTGTGTCTGCGTGAGGAAAGTTACAAAATTTTCAAAACGTTTTTTTTTGTAAAATACATTTTAAGTATGATGATGAGACATGAAACACGACAAATGTACAAAATTATGTAGAAAAATTATTAATCACACTAAACACGGAACATAAGTTGAGACGTGTTGTCAGCATTGACAGACGATTTTTTAATAGAACAAGGACTTTTTGAAAAAAACTTGATTTTATGTTAAAGATATGTTACAAACAAGATCAAACATAAACAAAAATGGATCCACCCTGAAAACAAAAGAAGAACACCCGTAGCTTTAAAAAATTACAGAACTTCTTTACTCCACCCTTTAACAATGAGGATATGTCCACCAACCGTTAACAACAACTTTTCGTTTAGTAACTTGACAGAAGGATAAAAAAATCATCCCTCGGAAAAATTACAGTAATTATAAAAAGCTTTGGTTGGTTGAATATGCATGGTAATTACATGTATAAAAAATAAATGAAATGTATATTTATAATACAGTCATGTCAACAACTTGATGTTACTTTATGAACACCATAGAACACCGATGCTGTTCAGAAATCAGTACAAGCATGACATTAGCTATTCATTACAGTACACACTTTCCTAAGATTTCTTAGTTACTTTCAAAAAGTATACCAATTTTGAGCCATAAGGCGATATACACTAATCACAATGTCGTGTGTAACTTCGTCTCACCTAAGCAATAACTTTTAAACTAATATCAATTAAAATGACCCAAAACCCATTTCATCAATACCTCACAACATAAAAACATTGTATAGCAACACGTTTACATAGAGTCACCCGCATATATACGATAAACGCTTATTGGGTTGTACCGAAACTTTGTGGCCACGCCCCGTTTTGAAGCAAATGTTAGGGTTTACCGAGTGAAGAGGTGTTGAATAGTAAATGTGCCAAATTATAAGTCCATGTTAGAGCGTAGCAAATGACGTGAAAAAATTGTTAACGTCACAGTTCATGATCCGAAATGAACTACAAATTAACTCAAATTGCTTTCGAGTCAATTTGCGGGTTTGAGGTCAGAAGTTTTATCAAATAACGTTGTTGATGGTCAAATACACTTCCAATAGCTATGATTGTTGATGTTCAAATCCACATCGCATAGTAGTCAAATTCAAAAAATTTAAGTATCCAAAAATACAAGGACTAATATAAAAACCGTAATTCGTACTTGTTATTGCAATTTGTTGTATACGGAAATTTGATCCATCTTATAATATTACTTATAAAATGACGACTGAGTTCAAAAAATAGTAGCAAAAGAGCTAGTTTTGTATAATTTTAAAACCTTAGGACCTTTAAAATTTCATAATTGATAACCTTTTCACGGTTTGCTCTGCCCAAAAATCAATGAAAAAAACGCCAAATAACACATTGGTAACAAATTAACAAAACGTGTGTGTTTCCTCAAAAAATTTCATCTGTACTACGGCTAGTTTTTTCACCTTTTGTACGTACAAACAACCGGTGAAAACGCGAAAAAACGGCGAACAGTCGTCTCGCACTTTCCAAATCAGCGTTACGTTTTGTGGCTAATTTTACACTAAACATACATTAAGCATGATGCTATGCGGCGCCTACACTAATAATATTTGATTTTTGCAAAAATGTAAATGGCATATCGTACTTGTTTTAAAAGGCATAAACGTTACAAAAAATAGAAACTTTACTAATACTGACGACCTAATGAATAAATTAAATTAACATTAATTATTAGACAAAAGGTCAAGAGAAACGCTTGAAAATGACATTTATGAAGTACTCGCTTGACTTACATCTTTAATGAGACACAATGCGACATTACAAAAATAAAGGTTGTTTGGAATTGACAAGCCTAGACGTTGCATGGGCTTTCTCACTGCTCACGCTGCTAAACTTGAAAATCCTTTTTGGTCGATTATTATTTTCTTGGGGATATTGACCAACGCTAAACTTGAAAACTCAGCAAAAAAAATTGACTGGTTTCTAAAACAAGAATAATGCTAAATTAAATAGCTTTACATTATTTTTTGTTTTAGTATTTAAAAATTCCAGACATGTTATGTTTTTTTGAAATTTTTAAATTAGTAAAGTTTCAACATTTGTTTTTACTGAACAACAAGAATTGAAGGATAAATGTGTTACTTTACAGTCGGCACAAAACATAAATTTTTAAAACTGTAGAATAACTTCAAGTACGTTTTCTGATTGAAACTTCTTGACGTTTAAAATTTACAGCACCATTTATATCACCTTACGCTTTTGACAATATTACATATATTACCCAAAACCATTTTGGTATACGATTGCTTGAGTTTTTTCATATGTGCCATAGTTGTAAACGTGCAGCTATAAAATACGTTTCTCTTTACTCATACACTATAAAATAAAGTATCAGGATGTTGCTTATTAATAACGTTCCGTGTAAAGGTGTTTTTTACTTATCAATAATATAGTATCCAGATTTCATAAAGGTTAAAATAACTTTTTTACGTGGACATAGACATACAGTAACACGTCTGTTCGTTTTGTAAAATGAAGTGTTTTTCACTTTGTATAAAACTTTATTACGTATCTAGACAGGACTACATACCCACTTTCGGGCGCATATTTTACCTGTTCTTTTGAAGGCAAGTACAAAATTGTATTTACACTTTTAATTTTGTCGTTAGTTAATATAGACGGTATTGTATGAGTGCCATGTTTACTTTATACGTAAAAAGTATAATTAAAAATGTTACCTTGGGGTGGCTTAATAAGTTTATCCTTACTCGAATTTTCAATAGTATTAGTAAAATTATCGACTGGTCGATAATTTTTTATGTAGAATTTGAAAAAAATAAGCTTTCTTATTGGCAGGGCTCTTTAGCTTCAGATGGTTGATCCTACCCAAAAAATATTTTGTAAGTTCACACTAATGTATGTACCTGAACGTCAACACCTAAGTTGCACAGGTTGACACAATGACATTAATACTTGATTTCTTACACGGTCAGCACTTTTTATATAATTGTTATTTGCAGTTAAAACAAAAATAGTTCCTCACATTGCATATGCGTTTTGGTACTTGAGTACGTGAATTGTTTTACATATTAGATGTCAAATGTATACCTCGACTACACATGTGAAAAAGTTACTATTTATGTAAGATTAAGAAGTAATTATATTTGACTTGTAGTTGAAGAAGTTATGTAAGTGTGGTGGTTGTCGACGGATATGAACATGCATATATACCAGGGTTAGCTAGGGTTAGCGGAACTGTTACACTTCTCTGTAAAGTCGATGTCATCTCTGATACAAAGCAAGCTATAATAACATGTATTTTACCGCACTAAAGGGCCATCTGATGACAAAAAGACACTACATAAGAATTTTCTATAACAACATAGCGATTAAAATCGAAGTAACAGTTACCGAACACATAAATTATAACTATATACTGAACCATGTCATCAACAATAACACAGGTGTTCTGTAATGAACAAACAACTACACAGCACTGTTAAAGACAACGATCAACAATCGCTGGTAAATTTTTAAGTAAGTGAAAGGTTGTCACGTAGTAGGATTTTGAAATACGATTAGTTTAGGATAGCTATAATAATACTTTGCATAAAGTACATTTGTGTTCAACTTTTGAAAAGTATGTAGCATAAATTAACGTTTGATGTGTTCCGGATGAACCGTTCTCATTTTTCTTTATTGATGTCATTTTTTCGTTCATTTATACCTAAAAGGCTAAGGCAACGACTAAGGCAAAGGTTACTAAGTAAGGCTAAGACTAGTAAGACAATATGGATAATGATAAGGGTAAGGTTAAGATAAGACTAAAGGTTATACTCAGGCTCATGATTAAGCTCCATGCTCATGCTCATGCTCATTCTCATGCTCAGCTCAAAAACCAAGTTAGTCTCAAGCTTAGGTTCAAGCTCAGGCTCAAGCTTAGACTACGGTCTGGTTCAGTCTAAGACTCTACCTAAATTTGAGCTATGTGCATTATTTAAGTTTTTTTGTACTGTTATATTTTTAACTCTCTACAACCCACGCCATTTTTAAAAGTTTCAAATGTAAAATTTGAATAGTAAAACAACTCAAATATCCGTATTATATAAACACAAAAACATTTGTTACCATTAAATGTAGCTTCTGTTTAGCTGTATATACTACCGATTTTAAATTCAGGCATCGGAACAGCTGAAAACGTTGGGATTTCTGTAATATAAGTGCAACATATTCAAGATTGTCTGTACTTGTACAACATGGCTTTTTTTGAATAGTCAATGAAGCACAATTTCGGAAGACAGGGAAATGATGTGTTTCATGAAGATTATTGATTCTCTAAATTTTGTAATTGCAAAAGAAAAGAAGATAACTAAGAAAGAGTACGAGTTGGAACTACTGTAGGGAAAGTTAGAACACTGTATAATACAGTAAAGAAGAGCAGAGTAGAGTAGGTTAATGTAGGGTATGGTTAGGCAGGATGAAACAAGGTAAGTTGGAGTAGGATAAGGTAGGAAAGAATAAAGTAGAGTAAGGTAATATAAAATACGGTAAGATTGAACACGGTAAAATAGGTCAAGTCAATTTGTACAATAAGGTAGAATAATAGGGTAAGGCAGGGTCGGGTAAGATGGAGTAGCGTAGGGTAGGGTAGGGTAGGGTAGGGTTGAGTAAAGTAATTTTTAATATTGTATTTATAAACTGCTAAAATAGTACAGAACTTTGTTTACATATTAACATTAGAAGGCCCGGGCAAAGCCGTCGGATAAGTGAGATTCGGTTCGACCAGAAGTTTTTTCACACACAAAAACCAACTTTCTCCTTGAGCTATGGCTACAGTTAAGACCTGAAAAAATAAAAAAGTTGTAAACAATATTTTAGTTTAAAATTAGCCTTTACCTTAATTTCATCAGGCTCTACCTCAACATCCAAAATCAGGTCTTCGCTTTGAATATTGACGTTGTTCGAGGCTGAGAGGTCAAATTTATATCGAACCTTTTCTGGCTGAAAAAATCATCTGGAAACTTTAAAAAATTGAAATTTGGGTTTAAGAATTGTTATTTACATATGTATACCAAGTTGTACAAATATAAATGGACCATTCAAAGCGGTCAACTTTTAGCTCATTCATATTTGGACAGCCTAATAATTGAAAAATTTATTATAATTTTAAAAAATTTTGATTTTGTATGATACCTTACCATTCTCCCAGCAACAATAACCGCATAGTAATCAGTTTTGTACAACCTAACACTGGCCAGTTCTTTCAGATAAGGCAGGTTGGTCCCATTTTCCCAATAATATTCAAGTAGTTGCCAATCTGATTCAGGGGTAAAATAAGCAATTTCCAAGTTTTCCATATGGATTTGACCGTCGCCGGTTTGAAGTTCCATCCACACTGGGCAGCCCTACAATAGAAAACTTTGGGTAGGGTAAGAAAATGTAGAGTAAATTATGGTAAAGATAGAACAATATATGAAGGCAACATTCTAGGGTAAGGATAATTAAAGTTCATTAGGCTAGGTTAAAAATAGCAAAAGGTAAGACTAAGAGTCTAAGAGAAACTATAAAAAGGCAATGACAATACTACTGTAAGTTTAATGTAAAGATATCGCAAGGGTGAATCAAGTCTATAGTACTAACTTACAGTACTCAAATAGAACTTTCGATTATACCCGAGCTCTTTTAATTTTCCCCACAAATCCAGTCGTTGCCTCTCTGACATTGTTTTGATGTCAAATTGGTGCATATCAATAAAACCTTTCATCGTCATCATTTTGTCACGCATTTGACACGTTTTTTCTAACACTGCCCAGTCCTGAAAGTTTTTAAAAGTTTTAATAAGGTTTATATATTGACCTTTGTTAAAGTTCAATAGGCTAAGACTGAACCTATAATCTTTTTAAATTAAAATCCTTTATTTAAAATATATCCAAATAAAGTTTTTTTTAATTCTTACATCTGGAGATATTCTACCACCACCACTGAGCATGCGATATGTTTCCAGCTCTTCACGAGTTAGTAGACCATCATCGTCCAAGTCAAATATGTCAAATGTGTTCATCAACATGACCCTGAAATTTCAATAATTAAATTTTTTGTTTTTTAAAACAAGGCTATAAAAAAGCTAGTCTGCACCTACGCTTCAGCTAAAACTTAAGCCTGAGTTTTAACATTAGACCACGTTCAAGCTAGAAGCTAGATGCAGTGCCCAAAGGTAAGCCTAACCCGAAATCTTAAACTGCGCCAAGAGGTGAGCGTGAGCCTGAGTCTGACATGGGAAGGTACTTAAATTGAAAATCGACTTTGGGACAAACCTATATATTATGAAAGCCCTGTGCTCACTGAGTAGGAATCTGAAAGCCGTTTTTCCGTATGGTTCTTCGTTTTCGAGAAAAAAATATTATACTTTGTCCTAGCCTTAGCTTCAAATTTAGTTTTAGCCTACAACAAACAAAGCAAATTCAAAAGTCCTTACTTGTAATCCTTGGTAAGCTTGCCATTCTCCCCCAATATTTCAGCATCTCTATTTGGCTCTACCACTTTCAACGGCCTTACAAACCGTATACAATATGTGTAAGTGCCAGGAGGAAACAGCATCCATTCACTTCTTCTGTACTAAATTTTTTTTAAACTTTAAATTGAAACACTTGAATAAATAAAAAATTTAAAAAAAATATATATATTTTAAAAAGCAGCGTCAAAAAAAAATTTCTAAGCCTTAGCTTTAAGGTCTGGCTCTAGCCCTAGCCAACTTAAAGAAAATCTGGAAAAACGGGTTAAAAATTCTTTGAAAATCCGAAAAAAAGTAAAATTGAAATTTTTTTTTGCGTGTAAAGAGAAAACTTTTTAAATCTTACTACGTCATCTTTTCGTTTTGTCAAGGCCAGAATCGCTGGAGAATTATCGGAGATCACATAGCCAATAAGATTGTTTTGAAAGCGAAGCAGGTCTTGATCAACTAAAGATTATATATGTATATACTGGCTCATCAAAGGCTTAATCCCATATTGTGGTATCAACACCGTAGTCCTTCATAGACCGACGTCATTGAAGAAAACAAAGATTGGGACAGCCAAGCTAAATCGCTGGCCACAACAGTGATAGTGTTCTACCCAGTTCACCACCAAGACTATTTCTGTCTCGTAACTTTTATTGGACTCGTCAGCAGGCCGGGCGTTGGGTTAGACGGGGAGAGGAAACCCCCTCCCCCTAGAAAAAAATTCGAAAAATCTTCAACGTGGTCCCCCTGTGGATTTCTGGAAAAAAAAATTTAGGCCCCCCGCCCCCAGACCAAAAGTCCTCGACCGGCCCTACTCGCCAAGACAGCCCTACTATACTTAAATCTCTCTCAGAAAAAAACTAAATTTAAAAAAAATTTTTGGTGACATTTTAAAATATTTTCGAAAACTTACTTTTTTCGTTGATTTTGAAACCAACACAGATTTGTTGAGCTCGAGTCAACACAAATGTATAGCCAATCGATACCGTCAAGTCGTGTGATTTTTGTATTACAAATGACTTTAGGACAGCCTAAATAAACTTTTTTTAATTTCAAAAAAATATTTTTAAAAAAATTTTTGTGAATTACAGTTGCCCTAAAGACTCAAAAATATATATAGTTCAAGCCTAATGCTTCAGGGCTTAATTAAAATTTTTTAAATAGCTTTTAAAGTTTTAAAACTACCTTATCAGTGCTAGTCCCCATTCTAGCACTAGCCAGCGATGGCGGTGGTTGATCGCCCATTGGTATTTGGCTATTTCGTGTGTTTGAGAACACTGATGACAAGCTTTCTGTACTTGAATTCAAAGGAAATAACACATTGTCGTCTAACTTTTGTTTTCTGACTATACTTTCGTTTAGTTGTAGTAAGTGGTGCCGTGTCGACATAATTTCTTTTTCTATCTGAAAATAAATATTTAGGGTAAAAAGCGAATTTTAACTTTAAAAAGGTAAGGCTGGATCTGAATCTAGGCTAGAGTTAAATTTGGGCTCGGGACTGGGCCTAAGTCTGTGTCTAAGTCTAGGATGGAATCTGTACCTGGATCTTGTCTAACGCTAGGCTTGGACCCAAAGACGAGTTTGAAACTAGGTCTGTGTCCGGAGGTAAGGCTCAGGCATTGTCTGTATCTAGGCTGGGGATAGGATTGGGCACAGAGCTGGGTTGGAGTCTGTGTCTGACGATGGAGCTAAGGCTGGGCTAAGACTATAGCTTTGTGCTAGTGCTCTGGACTAGAACTCTGGGCTAGGGCTCTAGGCTAGGGCTCTGGGCTAGGGCTCTGTGCTAAAGCTCTGGGCTAGGGCTCTGTGCTAGGGCTCTGGGCTAGGGCTCTGAGCTAGGGTTCTGGGCTAGGGCTCTGGGCTAGGACTCTGAGCTAGGGCTCTGGGCTAGGGTTCTGGGCTAGGACTCTGAGCTAGGGCTCTGGGCTAGGGTTCTTGATAGGGCTAGAAAAAAACCTTATATAGGCTGTCATACCTCAGCACCATGTAAATTTTGACTCTTGCAGTGCTGTATGTAAGCAATGACTTCATCCAGGTCTTCAATATGAGAGCTTTGTAATTCAGATATCAATGAGTCAAAGTCAACATCACCATCACCAAGTTTGTCGATTAAATTGGCATTATCTGCTTCAATTGACGGTAATTTTTTGGAAAATGTACAGGCCTTCGTCGTATGATATTTCAGCTAAAATTGAAAAATTTTTTAAATAAAAAAATTTAAAATCAAAAAATGTTTTCAAAAGTATTTTTCTGATAAACTTACCAGCATCTTCTGAATAAGGATACGCATTGGAAAGCTCTTCTACCGTAGTATTCTTTCCAGCACAAACAATCACGTCAACCAGCTCTCGGAGTGTTATATTTGCGTTCATGTTATTCCCAATTTCAGTAATAAACGCATTTCGAAAATTACGGGTGTCTTGTTGAGCTGTCATGTATATTGCTCTAAAAATACATACATAAGCTAATAATCAAAGCCCTAGCCCAGAGCCTTAGCCCAGGGCCCTAGCCCAAGCCCAGAGCCCTAGCCCAAAGCCCTAACCCAGAGCCCTAGCCTAATCCTAGCCCTAGCCCGGTCCTAGCTTTTCCCTAGTCTTGGCCTAGGGCCATAGCTTTGTCCTTAGCTCTTTGTTATAAACTCAGCGCCAGCCTACGCCCTAGTTTTAGCCCTAAACTAGGGTGAGAAACGAGCCGTTTTTTAATATGGGCCGGGTCAAACCGGACCCAGAATTTTTATTGAAGGGACCGGGCCAGCATGAAAAGAAAGTATAAGCGGGCAGGCTTAAAGTTGGGCCCCGGGCCGGGTCTCAAATGTGGGCCTAACCCAGTCCGTTTCTCGACCCTATCTACCCTACCCTACCCTACCCGCCCCCCCCTACCCACCCTGCCCAAGCTTTTTATGTTTTGTTTTTATCCCAAATTTGGTCCAAAACCTTACCCTTTAATATGCATTACCTTGCCCCATATATTATGTTATTACACTTCTATAATACTAAACAAAGGTGTAGGAATGTAAACAAGGAGTATAAAAAAGATAAAAACAACTTACATACTCTCCGACTCGAGGGAATCCCGGTCCTTTTCGTCGACAATAAAGACGGAATGCCCAGGTGGAGCGAGATTCGCTATGTTTTTGGCCAAGCTCTTTTTCATTTCGGCCTCTACATCTTAATTGCAATTTAGCTTATGGCCGAATAACGTTTGGGAGAGTTAACGCAAAGGCCAACGTGGCTGTTCTTGTATGATTAGGCATTAAATTATGCTTTAAGTGTGATTAAAAATGGCAATTCTTGACACTTTTAGTAAAACTAGCAATTTCTTAATCAAAATGGCAAAAACTTTCTTTACAAAGCAAGAAATGGCGAAAACTTTCTTCAGGACAAGAAATGGCAAGAACTTTTTATACAAAGCAAGAAATGGCAAGAACTTTTTATACAAAGCAAGAAATGGCAAGAACTTTCTTTCCAAAACAAAAAATAGCAAAAACTTTCTTTACAGAACAAAAAAATAGCAAAAACTTTCTTTACAAAACAAGAAACGGTAAAAATTTTCTTTGAAAAACACAAAAAATGGCAAAAATTTTCTTTACAAACCCAGTTTTTAAAATGAAAAACAAAAAATTTTAAAAATTTTTACGACATGTTTTCCCAATTAAAATTTTAAGTCAAATTACTACTAATGCAGTTATTAGTGGTTTTGGCGCGCGTTTTATTGTTACCATGAGAACATGCGATTAATCTACATCAGATTGTACTAATACAATTACAGATACACTTGTTAAGTGTGTATTCATATCGTTGGTATTTTGTTTTTACTGCAGTTTGAGCTAAAACACGAATTTAAAATAAGCATCATTTTGGAAAAAGCGGACCGTTGAGGCACAGAGGACTTAAACCAGGAGTTGCCAATGCAGAATTAGCAAAGCAGGAGAAGCCCAATACTTTAAAGTTGTGGACAATGCAAAACAAGCCTTGTTGAAAGCACTTTTCAAAATCATTCCGGTCGAAAATTTGAAACATTTAAACTACATTACAGTTGAAATATTCTAGTCACTGGCGTTGATGTAGGTTCTCTTATAAGCTTGCCTTACTAGTGGTTCTGCTGTTCCTAAACTTTTCCTTCCTATCGTCTTACCAAACTCATCACTGCCTCATTCTTTACATACTCTACCCTACCCTACCCTCCCTACCCTAACCTACCCTACCCTACCCTACCCTACCCTACCCTACCCTACCCTACCCTACCCTACCCTACCCTCCCTACCCTACCCTACCCTACCCTACCCTACCCTACCCTACCCTACCCTACCCTACCCTACCCTACCCTTCCCTACTCTACCCTATCCTACTCCACTTGTTTTATTTACTTTACATTCGGCCCTCGTATAGTTGAAGCACCGACCTCATAAACATTAGGCACCGGTGAAAACTATAAAGAACAAGCACCGCCATTTTTTAATTTCACTTCTTATTTTTGTTTGTTCTGGTGAATTACCAATTTTGCAAATTGTTCATTTTTCATCATTTTGTTCATTCGCTGTGGTCGACTATGGCTTTCCCTACATTGCCAGATATTGACGGCGCAATTCGGGATGGTATTCTTGTTGATATTCTACTACAACGTGGTCTTATCGTCAAAAAACATTTGTGTCACAAATGCTCTAAAGTAATGGTACTGGTCACCAGACCAAAGTCGATAGATTGTTTCCATGTAAGTGTTTTTACTAACTTTTATCATGTATTTTAGTATGGTTGTCGGAATGGCAAAAGACTTCACTTACAAGGGATCATAACACGCAATGTACTTCCAGATACAACAATCATATCTGATGGATTTAGATCGTACAATGGGATTGACACAAAAATCTACCGACATGGGGTGACAGTTCATGAGAATTAATATGCTAGGTAGGTTAACAATTTTGGCAATTTTGAACCATTTTAGATTAGGTCCCACACCCTTTTAGATCAGGCACCGCACCATTTTAGATTAGGCACCACACACTTTTAGATTAGGCATCGCACCCTTTTAGATCAGGCACCGTACCATTTTAGATCAGGCACCGCACCATTTTAGATTAGGTCCCACACCCTTTTAGATCAGGCACCGCACCATTTTAGATTAGGCACCACACACTTTTAGATTAGGCATCGCACCCTTTTAGATCAGGCACCGTACCATTTTAGATCAGGCACCGCACCATTTTAGATCAGGCACCGCACCATTTTAGATTAGGCACCGCACCCTTTTAGATCAGGCACCGTACCATTTTAGACCAGGCACCGCACCCTTTGAGATCAGGCACCGTACCATTTTAGATCAGGCACCGCACCATTTTAGATTAGGCACCACACACTTTTAGATTAGGCATCGCACCCTTTTAGATCAGGCACCGTACCATTTTAGATCAGGCACCGCACCATTTTAGATTAGGTCCCACACCCTTTTAGATCAGGCACCGCACCATTTTAGATTAGGCACCACACACTTTTAGATTAGGCATCGCACCCTTTTAGATCAGGCACCGTACCATTTTAGATCAGGCACCGCACCATTTTAGATCAGGCACCGCACCATTTTAGATTAGGCACCGCACCCTTTTAGATCAGGCACCGTACCATTTTAGACCAGGCACCGCACCCTTTGAGATCAGGCACCGTACCATTTTAGATCAGGCACCGCACCATTTTAGATTAGGCACCACACACTTTTAGATCAGGCACCGCACCCTTTTAGATCAGGCACCGCACCATTTTAGATTAAGCACCACACACTTTTAGATTAGGCATCGCACCCTTTTAGATCAGGCACCGTACCATTTTAGATCAGGCACCGCACCATTTTAGATTAGGCACCGTACCATTTTAGACCAGGCACCGCACCCTTTGAGATCAGGCACCGTACCATTTTAGATCAGGCACCGCACCATTTTAGATTAGGCATCGCACCCTTTTAGATCAGGCACCGTACCATTTTAGATCAGGCACCGCACCATTTTAGATCAGGCACCGTACCATTTTAGATCAGGCACCGCACCATTTTAGATTAGGCACCACACACTTTTAGATTAGGCATCGCACCCTTTTAGATCAGGCACCGTACCATTTTAGATCAGGCACCGTACCATTTTAGATTAGGCACCGCACCATTTTAGATCAGGCACCGCACCCTTTTAGATCAGGCACCGCACCATTTTAGATTAAGCACCACACACTTTTAGATTAGGCATCGCACCCTTTTAGATCAGGCACCGTACCATTTTAGATCAGGCACCGCACCATTTTAGATTAGGCACCGCACCATTTTAGATCAGGCACCGCACCCTTTTAGATCAGGCACCGCACACTTTTAGATTAGGCACCGCACCATTTTAGATCAGGCACCGCACCATTTTAGATCAGGCACCGCACCATTTTAGATTAGGCACCACACACTTTTAGATTAGGCATCGCACCCTTTTAGATCAGGCACCGTACCATTTTAGATCAGGCACCGCACCATTTTAGATCAGGCACCGCACCATTTTAGATTAGGCACCGCACCCTTTTAGATCAGGCACCGCACCATTTTAGATCAGGCACCGCACCATTTTAGATCAGGCACCGCACCATTTTAGATTAGGCACCACACACTTTTAGATTAGGCATCGCACCCTTTTAGATCAGGCACCGTACCATTTTAGATCAGGCACCGCACCATTTTAGATCAGGCACCGCACCATTTTAGATTAGGCACCGCACCCTTTTAGATCAGGCACCGTACCATTTTAGACCAGGCACCGCACCCTTTTAGATCAGGCACCGTACCATTTTAGACCAGGCACCGCACCCTTTGAGATCAGGCACCGTACCATTTTAGATCAGGCACCGCACCATTTTAGATTAGGCATCGCACCCTTTTAGATCAGGCACCGTACCATTTTAGATCAGGCACCGCACCATTTTAGATTAGGCACCGCACCATTTTAGATCAGGCACCGCACCCTTTGAGATCAGGCACCGTACCATTTTAGATTAGGCACCACACACTTTTAGATTAGGCATCGCACCCTTTTAGATCAGGCACCGTACCATTTTAGATCAGGCACCGCACCATTTTAGATTAGGCACCGCACCCTTTTAGATCAGGCACCGTACCATTTTAGATTAGGCATCGCACCCTTTTAGATCAGGCACCGTACCATTTTAGATCAGGCACCGCACCATTTTAGATTAGGCACCGCACCATTTTAGATCAGGCACCGCACCCTTTTAGATCAGGCACCGTACCATTTTAGATTAGGCACCGCACCATTTTAGATCAGGCACCGCACCCTTTTAGATCAGGCACCACACACTTTTAGATTAGGCATCGCACCCTTTTAGATCAGGCACCGTACCATTTTAGATCAGGCACCGCACCATTTTAGATCAGGCACCGCACCATTTTAGATTAGGCATCGCACCCTTTTAGATCAGGCACCGTACCATTTTAGACCAGGCACCGCACCCTTTGAGATCAGGCACCGTACCATTTTAGATCAGGCACCGCACCATTTTAGATTAGGCATCGCACCCTTTTAGATCAGGCACCGTACCATTTTAGATCAGGCACCGCACCATTTTAGATTAGGCACCGCACCATTTTAGATCAGGCACCGCACCCTTTTAGATCAGGCACCGCACCCTTTTAGATTAGGCACCGCACCATTTTAGATCAGGCACCGCACCCTTTAAGATCAGGCACCGCACCATTTTAGATTAGGCACCGCACCCTTTTGGATCAGTCACCGTACCATTTTAGATCAGGCACCGCACCATTTTAGATTAGGCACCGCACCCTTTTAGATCAGGCACCGTACCATTTTAGATTAGGCACCGCACCCTTTTAGATCAGGCACCGTACCATTTTAGATCAGGCACCGCACCATTTTAGATTAGGCACCGCACCCTTTTAGATCAGGCACCACACACATTTAGATCAGGCACCGCACCATTTTAGATCAGGCACCGTACCATTTTAGATTAGGCACCGCACCCTTTTAGATCAGGCACCGTACCATTTTAGATCAGGCACCGCACCATTTTAGATTAGGCACCGCACCATTTTAGATTAAGCACCACACACTTTTAGATCAGGCACCGCACCATTTTAGATTAGGCACCGCACCCTTT